GCGTTGTGTTTCTGGAATAAGATAGTCAGTCCCGTGGGTCGGTCTATCATGACGTGTTAGTAGATGATCTCCGTCTGGCTCTTCTGTCTGATCTCAAAGTGGATTGCTGGTCGTCTAAAGTGCTCATCATTTTGCGTTGGTTGGGCCATGAGTGGCCGGCGTGTGACTCCGTTTCTCAGAAGGTAGATGTATACTCGTCTCAGTTGATTCGAGTGGGTGAGGTTCTGGAGAGGTTATCTGCGTTCCTTTTAAGTGACTGGGATCAGTTCAGCCAAGGGGGTGATCCGCGTGTGTTCCAAGGTAAAGGGGTTTCGCTTTGCAGGTATCATAACTGGATGGGCTCCCCTTCACCAGCAAGAGAGGGCTCAGATCCCACAGGCTATTTGCGTGTTTATTTGCCGGTCAACCAGTTGCGTATGGTTGCCAAATTCCGTCTTTGTTGTTGGCCTTTGGAGGTCAACAAAGGACACCATAGGCCGAGAGAGTGCCGTACGTGTCAGGTCTGTACGTCGGGTAAGGTTGAGGATGAATATCATGTGCTCATGGAGTGTGAGGCGTATACTGAGTTGCGTAATAGGTTTCTGATTAACGTTGAAGATACTGATATGCGCAAGGTATTTCTTAATACCAATCCGAGGAAAATCGCTACTTTCCTTACTGAGGTTTTTGATGAGCGTCAACAGCGTGCTCTGGAGCCTCACGGCTCGTGAGGGCACCCGCCGCGTCGGCGGCGGAAATACTGTAACCACAATACAATACAATACAATATCCTGCCGTACGCATCACACGGCTTCTTTATTTTAAAGTACATTAATAAACATTCTTAACATGGCAGTACTTGAAACTCCATAAGAATTGCCAAAAAAAGATCAGCACAAATTCATGTAGCTCCAACATTCACAAATCGACAAACGGGGCTCTTAATCGTCCCGCTTGGCGATAACTGCGCAACTGCTCCTCTGGAACCCCGTACCAAACAACACACTCCTCTCCAGGCGACAAAAATATGCACACACCCTGTCACCCAGTCAAATCTGTCGGCCATCCACAATTCACTTTGCATGCCTCGAAAGAAAACCATTTTATACTTTATACTTCATCCCGGGCGGTCTTATCGCTGCACAACCATTCCATGGCTTCATTCAAGCATCTGTATCGTGCATGCCATGTGCCGATTGCCCCGAGGCTGCCGCAGATGCATCACGGGGCGGATGCTGCCGGCTTGCCCTCCTCCCTGCACGTCGCATCAGGCCGCCTCCGCTAAGACACCCTAAGCTCAAGCCCGCTGTCCGTTCCCGAAACATCACACGCGACCGAAAATGATGGGCTTGGCCGTTGCCACGACCGCCATTGCCTCATCCATAAGATTCTGAGGAGATGGGAAAAAGCACAAGGAGGGTGTTTTGTTAGCTAGAGCCTAAAGATGTTGTGTAGTGGCCCGATTCGGGCACTGGATACATGGGGCAGAGAGTGAAGCCGTGACATGGAAACGTTTCATGCAAAGGCTGTTGTACTAGTAGCGCATATGTAGTCATTATGTGTCGCATGAGGCGAGGCGGTCTGTGCGCTTGGCATTGGCAAATTACTACATGTGTAAGCACCATGGCCATGTAGGCCAGACGTTCAGTGTTTCTCATAGAGGACACGTACGACCTACATATCATTACAAAAATTTGCCTTAAGGTTACTTCTTTTATCAACCCCAATCCCACACGTTTGTTACGTGATTGACCACGTGCAGTTCAGAATGCTGACGGAATAAATCGATATCAGGGTACTTGCCTCTGGCACGTTGAGCGAGCGCAGCGTCTCTTGTAGGTGTCCCGCGACAAGATCGAAGTGCCGTTCCTTGAGCCCCTGCTCCTCAATGAGGCGCTTGTGTGCTTTGTACAGATCTCGACCCTCATAAGCGCCGGCACCTCCAAAGACGTATGTCATAAACGCGATCTGCAGAAGATAGCCGATGTCATGGGGTTTGACGCTAGAGGCCACAATTGACAGAAAAAAATATCAAATTACCACGTGGTAATCAAGGTGACGCGAGCTGCAACTCTGTTCCGGTCCGAGGGCCGCTCGGCCCACGGGTCAACGGTCAGTGATGTAAGCGGCCGGGGTAAAGCATCGACGCAAAAGCACATAGTTACCTGCTTGCGCCGCTGTTTCTTCATGTCAACTCCCTCGAAGAACGGCGCCAGCTCTGGGTCCGCTATGATGCGATTGTAAAATATTTCGACAGCAGCTTCAACAGCTGCCGAGCCCCCAAGACGCTCATAAAGCGTTCGATCAGATGGCGATGTAGAATCGACGCCATCCATGGCCGACGATGTAGTCGCGGTTGACATGTTTTAGTTATGGAAGTACAGCAGAGTAAGTTGTCCAGGAGAAAATCGACAGCAATGAATGTAAGTACAGTAATCTAGTTCGGTATTATGTCTTGGACCTTATATTGGAATTAATGTATGAATGTATATCCCACATGGCATGACCCTTTGAAGGGTCCTTCGCAAAGGGTAGCCGTACTAAAAAGACATCGCGTCGTGTAATTACGTCAATTGCAAATGTACTAATTGCCGTCTTTATCAAGTGGCCACCTTATCTGAGTACGATTCGATCTTCAGGCGAAGGTAAAACATCTACTTTGGTAATGTCCATAGATAGTGCTGCATAATTTCTGGCTACTAATGGCGTCATAGATTTGTGCAAGTCGAATTAGGATGTGTTTTCCCATGCGAACTCCTTCATCTCGCATCTTCTGCATGCTACAGCGTCAGGCCACGGCTAGCTCATACGGCTGATTTCAGGTCTTACTCGGGTCCAAATCAAGTTCTACTATTCATGCGCATCTGGCTTGCATGTTGTTTAGTCGGTCGTGAAAGGGTAAACATATCCTGCCATCGGGCATATTGTCGAAGCCACGCACTTGGTCGCGTCAGGGCCCATTGGCGGCGCCAAGCGCAAAGAAAATTAGTGCCTGCACACAGCACGATCCCCAAGTGAGTATTGAAACCGCATATGCTGCCCATCCCGAAACAGCCCAAATGCAGCCCAGGCCGCCACGTGCCAGCAACCATCTACACAAAATTCACTATCACTGTACTCATCTGCACTACACTCTTGCATGTGCTTGCCAAGGGTGCACCTGCCAGTAAGGTTCACCTAAATTGTCCTCTTCCGTTCAAGGTCTAGCAATCTCCTCTCCGCAGGCCCCTCGTAGCCACATGCACGGCCCTTACGATACGTAGCCCTGAGAACCAGCTCCCGCTAGGGTGCGTCTATATGGGCTGCGTACAGCTGCCCCGCGCGGCCGACCTGCAGTCACGTTCCGCGGCGCCTAAACCCCTCAGACCTTTGATCAATCTTAACGCATGCACGCAGGAATGGGTCGGCATCGGCATCAGTCGCCGCAAAGCTGCGTGCATTGCTCACATGGTAAAGCTCCCGCAAAACACTTGAACGATCTTACTTTTTGGGGGCCGGGGGCCCCCCGGCTAAAGCGTGCTCTGTGGTCGACCCCTACTGTGGTCGGTAACTGGTCTCGCTTCGGTACCTGGCCGGTAGGGTGAACGACATAACGACCTAATGACCCAGGAATTGGGGGGTCATTGAATTGGGGGGTCACATGAATTGGGGGGTCAGCGACCAATAAGGATACCGTTTTGTAAGGCAACCGACTAACAAGGTTACCGGTCGGTAAGATAACCGACCGGTACGGTAACCGGTCAGTTTCCGGGTCGTTATCTCGAATGTCGGTTACCCTACCGAAGGGAACGGTTGGGTTATAGCAAACCGGCCGGTTACCGACCCTTTTATGCCATTGGGTGGAGGGAGGGATGTATAAAGGGAGGGAGGTATCAAGGGATGGAGGGAGGGATACGACACCTGCGCAAACAGCCTACAAGGCATGTGGAGACTTTTGTGTACAGTCATCGTTGCATGGTGTGTGGGGGAGAGTTACGGCAGGTGGGGTTGGAGTGAAGCGCCCCGCAGCAGTTTGTGATTTTTACAGAGGACCCCGATCGGGTCGAGTGCAGCGCTCCTAGGAGTTCCGCCCGCACAACACTGTGGGCCTTATTCATAACGAACTCGGCCAGACCGCACCAACATCACTGGCCATAAAACCTCAGTTGGTACACTCAGACGCAAAACATGAACACAGAAGATGAGGGCACAGAAATCCTCAACATTGACGGTAACTGATAAATGAGTTTGTTCGCATCATTAATTGAAAGGAAAGGGTGATTAGAGGGCACCTGCCCCCACCATTTCGGTGGGCGGTCTCGGGCTGCAAAAGCAGATAGATAGACGGACCCAAAACTCAGAAACGACCACGCAAGCAATGCGGCTGAGGGTGGGTGTAGACAGCACCGTAGATTTGCCTTCAAGGCCCTCCTGGTAAAGCAAACGACGATCATCATTGAGTATTGAGTATTGCTGTTCATGATGTGCGTTTCCTGTCTTAGGTTTCCCAATGCAGTGCAGTGCACAGTCCGTTGTGGCTCGCGATGGCCCTCTGCCACCCTGCTGGGTTACATATTCCCTTGCGGTCTATCCGGGGGGCTCTCGCTGTAATACCTACTGCATGATTAAGCGAACTCATGGCTGCAAGGCAGGCAACCTTCCACACACACTTATGAATAGCGGGCGACAGATAGCCAAACCACAAATGGTACGGATATGTGCCTTAAAGTGACCACTGCCGTACAGCCCACCCGTCAGAGGGGTCATCGACCGGCGACATAACCGACTCGAGTATCCTTGCCGCGTCGATCGACTTGATTTGAATGCATAGCGATGTCTGTTATGGGTTTACATGCGTGTCAATCTCTATTACACACTGTGGTTCTTAGGGTCTGCCGTACATAGCTACGTGGGTAACAAGCCTCACCAATTTGTCATCCTTATCAAGCAAGCCTCTGCGGTGTGGATCTGCCTGGACAACAAGAAATCCTACCACAGCGATAAGGAAATCGCACGTAGGAGTGCTAGCCGTTGATCGCACATGGGGGCCCTAAAACGTCATCTGCTCAACTTTAAAATAGTTGGATAGAAAACTTGGGCGCGTTGCGTGGCCAGTAAGGTCGTTACTGTAACTTTCCACCGCACGGAGAATTCGACGGCCGACATATCTATGGATGCTGCCGTCTGGGTCAAGAACACCGTTGCCCCAAAACGTCGAAATGAAATACTATGTAGCAAATATAGGATGATCCGATTACTGCGCATTTGGCCCATCGTTCGAGAGCCGACGCCGCTTGCAGTCTTGAACTCCGTTTAGCCTTACGCCATTTTGCCTCTCGCGCTCTAATTCATCCTTATGGTGTCGCTCCCTGATGTGCCTGTCCACTGCGGACCCGGGAAGGCAATCGACGATCAGGCAAGGCAGAACCGATGAAGCTGTGCATATGTCCTAACGCAGATGCCTTGGGAGTACCGACGGAAGCGACTGACATACGATGGACTACAGAAAGCGTCATATAATATGTTACCTATTAGCAACTTCAGCAGCGCTAGCATGACCTCGGCATCGATAGGACCTTCAGCAAAGCCGGACTGCTCGGGCTCTGCCAAGGCACTTGCCAATTGGGTCGGCTGCTGAGCGTCCCAGACAGAAGAGGTTGCTTGATGCATGTAATATGCTGAATGATTCGAGGACTATGCTGAAACGGGGCAGTTTGCCCTACCAATTAGAGGCTGCGACTGTACCGTGGTTCACAATGACTGACCTTACATGACGCTATGGGAAACAGCAATCATGGTACATCTTTGTGAATAAATAATATCGGTTTGTTGTCCTGAACGGATGTCATCTTCTGAGAGAATAGTTCCCGCCAAGCCGGACGAGATACGGCAGGAGCCACAGAATGCCTTGTGCGCATTAGTAAGTGGGTTCGTTCCTTCGATTAACAACATCCCGTTTATCCGTTCTACTGCGCATTTAAGCTAGACAATTAGTGGCTTGCAACGAATTGCAATAAAGCTAGTCAACTTATGTTACGTTGCCCGTGCGTTACCGATTTTATAGGACAACTCCTGGTCCGTTTTGTCATAATCCTGGAGAGACGTAACTATAAATGCACTTGGTCGTAGTCCAGCATGGTCTCTGGGGTTTTCCGGGTAACACGGCCCATTTGTCGCTTTTGCTAAAAGAAAGGCTTGGTAACGATTACTTCGTCCTTAACAGCGATGTGAACAGCGGCAATCTGACTTATGACGGTATCGACGTCTGTGGCGATAGGCTTTATGCCCTCATCGAAAGAACGACAGAGTCCCTGGGCGCTGCTGGGAGCCCTGTCAGCGCGATTAGCATGATCGGCTACTCTATGGGTGGACTCATTATTCGTTACGTTGCGGGAAAGCTTTACGCTGAGGGAGTGTTTTCCCGTATCAGAGCGGTAAACTTCATTACCGTTGCCACGCCACATCTGGGAGCCTGGAGGATGCCTAGCAGCTGGTACAACAGGTGGGGTTGCCTACGTACTGCCTTTGCATCCATAAGCGTACATTGGTTAGAAGGGAAATGGGGAAACGACAGGCGAGTTTAGCATCGCCATGGGAGCGATGCCACGGAAAAGGGACATGACATGACAGGGTTTACAAACAGGGCAGCTTAGCAGCCGGCCACCACATTCCACGAACCGTCCTGAAGGGCTGGCAGATATACCCTTCAGCCAATGGAAAAACGATAACGGGAGTCATCCCCTAAGATTAGCTATACATCAAAATAGCTCGCTTGCCATCCACCTTGCCCCTCTGCGGGCCGCCGCCTCGCTATTCCCACATTACCGTTGCTGGACCCTCCTTGTCGCATTGGTACGGCATGATGCTGTGATACTCCGGAACCACGGCTCACCAGAGCATTCAATTACATGGTGCCTGTGGTGACAAGCCGATCCGGCTATCAGCTAGTGCTCCAGGTAGGAGCTGCAAGAAGGGGAGAGAAGGGGAGAGGGCCAAGGTGGGTCTCGGTCACAGCTTCTGCTTTTACCAGACGGGTCAAGCGGTTATCGTCGTCTCCATACGGCAATCGTACCTCGGAAATGTTGGTACACACGTTTTCTCTTTTATCCTCTGGCCGCTTTGTTTGCCACCAGCCCTTTCACGGACGAACTCCCCTAACTCACACTGGCTATCCCAGCGGCCAGCTGTGTGATTACACGGAGGTAATATTGGCCGTTAGTGACTGAAACAACGTCAGCTTATAAAGCTCAGGTTGTGTGTACCACGCCAAATTGATGTATCGTCTTGACAGGATAAGCACCTGTGGGGCAAGCCGCTGCTGTGCCTTATGAGCCACCCCGACCTTCTCTTCATGCAAGCGCTGCGGCAGTTCAAGAAATTAATGCTCTTGGCCAACGTGTTCCACGACCGGCCCGTGCCGTACTGTACGGCGGCAATACGACTGGAAAATCCGTATGAGAGGAATCTGCCAGTGGCCATTGACCCTAAGTACCCGAGTATTGTCACTACAACAGCGGCGGCGGCGGCGGCAGCGCGCGCCGCCGCATCTGTCGGCGTGAAGCCGGCCGATAATGTTGAGAATGTTACTTTGGTGACGGCAGTAGCGGCAGGATCGGCGGAGCCGCCGCTTCCCAGCGACCCGGGCGGCACCATTGTGGAGGTGGCCACAGCGGAACCGGCGGCGACGGCGCCACAACTGCCTCGTCGGCCTCTCCGCAGCACCTACCTGCCCTTTTTAATGGTCGTATTCCTGCCGCTGGCGCTTCCAGCACTGCTTCTCATGGTCATCGCGGGCCGTACACATCACAGCAAGATCATGCGTACGGCACTGGACTTCTCCTGGATCCAACGATACTACAACCCAAACCCGGACACAGCTGCTGTGGCGTCCCTGTCGGCGCCGTCGACGGAAACACCAGGGGGACTTACTGTCGCCGCCGCTGGCGAAGTTGAAAGGCCTGTCGCCTCAGCTGCCGCCGGTGGTGAAGGCGGCAAACAGGGCGGCTTGCCGTCTGGTATAGCGTGTCCATCTGCGCCGGACATGCCGGAGCGACGGTCCTTCAATAAGACTCGAATAACGATGCTGCCATTAGCAGCGGCATCAGCAGAAGTGTCCGGCGGTGATCGTGAAGGACCCGGGACGGGCGGCGTCATGACGGCGGCGCCAGCATCCTCCACGGCCTTGGGTGCACTGGACGACGGGGCGGACGGAGTGGTGGTTTCGGAGCAAAGCGTGCTGCTCCACGACGGCATCGTGGAACTTCCAGCGGAGATGCATCGCGTGCAAGAGTGGCTCGCGGATCAGGTGTGTGGGTGTGCTCGCTCCCCCGCCGGGGGGGAAGGGAGGGAAAGGGACGACGGAGCACGGCGGAGCATGCAGTAACCGCAATCCATGCCGACATTTCTCTTTCCCCGTTGCTGTTCCTTCGCCTCGTGTTCTTGTGTCTGGATTCCTTGCTTAACATGGGATTGTGCAGCCATTGTCTTTTGCTTCAGGACCTCAGGCCCACAGCGCTCCTTACATGGCACGTCTTATAGATCTAGTTCTTCCTCTCCCGCCGCTCCGGATTGGCAATGCTCTCTCCTGTGTCTTCAGAGGCTCTACCTTCCCTCGCAGTTGAACAAGTTGCCCTGGCATAAAGTGGATGTGGACTGCCGGGACCTGCACGCCCACGCAGCCATCATCATGCGCAACCCGGCGCGGTTCACCCACAACAAGGACGTTCTAGACTACCTCATAGACAATTTCCTGAGGACTTAAGAGGCTTGTGCGGAACTGGAGGACAAGGGTTGTGTTTCCAGCGCGGGGGGCCGCGGGATGAGATATACCCACGTAGGTCGTCAACAGCAGCAGTCCGCCCCGCCACAGGCACGAGGTGCGTGGTGTACGCCGCAACAGGTTTGGTCTTTAAGTGGGAAGGCCCATTTTCGCGCTGTATCGCGCAAGTTGTGATGGTCTAGGTGCTCCAAAGGGAGCGGCAGCTCAGTACGAGCGCCCTCGGACGCGGGCAGTGCAGGAGACGTCGTTGTGTAGGCCACAGTCGGCCAACCGAGGATTGGCGTCTACTGGATCTCATTTCGTATCCCAAGTGAGTACTGTACAGATTTGAAACTGATCAGGACGATTAATGTACGAATCACGTTTACAATGAGCCATGAAGGAACCCTTAATGCAGACCGACCTTTGTGGACACTGAAGAGGGATGTACGTGCTGAGCGCAGGGTGGAAAGGACGAAAGGTTATAGATGGGGGTGCTGCGACTCGTACGGCATGGCCCTGAAATGGCTGCCTGCCATCGCGCGAAATCTTAAGCGGGCCTTCGAAATGCCTGGCAGGCTCGCTGAGCGATGGGTCGGCAGAATGGCATACTAGTTAGGAATGGGCGTCGTTGTGGTCCTATCAACGACGATACGGATTTTTTGGGGGGCGCAGCGAGCTGAGGCCGCGTCCGTGAGTGGTGCGTGTGTGTGTGCATGCATGGTAGGCGGGCGGCGGCGCTGGGACAACGCGCCCTGCGCAGGCCCTGCCTGGTTAAGACCCGAGCTGCACCGGCCTGCTCCAGGGAGCGTTCGGCGTTAAAATTGTGGTGTGCTGGAATTGATACCATGTGTACATATGATGTGCTGGGAAGTGTTATCACTGGAAGCACAGACTGGAAGGACAGAACGTTTATCATTTGATGGCTGAAAGTGAGTGCATTTTGCAAGAGCGTATTTTGCGATAGGACACATACATGTCACATGTGGCGGTGCGCAGGTGGATAATTGCTTTGTGAACTGTTGTTCTAGTGATTGCCCAATGCCCAAGAGACCATCCGAACTTTGTGTGGGGCGGGGTTTGCAGCGAAGCCAGCGAGGTCTGAAGGCGTGTTCCTTGCTGGAGCTGTGCCGAACGCATGCATGCATGCTGCGGTAGAGTTCAAGCGCTTCGGCTTCATGGGGAATATTATGAAGAGTAGCGATGTGTACCGGACGGCATTGCATTTCCTGGGAGCTCCTCAGTTTCTTGTAAGTAGCAAATACTTAGCACTTGGCCTCGTCCGCACCCCGCACGTTCAGGCAAGATACGATGCTTGCACACGTTTGATTCATATGAACAGCAACCCAGATAGCACAGCAACCCACATCGCGGATAAAAACAAAAGCAGAGCTGTTGGCTCCTCGCTTAGGAAAAGCTCGAGTCCGCAATACAGTCCGGTTAACAACCTTGTTTAGGATACCGCCACACAGGCTATTACACATTGCTACTGCTCCGCACCGCTCGACTCGTCCTTGTCAGCGAGGTCCTAGGCACCCCTGCCAGTCGTCGTCGTCGTCGCCTTCTTTTAAGTCGCCTTCCCTCTCCTCCCGGACAGCAGCCGCAAAACCGACTCCCACAGCCCTCCAGCCGCATCCAGCACCAACGGAACCACGGATCGCCGGAACGTCACCGGCACGTAGCCCTCACCCTGCGGCAGGCGAGTCCGTGCGCATGTCCATAGCCCGGTGAAAACAACACCGGCGAAGCTCAACCATTTTCTCTTCCGCAATTTTTGCAGGCCTTATAAAAATAAACGGCATGCACCACCAATGATGGCAGGTAATATTTTTGCATTCGCTGCGTCATATACGCCCAAGGAAACCTAGAGATGGCGAGAGAGATGGCGGAGGCGGCGAACACGCAACATCGAAAAGCAATGACCCGGTGGAAAGCCTACCGAGACCTTAACGACAATGGACAGCCAAACGCGCTGGCGTACACCTTGCAACTCCTCCAGTGCTATAATTCATGCAAGCTGACTGGAAGAATCGAATGGGGCCATCCTCCCTTGCCTAGCCCTACCTGGAGTGACCAATCCTTGCTGAACACGTGGACTCGATCGGTGGGCTTGCCGTCCCGTGGGTCTGCAAGCGGGTACCCTGCCTGCGTCTGAGGGCCGGGTGCGCGTAGCGACGTGTCGGTACAATGCAGCCAGTCTTGTTTATATCCATTACCCCCATTACTCGACTCACCCACGCCAGGATACTGCCACGCAAGTTGTACGCCTCCAGCCCGTGCTTGCGCCTCAGCTTATCGGCGAAGAGGCCGCTGCGGTAACCAGCAGTACTGCAACCCACAACTCGGAAGCAGCGCCGCAGCGGCAGATCGGCGTGGGAAGGGGCTCTCTTCGAGCGCATCCTTTGCAACGTGACATTCAGCCCCATACCATACCGTGTCTCTGATGATAGACGCAAGTCTTAGGCCTCGGTCCGGTTTGGATGTTATTATCCCCTAGCCATGTTCATCCCCCCAACCGGCACTCCCAGCACGGAAGAAACAAATATAACCCCGCAAGAAGCGCAATCCGGTCAGCACGAAGGCCGCCGACATAAGGGCCCCCGGCATGAGCACCTCGCCTAGGTTCTGTTGGGCTTTTGTTCCGCTGCAAACGAATGGCACCTTCACCTACCAGTAACAGACTATCCTGCATTCATACCGGCAAAGAACAAAAGGAGAAAAAAAAGGAAGGATTGGATCAGGACCGCGTGATCGTAAGAAGGTGGCTTGAAAACCGGAGAGGCCACGATAGCCAGTGGATAAGCACCACACGTGTACACGCAAACGGGCGCTGCAGCAGGGAAAAGCCCAGTCAGCCTATCACATTGCCTCCTGGATTTCTCGTTCTTGGCCCAACTATTTTAAGAAGCCACAAATCCATAAACATCATCCCTTGGGTTTAGACCAGAAGAAAGTGTTCGGGACCTGCGTGCGTATGTGCATGGCTCACCCTCCCTCTCTCCAGGCAGCAGGCCGCGCCAACTGGAACTACTGCAAGGCCCTACGCTACGCGACCACCGTCACCGACCTGGACAGCCATGCGCCAAAGAAAAGCCTACACGCTGGCTACCTTGGCTGCCATGCAAATAGAGATTTGGGGTTTCAACGTGACCCCGCACTTTCCCCCCGAATGCTCACCTGCGTCCTCTGAAGTAATCCGGTCCCCGCTCCTCAAACTGGCGTTGAGTCATCGTATCGGGGCCAGGAAGCATGGACACCTGCATCACCCGACAGGCAGGCAGGCAGATAGGTACTAGGTAAGCAATCGCCAGACGGGTACGCGCCTTCAGCGGCGGGGTACCGCTGCGGGCTCGCCTCTGTTGTTTCCTTGAAACAAGAAGCACGTGCCAAGCTGTTGACACAGGCATCTTTCGCTTCGCCCGACCTGCTGCTCATCGCGCGTCCGGACGTCCACAACTACAGGCGGGGTTCCGTCCATGGCCTGCGTCGCAACGGTTGAGCAAACGAGGCGAGGGGGCAATATGGGGTTGGGATAAAGGAAGGTTAAGCTGATTTGTGGGACATGTCGGATTGACCTTGCTGACGGATGAAGAGGGCCTGTGGGCTGTGGCAGATGGCCCCGCTCTCTTAAGAGACGCGCCAGGTTGGCTTTAGACATGCCTCTGCCACCAAGGCTGCGGCGCTGCGGCTGACCTTCCTGGAGTGGGTGCAACGTGATAGAGTCTGTCTAGGGGCTTCACGTAAGCGCATTGAGTTGCCAAGTTGCTCACGATTGACGTGCATGACCCCTTCAGTTCGGAATGTGGTGTAACAGTCAAAATACGATACGTGTCGCCACGCATTGCAACCCCCTCAGTTCTCACCTTGGCAGCATTCATCCAGCCGTGCAGCTGCTGGACGGTTACCTCAGGCACCTACGCTAGGGACCGGTAAGGCGTGACACGGACGGGATCAGGCGGCTATCGCTGACGCGCTCCGCGGCGTTGCGTCAGCGGCCCAAATACTGCCCCGCCAGGAGGTGCTCCTGCGTCGGTGCCTTCCGTTGGCGGCATGCTTACATCTGGAAATTTGCTTCGGAAGCCCTCATACAGCTCATCTAACTTGTCAACGGAATCGCCGGGTGACGGCACGGTTGCCATGGCTAACTGTCGGGGATGTCGACGAGAGGCACATGAAAGACGACGGGACACGGAAAATGCATGTGGGCTTTAACTTGTTTGCAGTCTGCTAAGGTCTGGGTATCTGGCACGCGCACACACCAGAACGTCAGGGCGCTAGCAATGAAAGGGGACGGCTCATCCAGCACCATGCCTGGATGCTCTGGTACTATGAAATTGAGATTTTAAAATCCTGTATAATTACGCTGGACGGGGTCTCCAATAATTTATATGGCTGTTGGCATCTTATTTTGTCCGGCACCTCCTGCGATGAAGAAACGGCCCTCATGCATATAACCCTCTTGCTTTTATAATTTTATGTGTTCTGCTTCAATATCCTTTTGTTTTATTCACAGATTGGAAGTATTTTCCTGATTGGGCATACCCATCTCTACTTCCTGTGTCTTTTCAGACGACAGGCGTTTCGCTTCTTGTTATATCCTTGAAGTTGTCCTTGCTCCTTTCAAGTTCAATTGTCTTCTTTGCTCTGCAACGGGCCTGTTGAAGGCGGCGGCACCTCATAACAACATCAGAACGGCTTGACGACCCAGCCTGTAAGTGCATCCCACAACGATAATTTTCCATTGTCAGGGGTTCTTAAAGGAGCGGATAATAAAATTGAGGCTCTTTGCTAAAGTTCGGTCGTGTTTGCCGCCGCCCGAAGATGGAAACGTAGCCAACCTGGCAGCGTTGATGGATGTGTGCCGCGTTTCGCTTCTTATGTTATTTTTTATTTGCAAATGGCTCTCAGGAACACCGCTGCTCCTACTGCCCGACTGACCCTGTTCAGGATCCATACCCGTTAAGTCTTGACGGGGATGTTGCGTCCTGGCGCTGCCGCCTTTAACCCGGCGGCTCCGACCTTTGTATCGAATGGAGCCGCTGCCAGGCCACTGGGTGGCGGTGGTGGCTTTTGCAGCGCCGAAGTTGCCGCGATCGACGACATGCTTAGCCGCCTTTCACTGGCAGTAAAGGAGGAAAGCACTGCTGCGGCGGCGAAGCCAGCACCCAAGCCTGCCGTTTCGCCGAGTCCTGCCGCACCAAAGCCAGCGGCACCCGCTGCAGGCGGCATTAAGATTATCAAAGCAGGTGGCCCGGCAGTCGCAGGGGCGCCGGCGCCGTCGGGACCATGGGCTAGCGGCGCGGCTAGCTTCAGCGCATCAAAGTCTAATGCTGGTATTGGGCGTGATAAGGCCGCTGAGGAGATAGGCGATTACGTCAAGGCCCGCGGTGTTCCTGTGCTCAAGGTGCGTGTATTATGGCCATAGCTCTATGGCAGGGTTTTATGTCCAAAGCTTGGAGCTGATACACATGAATTTTATATGGCGATCCAACAGCGAGTCTTTGGTGAGCCATGGGTGCCGTATCAGAGGGGACCATGTATCAGCGGGCCTAGTTATGGATTGGGTCCCTATAGTGGTGCAGGTTTGCATCTGGCATGGTTTGCGACATGTGCTGGTAGTCGGCTCTTGCATCTTACTTTCACGCGCGCCAAGATGCACATCCAGCCGCATACACATTCTCGGTATGTTGATGACGCTGACTGTAATAGGCCAGCGTGCACCTGTCCCTCCGCCGCCGTATGCCACCGTACTATCCTTGGATTCCCCATTTGTTTCCTCTACAGTATGAAGCTATGTACACTGACCCGTTATTGGCAACCCACCTCTGCAGACGTCTGGCCTGCTGCGGAAGCTGGCCCTCATGGCGGATGACCAGAACAACGCCGTCGCTCGCGAGGTAGATCTGGGTGTATCCTCGTAGCTGCTGATGGTCGCTTGGGTGGAATGGATTATGCCAGCGTGGTGGCGGGTTGATATTTTTGTTGTCTGGTGGTATGCGTCAATGGTTCCTTTATGGTTCCCCCTGGGATACCGACTGCGGCCATACCGATTGCTGAGCCAGTTACGTCACTAATGAGCGCATGTGCATACTCATACACACACACCTTGTCCCCTCAGCTTTCGGTTTTGGCTCCCGATCCCTTTCCCAGATCGTTGCCTACAATGTGCCTGCTAGTCTGTTGCGGTAGTTGACACTGGGCATTCCAGCCTTGCCTATCTGGTATTAAAGCGTTTCCCGCACTGCTTCCTGCAGGCCGCCATGCTGGCATGTGCGGCACTGTGCGACAGCGCGGGGAGCGCGGTGGAGCCCTTCATGGCGCCAATGCTGCCCGTGTTCCTGGAGAGGCTGGCAGACAAGGTACAGGAAGTACATTGAGGAGCATTGCTGGAGCCTGGGTGTGGGACATGGAGTAGGGGGCTTGACAGAGGGTGGGCGCTCTTGAGCAGACGAGGTTGAAGCATCCATCCATCCACAGGCCTTCCGCATGTGTGTGCTGAGGTCCCACCGTCACTCTTATTTGGACTACCAAATGCCGCCTGCAGTGGGCTTGCGGAGACCGCAATATGTTGAGCCGTTCGCTGGCAGTTATCGTTTGGAAAGGCCTTGCATTACTTGCATGCTCTCAAAAGGAGCTTGTTGCTGTACATGCGGAACTCATGGCTTCTTTCTGTCCTGTGCAGACCTGTGACCATGTATGTGCTTTTACCCGTGTGACTGTGACCGTCTGTCTACCCCGGACTTCGTAGCCCAGTGCCTTCCTCGTGCATCAACCGTGCCCTGACTCCTCTGACACCGGCTGCTTTTCACCGGCTGTATTTGGCCCGCTTATCTTACTCCTGCTTTTGAGGCCACAGGCCACCAGCGTCCGCGGCGCAGCTGACTCCGCCTGCCAGGCGCTCGCCCGGCTCCTGCACCCTGAGGCGGTGCCACGTTCGCTGCCCGCCATCCTGGCTGGCACCTCACCCAGCCGCAAATGGCAGACCAAGGAGGGCGCTTTTAAAATCATCTCAACCCTCTGTGAGACAGCACCTGACGCAGTGCAGGCGGCGCTACCGGATATTGTGCCCGTGGTGGGTAGGGTTTGGAATGTCTGAATAGAAGTCTGGAGGGGGGGTGTTCGAATGGGGGGAACTATATGTAAAAGACAAAGCGCGAACTGCCGACCATCAAAGCGCTACCTGGCAGATGGAGCAGATTGTATTTTTTGAGTTAGCCGTTGAAGAAGCGGAGTAGCGAGGACTGGGTAGCATGAGCCGGGTGAAAAAGGATAGCAACGAGTGTGGGGATACTAGACCAAACATGTCTTGAAAGTACTAATAAATTCCACATGTTTGGTGTTTGTATGTGCGATCTGTGGATGGTAGTGTTGGTGTGGATTGGTGCAGCTGCATGGACCGTGTGAACACGGGCGCTAGGCGCCAGGCGCCGGTTACCCCCTGCGGATCAGGTCTCCGTAGGTCTCCAGCCTTGAGGGAGGTTCATGTGCCGTGTGGCCGCCTGCTTGCACATCATAGTTTACATTCCGCCGCCTACCGGCCTAGCTGCGTAGCCGTCCACCCATCTATACACCGACCTTCTTCTCTGACGACGTGTTTACTTGAGCTAACTTTTCGTACCATCCGTGTACCTTCTCACCCACCTACCGAACCCTCCCCGCTTTTGCCAGGTGTCCGATGGCATGGTGGACGCACGCGATGAGGTTAAGGCCGTGGCGGTGACGGCCGCGGAAGCCGCCTTTGCGCTGGCCGGCAACCGTGACATTGCGCCCTGCATCCCCTCCTTCCTGTCTTGCATCCGCAAGCCCAAGGAGACGGCCGAGGCCGTCATCAAGCTCAGCGGCACCACCTTTGTGCAGGCCGTAGAGGTGCGTCTGGCTGGCTGCGCTGCCGGTTGTTGATTTCGCCAGGTCTGCCTGCGCCTGTCTCCGCATGCCTGGTTGGATGGCTTTGGATGCCTGGGATACCTGGGGCTTATTAGCCTAGAAGCTGCTCAAGGCTCCGGTACATGCCGCTTGCCTGCAAGTACGACTCCCACAGGGCCATCCCGCCTAGGGCCGTCTGGCTCCTTTGTTCAGACCTCCTTTGTTCAGACCTTCCTATCCACTGCTGCCCCCAACAAGTCCGGATTCGGCAGCTCTGTTCCGCCTCGCTTCTCCCGCTCCTCGCCCGCTTCTCGCCTCCTCCTCACCCTCTATGTCCATATCTGGCCCTTTGGCCCGCTTGCGCAGGCTCCCGCCCTGGCGGTGATGTGTCCGCTGCTCATCAAGGGCTTGAAGGAGGAGACCGCCATCAAGCGCAAGGCCGCCAACATCATCTCCAACATGTCGAAGCTCGTCACGAGCGCAGCAGATGGAGACACCTTCCTGCCGAAGCTGCTGCCGCGTTTGGAGGTACGTTGGGCCGCGACGGGGATGGGCGAGCTGCGGCAGATTCGAGGCAGTGGGGACGTGGTGGCTGGGTGGGTAGGGTCCACGGCGTAAAGTGTGACATTACGTCCCCGCAAGAACCTGCGCTTTAGGGTAAGGTTGAGCGGCAGGCAATTGGGTACATCCAGTGCCCAGTGGTCTTATCGAGCCATCTTTTTTCTCCTGCCTAAGCTTTTTCACCACCACCCGTGTCTACATGATCTCTCTGAGCCGTGTTCATACTGCACTTCTGTGCGGCGCAGGCCGCCGCCAACGAGACTCCAGATCCAGAGTGCCGCTCCGTGTGCGCTGCCGCCGCCGCCACTGTACGGCGTGTGGCTGAGACGGCCGCCGCCACGCGCCAGGCGGAGGCGGATGAGCGCAAGGTGTTGGGCGAGGCGGAGGTGGAGGCCATGTTGAAGGAGGTCCTTCAGGTGTGTCGTAGTGGTGGTGGTCGCGGTGGTGGTTTTTCTGGGCTGCTGGTTCATTGGTCATTGGCAGCTGATTTGCGGATGCCTCAGCTCGAAACTTTACACATGTTGTGTTGATGCGGGCGCCGTCCTGGTTGTAATGGTAGCGAGGTACGAATGACGGGCAAGGTACCCGCTGAAGTGATATACGCACGGCTCTGGTTGTCCTGGTTGAGTTCCCGTGTCACACACGGCCCCGGTCAAGGGGTCTTCCCTTAACGAGGATGAGGAGATTGGCAATGCTGATCAAGGGCGAGACCTCGGCGTCGTAAGGGATTGGGGGAGTTGGCGGAACAGTGCGGCACGGAGTAGCTTGCAAGATGTACTAAGCACGAGAGTCTTCCTGTCGCTCTCACGCTGCTGCTGCTGCTGCTGTGATGGAAACTAGTTGGATGGTAGAAGTTCCCGACGAGTGACGTTTATGAACCTCTTCTTGGTCTAACCAAGTTTCGCCGCGAAATTATTTCCTTCAGGCCAACGGTGCCGACCCAGCGGACGACGACCTGCTGGCTACAGCCGTGTCGTACTGTGCCTCCATCGCCACGTGTCTGGTGAATAAGCGGGCAACGGAATCGTCGAAGTGGCTCGAGAAGGTGCGTGAGAGGGTGGTGCGAGAGGGTGCGAGAGGGGTAAGGATGTTGGGGGGGGGGTGTAGATGCGCGTCACCCAGCCCTCCTTGACAGGATCCCTGCCTCGCCTCTCCAATGCGGATGTGGTTAGAAGTCGCTTGATGAATTTGTGGCTTCTCCCATTCGGCCCTGCCGGTACGACTCTCCAACTCAATTGTGCTCTGCACCTGGTAACTCCCCGGCCATCTGGTCCCATCCGCGGTATCGTCCCTGTCCCGGGCACTGCTTTCTTTCCTCCCCACCCTGTCCTCCTTCCGGGCGCGATCCAGGCGCGACGTGCGATTTGGTGGCTTCGCGGTCCTGTTTGCAGCTGATCCTTATTCCACATTCCTTTCATTCCATTCTTCTCTCTCCCTTTTCGCTCTCACCGCCGTCACCCCGTTATCCAGATTGTGGAGCCGTTCCTGCTGCCCTTCTTGCCCGGCGGCGACGCGGCTGCTGCCGCCGTGGCTGAGTCCTGGTCCTCCCGCTGCGAGGCGGCCTCCCACGTGGTGTTGGACCTGGGGCTCAGTGACGATGAGGCGGGGGAGGTGCTGTGCAACTGCGAGTTCTCGCTGGCTTATGGTGGGGGTGAGGGGGGCGGACCGGGCCGCCGGGAAAGGGGGAGGCGGGAAGGGGCGAGGAGACGGGAGCTAGGAGGAAGGGTAGGGAAACACGTTGACGAGGACCGGAGGGGTTAGGGCCCCTTGAGGTATAAAAGAAGTTACCGGGGGAAAGAACGGCCGGGGAAAAGAAGGGAAAAGAATGGTGATTATATTTTTTGGGAGTTTATATAACTTAAGTGAATAGATATCGGGGTTTCTTACAAGGTAGCCCTCAACAAGGAAAGGGCATTGAAAGCGAAGGTGCCCTGTTTCGAGTATCGCTTTGAGTCTGGCAAATCCTATCCCGCCTCGCTGCCTCGGCAGTCTTCTTTCCACAACCTTGCCGCCCCCGTCGCCGCCGCCGCCGCCTCTGACACCCGCACCTTGCACCTGCTCGCTGTCGTCAGGTGGCAAGATCTTGCTGAACAACGCACGTTTGCGGCTGAAGCGCGGCCGCCGCTATGGTCTGTGCGGCCATAACGGCGTGGGCAAGACCACCCTCATGCGCGCCATCAACAATGAGAAAGTGGAGGGCTTTCCACCCAAGGAAGATGTGAGTTGTAGGATAAACATGGTGACTCTCAGTCTTAGTGCCGCTTGGAGGGTTTGTAATTAACTACACACACACACACTCTAGACCCTAAGACACCGCCACTTCATTGCTCTTGGAACAGAATCCCCACATCCGATCCTTTACACAGCTGTTATTTGTACCGCATTCCATTCCACTCTCCGGTGCTTCGCGCGCGGTATACACACGACTTTTATTACTACTACTCGCTCCTCCCGCGTTGGCCTGTTACGTGGTTACGTGGATAGGTGCCATGCCTTTCTTTACACGTGCGCAATACCCTCTGCTGGCCTTGTCTCCCACCCACCCACCCACCCACCCACATGCCTCCAGGTCTGCTCCGTGTACTTGGAGTCGGATATCGACCCAGCCTTGGCAGAGGTACCCATTGTGGATTTCGTGTTTAAGGACCCCACTCTGCAAGGTGAGTACACCGCGTCGCGTTATGCCTTGCGTACTACTGCTGCGTGCCAGCTTCGCGGCTCGCTTCATCCTATAATGCTTTCATGTGCTATGTTTAGTGCGAGCTTCCACGAATTGATGATACGGATGATGGTCTTGATTGCGTGACGGCATCTGCAAGTACTGTTAACTTCAATCCAATGTTATAAGTGGGTTTCTGCTCGCGTCTCCTGTACTCTCTGCAGTCAAGGCGCAGCCCCCCAGCATGGAGGAGGTTGTGGAGATGCTCAGCAACGTGGGCTTTGATGAGGCCAAGCAGAAGCACCAAGTGGGCTCGCTTTCAGGCGGATGGAAGATGAAGCTGGCGCTGGGTGAGCAGAGGGAGTGGGTAAACAGGCTGTGTGATCACGACCACGATTGTTGCCGTAGTTGCAATTGGGGCTGGGGAGCGTAGGGGGCGGCTTAACGCGTTTTTTTCTCGGAGGACGCGGTGCTCGAGTGTGGGCTTCCAATCTTCGTGTGATGATAAACCACACGATCGAAGGTGTGGAAGTTAAGAAGACAAAGGAGGCGAGGGGGAGACAGGGTCTTTGGACTTGGACCAGCACCATCCGCCCAATACTCTTTCTTGTCGTGCCCTGGTTATATTTGGCTTCCCGCCCCTTGGGGCTCGGCTTTCCTTTCCTAACTCAGCACAAGACTTCGACAAACCCCCTGCCTGCAGCCCGCGCCATGTTGATGAAGCCCGACATCCTGCTGCTGGACGAGCCCACCAACCACCTCGACGTGGTCAACGTGGCCTGGCTGGAACAATATATCACCAAGGTACGACAAGTACGGCGGCCGCACTGCAGGTTATCCTACGACCTTTCATTGGTTTTTTAATAATGAACGTGAACATACTGCTCGATGGTCCTTGCTGGCCAGTGAGTGTTGGCTACCGGTAAAACAACCTGTGTTGACGTGTGTGAATGCAGGTGGTTCCCCACGTCACCTGCCTAATCGTATCCCACGACTCGTCCTTCCTGGATAATGTTTGCACCGATATCATACACTACGAGAGCCGGAAGCTCAAGTACTACCACGGGAATCTGTCCGAGTTTGTCAAGGTGCGTGTGTGTATATGCGTGTGTAGCCGTGGTAGGATCCCCGTATGATATTATCTTCATATCTTCAAATTAACCAATTGGTTACTTGACCGATTGATCAGTGTCAACTCGCATTACGTTCGCGACTGAAGTTCCATTGTTTTCCAACGCGCGGTCGCCGCAAGCTGGCATTTCGCTGGGAAGTAGCTCCCCCCTCTCTCCCTCCTCCTCACTCACGCACACCCGGAACCGTGGTTCCGTTGGGCGGGACATTTGCCATACAGGTCAAGCCAGAGGCCAAGTCGTACTACACGCTTGCCGCTGCCACGCTGCGCTTCAACTTCCCTAAGCCCTCCTTCTTGGACGGCGTCACCAGCGGCGAGAAGCCCATTCTGTCCATGAAAAAGGTGTGGCGGGATGGGTTGGTTGGTTGCTTGGGGGATTGTTGCAGCGTGGACCGAGCAGGAGCGTTGGGGCCTTGCACTACTTCGGGGACTTGGGAACCCTAACCCCAATCGCAGTGGTGCTGAGTCCAATGTCTGGGGCTTCTGCTGGCGCAAGCTTGTGCCTCATTTTCTGAGCCTTGCTCTTTCTGTGCTCTCCTGCTCGCTTCCCTTTTTGCGTGTGCAGGTGACGTTCACCTACCCAGGCGCCCCCAAGCCTCAGCTGGAGAGCATCACCTGCGCATGCCGCATGTCCTCACGCGTCGCCATCCTGGGTACGCAGGGGACATTTCTCTCACAAGCCACTTGTTGGGGGCGGATCGTAGGGGGGTTAACGCTTGCAGGGAGGTCGGGTCTGTTGTTTACGGGGCCTCGGCTGCAATTGTGGAACCATGTTCGACTTGGGGAGAGAATGGAGGAGAAAAGCATACGTGGGGCAGCAACACGCGTACCCATCTACGTCGATTCAGTGTTGCTGTTAAGAATATGAACCGTTCCTTCAACAGTTGCTACGCTTGGAGGGGATTTGAAGCAGGCGGAATGATTTGCGGAGCCAGTCGGACCATTGCTCTTCTTGGACTTGCTTGATTTTGAAGGAAAAAAACGTCTGGCCGAAGCGTCTCATGTTTCCTCATTTGCCGCGGGACCTTCCATGCAGGCCCCAACGGCGCGGGCAAGTCCACGCTCATTAAGCTGATGACGGGCGAGCTCAAGCCAGACGTAAGATGGGGGGGGAGAAAGTGGGAAACGGGTGGGCCTGTGGACAAGTACTGCAAAAAACACACGAGAGACACAGATTGCCATCTCATCCTTTCCTATCCCATTGCCTTTCGTTGTATTGTTATTAAAGCCTCCACCCTAGTCTTGCAGCTTGTCTTTCCTTGACCGTACCCTGCTAATCCCCCTGTTTACGTGATTGCAGACCGGCACCGTGTCCAAACACGTCAACGTGCGTGTGGCCTATGTGAGCCAGCACGCGCTGCACCACCTGGAGGACCACCTGGACATGACCCCTAACCAGTACATCCGGAAGCGCTACTCCAAGGGAGAGGACAAGGAGGAGGAGCAAAAGGTGAGCTGCCGGGCAGCCAAGTTGGGGCCGCGACGCTGTCTTATGTTATCTCGTCTGACCTTACCTTACTTGGTGCGGCGAAGGCGGCCGCCCCCGACCGCCATTCCGTACTTAGCACCGAACGGGCCTAAGTACTAATCAAGCTGTGGTGGAATGCCTTGTCATCGTGCCTAATAGGTTACCCGCATACTGACTCCGGAGGAGGAAGAGGCCATCAAGAAGCAGATCTGGGTCATTGACGGGCAAAATCGCGTGCTTGAGAAGCTGCTGGGGCGGCGCAAGAAGAAAAAGAGCTTCGAGTACGAGGTCAAGTGAGTTGTCTTGATAAAAGAAGCTTTTTTGTTGGCACGGAGCTGGCTGGAGTACGGAGTTGCGGACGTGGGGGATAGTGGGATGAGAGGACGCACAGAAGCGGGAACAGTTTGGAGAGCAGGGTCCGGTGGATTTTCTAAGGGGAATCGGTGGGCTTGAGGACGCAGGTTCTTCGCCCAGCAAGTCGTGGCGTATTCCGTTGTGCCACGCCACGGGTGCGGGGTCCTCGAGGGCCGTGGCGCAGCGCTTGCCGGAGCGCATTGTTTTGCTTGCTCTACTGACCTTGAGCTTCCTTGAGCTCGCCTCGGCATCTTATTAACGCTACAGTTACTGCATTGTTTTGCTGTTGACCTTGTCGCGCTTAGGACCACCAGCACCAAAGTCCCCAGAGCTACCGCCCCAACCTCGCTTGGGTTCGGCCTAGCCGTTTACACCCATTGTAAACCGTACGTCGCCTGCAACTAACTGCAGCAACCGCTAACCGCTGACCACCAGGTGGGTTGGTCTGAGCTCCATCGAGTTCAACCGCTGGATCATGCGCGAGGTGCTTGTGGAACGCGGCTTTGAGAAGCTGTGTCGCGAGATGGACGATAAGATCAATGCGGAGAAGGGGGAGGCGGCAGCACGCCCGCTCACGCTGGCGTCTGTGGAGCAATACCTCCAGGTGGGCCGCAATGCACATGCACATATGTGTGTGTTGGCATGTGTTAATATAGGCCAGGCAGGATCGATCCATGAGGACGGAACCGAACCATGACGCAGACAGGGCAAGCAAAGTGCGAGTCTCAGGGATTGGGTGCGCGCAAGGGTGCGTGTGGTCCTGACCTAATCTCCTCACTGCATGAAAACAAATTCCATCGGTGCGTGTTAACCACCGCCGCCAAAAAAACAACACCAAACAGGACTTTGGTCTGGAGCCCGAGTTCGGTACCCACAGCGCCATCCGTGGCCTGTCGGGCGGTCAGAAGGTCAAGCTGGTGTTGGCGGCTGCGCTGTGGCACTGCCCTCACCTGTTGGTGCTGGACGAGCCCACCAACTACTTGGACCGTGACTCGCTGGGCGCGCTGGCGCAGGCCATTAAGGAGTTTGGTGGCGGCGTGGTGATGATCAGCCACCACAGCGAGTTTGTGGGGGCGCTTTCCAACGAAATCTGGGACCTCAAGGTAACATTAGGGTTTAGGTGTTCAGGGAGGAGGCAAAGTGAATTGGGGAGGTTGAGAGTGGCGGGAGTCGGCTGTGCTGGATAGGGATTCGGCTGGGGGCAGCGTTGGCCGGATAGCTTTACGTCTTTAGGAGCTTGATTAGGGGAAGCTTGAAGGAAAGGGGAGGTAGGTAGGTCTGGCAAAGCGGAGAAGGGTTGGGTCACGTTACCACCACCACCACCACTTGTCTCGTTGCCGTGATTCACGCAGGATGGCAAGCTGTCATGTCACGCCAAGACTGCAAAGGACGAGGAGGGGGGCGACCAGCAGTAGAGAACCAGCTGGCCAACTCCGCCAGATTCCGTTTATTGTTGGCCCGTTGTGTGGCACAACACGCGAGCTTATGCGCGTTAGCTACACTGCGCTGCCAGTATAGCGTCTACACGTCTTTAGTTAGGCTCTGCGCGGCTGGTCCAGTTCTTCAGGCAGAGGCTTGTGTGTCGGGGTCGTAACTCTTGGCGACGTCAGTGAGCACAGCGCGTGGTATGCAGCTTGCAGTTTGGAGAGCGGCAGCCGTGGCCGCGGATTACAGGAATGCTGCAGTGGCACGGAAATTTGCTGTAAGATGGAGCTGTTATATCGGCGGACGAGGAGTCCTAGAGGTTCTTCAACATGCGGCCGTAACGGCGTCCACAGCGGATTTGGTTGTAAGACAGATGGCTGGGAGACAGAACAGCACGGAAGCGGCCGCTGCGGGGCGCAGGTTGAGCAACCAGGCACGAAGCCGTTGCGTCGAACGCAGCGATCTGTCCCGCACGATGGGCAGGGCTTTTGACCAGGTAACGGCGACAAACGGGATGACATTGCCCAAGGGAGAGAGAGAAAGAGACAGAGAAAGGGGAGAGAGAGGGAGGGATGACAGGCGTGAACAGATGGATACAGGCGTGGGCTTTGAGGAGAGCGATTAGGGAGTGTGTGTGGCAGCAAGGCAGCATGTCTGCTTGTGGTTTTTTATGTGTGTGGCTGGCGTGTGGGCATTGTCTTGTCGTTGTCCTTTCCTTCTTTTTCCTGAGTGGAGCTGAGATAAGAGTGCGCGGAGAGGGGTGAAGAGCGGAGAGGCAGCGGCCGGTGGCGGGGTGCACCCGCCATAAAATTGACTTTTTTCACATGTGAAGTCAGTGCTCGTGTTTACGCTGGGTGGAAAACCCTTCCCTCCGAAAAGCATACGCCGGGGAAACGTAGCGCTTAGTAGGGGCGGGCTGCGTAGGCAATCGTTCAGTTGCTTGTCATTGGCGGGCATTTCAGCCGTGGACATGGCATGGCTGCGGTTGCATAGTTGCAATGGGTGGGGCACAGGCTGCTTCGGGGCCAGTATTAATCTCTGTTTGGAACCGACTTGCGTGTGGTGGGATATAGGATCCATAACGGTTGCGGTCGGGGGCCTGTGCACGCCACGTAACATGCAAGAGAACTGTGCGGGAGGAGGAGGGTAAGGGTGTCAATGGCAGTCCGCGCGTAGGTAGAAGCATCCAACCGTATTCAGGTATTTTGAGGGCTGATTAAGGGGGAAAGCAAACCTGAGAGGAGAGTGACAATTTCCTATGGTTGAGCTTGCCCGCAATGCTATTCAATACGCATTTGGACGATTAGCAATGGAGATCCTTACCGTACGATATAGGCGGGCGCGCCGTACGGGGCGTTTGTTGCGCGCGGTCCACAGGCGCGCCCGTGCATTGTGTACGGATTTATTGGTGGCAGGTGTAAGAACGACCGTGTTAACAATGGGGCATGCTCGGGACGAACTCTGGTAGTGAGGACACCTCTGCTTTAGTGTTGGCACTGTGGCAACCGAGTGCTCTTCGCTGGCCCACCTCAAGACGCCATCCAACCAATCTCCTCGATAGATATTCCCCTCGTCGATATCGGCTTTAGGACATGGCGGAAGGAAAATGGAAGTCGCTGTTGCTTGGATGGTAAATACTTCTCTCGAAACAGGGACGCGCGGGTTGTCGAAGCCAAGCTTCTGAATGTACTAAGGAGCACAATGCAGAGGTAATTAAGCTGCCAGGGCAAAATATAAATATGCAACCTTTAGCTGATAGCAGCAAGTACCCTTTTTAGACAAAAGCTTTTCCTGGGCAAAAATGTCACTTTCCGGCTTCTTTACCGTGTCAAAACCGTACAACCCCATGTACTGTGGGCGACGTCCAAGAAATATGTGCACGACAAGTGACTTACAACACATATGTACGGTAGCTCAGGGTAGATCCGTAGACTCGTATTGTGGAAATACATCATCAATATTAAATCGTTTCGGCAATGTAACGGAAAATTATCATAGGACCCCATAGCTCGATAAGGAGAGGAGAACACCTTACGCACACACACACACACACACACACACATCCCTACACGTATCGAAACGCCACGCAAACCGGGCCTCCGGCAGCACCTGCACTAGTGACACCACATAGCCATCACGGGCGCGCACCACCCGTGGCAGTGGCTTCATCTCTCGCCCCTCAGCGTGTTTAAGTAACACCTGGCCGAGGCCTAGGATTTGCAGCACCGCACGTTTGACGGATGTGGGAAGAGCGGCTCAATTCATGCAGCTTGTGCCGTCTTTCAGCTCCTAAATCTTTAACACTCTGCTGTGTTGGCGGCTTTAACTGACGAACATATGCGACACATTCCAGAACGTAGGGACGGAGAGAAATCTTCGGGACTGAGTTCAAGAATTGGGTTCATTCTGAAGGGGGAAACGCAACATCTACGAACGGCAACCAACTTTTAGCACATTTCTTCGTACCTGTACTACATCTCAAACAAATGTACGGCAATGGCTTATCTCAACAGGAGAAAACTGTAAGAAAAACATGAGATGGGCATCATCATCAGAGATTACGAGAGTACTTCAAACCATTGTGAACTAATTTTCACACGTTTTTTCGCACACACTCTCAAAACAGGAAATGTTGTTTCTCTGCTCGTATGTTTACCTTATCCTTCTCAAATGATACACACAAAGAAACCACCCTAGGAACTATGCTTTGGCCCCCTCTCATATTCAGTACTTCTCAGGACTTAGCAGCCCCGGGGCCAGTCGCTCCAGAGCCGGATCCGCCCAGACTACTTCAAGTAGGGCCACCAGAAAGGTTTCCCGAACGGGCACCACCGCCACCAGCGCAGTCTGTTTTGCTTTGTCCTCGGTGCTGCGGCTCGGGTGTACTGCAGTCCGACGGCCCCGCCGCCACTGCGCCTGGCGACGGCGGCGTCAGCCCTGCCGGCCGCGGAGGGACCACCGCTGCGACTGCTACAGCCGTCGCTGCTACAGCCGCCTGCGCCGCCATGGCCTTCACCCCCGCGAGTTCCACGCCGTTCTCGTCAGCATCCGCTGGCGGTCCGCTGGCGGGAGCCCCAGCCGGGTCGTCGCCGTTGCCAGCAGTGCCGCCTCCGCCTCCGCCGCTCCCCGCCACCGCTGTAAACAGCGACAAGAGGTCAGCTATTCGAATGTGGCGATTGCCGCGCCCAACTCGCCGCTCGCTGCCTCCGCCACCGCCGTGCAAGCTGCCATGCGCAGACCGAGCCCCCAGGGATGTCGAGCGGCGCGTTGAGAGCGGGAACGCCGACAGCACCGGCTCGCTGAGGTGCTCCGGAGTGGCACCCTCGGCGCCGTCGCCCGCCTGGCTGATTCGGATGCGTACGACAGGTGACCATGCACGCGTGAGGATTCCGGCGCTGGCGTCAGCATGGCAGGCGCCTGCAGCCACCGCCGCAGCGGCGGCTGTGCCGCCGCCGCCACTGCCAGCGGACTGCGCCTCCTGCTTACCAAACGTGAAATGTGGCTGTACGACAAGAGCCATTGCCGTCCAGTCCAAATATTCACTGTTGTTGACGTTATCTGGCTTCAGCGGCACTGCCAGCACGCACCAGTACTCACTGTCGTACCGTTGGTCGCCGCCGGTGTCGTCCTGAGAATATCCATGTGCTGTACGATTGCCGCTGTGTCGTACAACTGAGTGAGCCGGCGCTTCAAGGCAGTACATGGGGACGTCGAAGAGAGGGTAGACGGCACCATCCCCTCCCGACCTCCGAGCTTCGCCCGGCTTCAATACGACATGGCCACAAAGGTACGACATACGGGAGGGCAATGGAACTATGCCAAAATGCCAAGGAAGGTAAAGCCGCCCTGTTATGCCATCTCCTATATAACAGGAAACCCAGGTACTGCATTTCTACATATATTTACATTTTTTTCTGTAAACGTTTCTTTCCTGTCTTACTGTCGACCGTACCTGCGGCCAGAGTGGTCTCCACATTGCTCGCTGCCGCTCCTGCTCCTGTTCCCTCCATTGCTGTCCGACACGAAGTACGACAGAGAGGGAGGTCAATCACAGTGAGGCGAAACTAGCAATCCACCCTAGGATTACAGGAACGTGCGTTCGAGGTGTGAGCAGCTGGTGCTGTTTTGTGACGAGAGAGGGCTCCAAGATATGTTTGATATAATTCGTGTTGCAGGGGTGGTCGACATGTGCACTTGTATCATCCTTCCCCATAACACCTTAACCAGCTCTCTGCCATATTGCAACTGCCGTTCCCATATGGCATATGTGCAATCGGCCGGTCTGTCACCGATCGGTAACCCTCCAGCCCAACGGGTCAGTAAGTTGGGGCAAATTCGGAGGGTTACCGAGGCCTTTACCCAATCGAAGAGTTGCCCTACCGATTGGCTATCCTACCAATCGGTTACCGGCCGGGACAAAACTCGGTTGGTTGTAATGAAATGGAAGGTGCCTAACCATGCATTAGAAGTGCCCTGTCTTGCCTACACCTGGTTCGGTGAGGCGAACGACCAGACCTGCCTGCTGAGCTGCTGCGTGCTACTGTGCTGGCTCACGAGTGCACGCTGACAGCAGGTGGGAACTTTCCTCAGAAGGCCCCCCCCATGTTTACGTCTTTTAGGTTTGATTTACCGCTGCACAGAGGTAAATTTCAAAACTTGGACCAAGCTCTCAAACCGTTTTAGGATCCAAAGCTCGTCACTTCACCTTGGGGTGTAATAACGAGCATCCCTAACTAAGCCATCATACGCAATTACTCGGCCCGGAAGTAAAATATTTAACTATAAAATTTGGTGGTTGCAACGTGCTGTATATGGAAAATTACGCTAGAGGACCTTGTTCACCATGTTCACGCAGAATTCACACCCTGGAAGAAACAACTAGAAATATAAATGTTTGTAGAAACAGCGGCACACGCGGGTCCTGCTGGGTGGTGCGAAGTGAAGCCCTACCTTGACGTGTCTACGAGCAAGGAGGACGCCAATGACGCTGAGAACAGCTCCCTGCAGGGTGGTGGGGTCGAGGACCGGGCGCAATGAGACCACAAACACCACTCGGGGCACACACTGGGGGCATCAGGCTGCGTATTTCCCAGTCCTGGCCTGTAGACGTGACCCCCTATGTAGGCTGAACCTGTCTCACATGTGGGACTTATGAAACATGTTTGGCAACTCCTAGTCCTAGGTTCGACGTCCACACCGCCATACGTGTGTGTATGTGCGTAATTGTTTACACCTTGAGCTGCGTTATCGGTGTTGAGGTGTGACGGGCCCTGAAGGGCCCCCAACTGCGGACCGAAGGAGCAGGCATACAATCAAACTCCTTGGACAGAAAAATGTTACTAGTTATAAATGCAAATTGTATCAAAAGACGAGTTATCGTTATGCCTGGTCGTTTCATGTGGCGCCCCTTGATATGTTAACCCTTGTGTTCGACTGCCGCATGCATGTCTCGTGAGTACGTGGCAGGATGCTGGCGGAATCCTATGTTGGCAGGATCAACAGCCTGGGTCATACATGGTCAAGGATGGATGTTCATAAAATTTTGCCTGAAACTGCGGTGGGTGCATGCGGGGTCGGAACCCCAGCATCGTCCCGTAACTACCTCTACCATTCGCTATGACCAGGAGGCTCTAGGAGCCAGAAAACGTGATCTTAGGTTGGAACGAAGCCCTACTAGCACCTTAAGTACTTTCACGCGTATCAGACAGCGGCCGCACGTACAAGACTGATGATTGGCCACATAATCATGGGTCTCCTCTCAAAGAAGCCGACCATCAAGGCTCCAGTTCCCCCGAGAAATATAAGCGCTGGACCACAGATGGAACCGGTTGTCAAGGATGGGCTGCATAGCGATGGACGCTCTGGCGAGGGCGCCAGCTGCGCTGGTGGAATGTAGAAGACGTAAGCCATCGTCCTGTCCTACTTCATACTGAAATGGCAGAATGCAAAAAGTAGATGTTACAAATCACGTCGAAAGGGTTTCTATTAGGATAAGCGCTAAAGCGTGTGCCATCGGTTTGGTTTTCGCGCGACAGGACAGCGAGCAACTCCGCTACATTTTCAAAAAGATGCTGAAGTGGTCAAAATGAAATTTGAATACCTAAAATTCCGTATGTCACTGAGCGTTTCGCGTCAAAGTCTACCACACGGAAGCCGTCAGTATCCTCGAACCACCGACAAGTTACACAACATATTCAGTGCATGAATCCATGCGCCTTTTTAAATAGCTAGGATCATGAAATAATTTGCTTTCACAATGAACTCTGCAAAAGGGCTGCGATTGCCGTTCATGTGAGAATGCAGTCGTTTCCCAACATGCACCCGTTGATCGTTGCAATTTATGGTTATCCTCTTTTACAACCTACATTCGCCTTGCAAGCAGCCTAATGCACATGTATGGGAATTCACCTGCTGACACAATGTAATGCAGTGCATGCGTTTCCCTGTAAGTTTTGTTAGTTGTGTCGTGGGCTATCGCAAAATATCTGCAAACCGGCGTTCTTGTCATTGCCGCTCACTCTTTTCGTCGGCTTCGACACGAAGGCGTGCAACGACCTGGGTTTCTAATGGGTAGTTCTGTGCAAGGGCAGTACGGCGTTTTCAAATAGCCTTTGTTCCGTACGCACGAAGTACCGCATTAAAGTGTTCCGTAGCACTTCTAGAGAGATCTCCTAAACTCCTAAGACAAAAATTAGCGCCGATCGTGTCACACCTCTAATACCGCACTGAACAGCAAATCAACAGCTCGGGAAGGGTAGATACAGCTCCCATCCCTTCACGCGCTCGCGAACTTCGTCAGGCGGTAACGAGAACTCCTCAAGCCTTAGACGCCTTTTCATACCACAGAACCACACACCACTGCGGCGCCTTTGCACGCGCGCGCTTCTCCTCTAGCAGGTGCCATCCACATGGCAATCCTTCTTCTTCACCGCACAACCGCCCTCGCAACATGCGATTACGATGCAGGTTGGTGACCTAAGGACTAGGGTAGCAACAGAATCTAGTAGGGCCTTTGGCCTGCCAATACAGCCATAGGCCTTCCCTTGCCGCCGCGTTGTTATCCCGCAAGGTAAGAGGCACAAAAACGCCTCGTGTGTACATCACGACATGTCTGTACGACACGTACACAGTTCGTACTAGACAAATACGGCATCGTCCACAATTACGTAATCGCAACAACAATCCAACAAAGTGCACCTCCTGCATATGTCACGTTTTGCTTCACGTGACAAATGTCTTTTGCTTGGTGCTGTGAGCAGAGCGAAAGCCGCACCACATATTGCGCCTTTCTTCGCGCGCCTATGTTGTTGGCAGCGCTTTCAGATGCCACACAGGACAACCAATAGCCAAAAAGCGCCAAAGATGCGCTTAAAAGTTGCCGCACAACAGGGAAAAATAATAATACCATACAGGACAAAGGTCGCATCCGCACAGGCTCCGCCGCTAAGTTGTCAAGCCGTACATACCGTACCATTCGTATAGTTATCTATCGCTGCCAACAACATCCGAATCATGTCTCGCCTAATCCGCTTTACCCAACGTGCGCAGGGCTGCTGTGAAACGCTGTACGGGTACATCAACTAAGGAACGGGAAGGCGGCAGACGGTCATCCGGGCCGAGCCCCCCTAAGTTTCACCTCAGCTCAGCTCAGCTCGGAACCAGAGCCGCCGAACCTGCTCCTAACAACATTTCTCACCTCCGGTCCTTCAACTCCGGTTGGTAATGTGGGTCGTACCAACAGCACGAAATCGTATCGCGCTCAACGCGCCTCGGCACCGGCAACAGACTAGAAGTACGGACTGTATGCCGTAAACTCTAAAAACGTTGAACCCTATACCAACTGCCTGCTTGCCTTTCTATCTGTATGCCCTTCCAACGCACGTGCGAAGAAACCCCGACGCTCACCTCCGCGCAAAGAGATGTGCGCGAGCGGCGCGGTTTACTTTAAACAAAGAAAAGCGTTACTGGCTTCACTGTCTGAGCAGTCAGGCGTGTCACAGGCCTGAGCCCTCGGGAGCTCGCCCCGCTGGCTGCGGAGCAGCTCATTCCTAAATGCCAGACACACGAAAATAAAGAGAACTGTGTCCTGCCAGGCCGCCGTTTCATACGGCCCTAGGAAAGCACTAAAAAAGACGAAAGTATTATAAATTATATCTTCACGACGCGGATCGAGCTGGTGGAAAGTTTTGCAAAAGGTCAACCTTCTAGTCCCCCATAAAAACTTGAGTAAGCTGCAGTGCGAAGGCCTGCGGCATTTGGAAAGTCTTTGCCGCCGCCAGATGCCCCTTTTCGCGGTACTGTACACCATCTTTTTCGCGGCGCGTTTGTTGGCCTGTGCAACGTTCTTGCGCTGCTGCTAAAAGTCCTCAAAGCTCAACATCAACTGTCGCCGAGTTGTTCGCGGCTTCCGTCGTCTTGCACTTCTTCGATGCCGGAGTAACAGGCTGTGGGGACAGCGGCGAGGCAGCGGCAGCAGCTTCCCATCTCCGTGGATCTGCTGCCTGGGGTAAAAAAAGAACAAGAGCAGCCCGTCAGCGGAACACAGCTTCGAAAGCAAAGAAGTCAGTAAGAACGAGTGCAATACGGCGGTAGAAAACGAGTGCAGAAATTCGTAAGGGAAGCCGTACAGGAAGCAGTACACAAAAGCAAAGTGATGGGAGCGAGACGAAATAAGGCATATGCATGAAAAAGAAGTAGGCCAAACTCAGGCAGAAAGCACACACAATAATTGCCGATAGTGTTGGTGGCCAGAATAGAATCCGACAGCCTGCTACGAAAGCCCCCAGGCCGGCTAGGCTGCACTCAGCTTTATGCATGCGAGGGAAAGTGCAGGCGAAGTGGCTTATGTCAAGGTCTCGGCTTGCAGACATTGCCGTACGCACCGAGCGCTGCGCGATCCGCTTGCCGAGACAGCCTGTCGCCGCTGCTGAAGCGACACCGTAGCTCCGGCGGGGGTCCTCTCGCTCGTCCAACATTTCCGTATCCACGCGTACGTCAGATCCCAGCCGGCGTCGGCACCACTCCTGAAACGCGGCCGACGCGGCTCGCCGCTGTCCGGGCTGGCGAACGAACACACGCAGCGTGCGAGTCTGCAAAGCATGGCGGTTTCCTTGTTAGGCAATAACCGAAATAAACAACTTTCTTCTCCTTGAAAGGCGCACTTCCGTACTTCAGTTTATTAAAAAGCCCAGCTCAAAGATAGTCGTAAACCACGCAACGGAAACATACAGACAGGCGCATGGTGTCGGAATCTGACTATGTGCCATTACCATCTTACAGATTTTAAAGCGCCCTTGTTCCTGCGTTTAGTTAAACCTCTTCTCAGCCCGTCTAGTTCCTGCGGAAGTTCTAGGCATTCACATCACACCTTGAAGCAGCTAGGCCGTTCACAGCCTCGGAGCTGTTCGAGGTCCGCCGGCACCTTGACGAGGCCGTCCCCATCGCCCTTGTAGAACCCCACCTGCGGAAGAGAGAGAAGGCACAAATATGCAAAGTCAAACTGCAGAAAGCCTAGAGCTACAGAATCGCCCCATGAAGCTAGGGAGTGTGAGAGGCGCCCTTTCCTCACTGGATGCATTTTCCGTACATCTCGTACCCTGCCGTACCTTGGCCATGGGGTCCACGCCACCCTTGCCGTAGTCAATCTGATTCAGATCCAGCATGATGTCCGTTGGTAGCAACTGTGCGTCGTACGACGCCACAACGTCGTCCCGGAACTCCTTGCAGAGCTTCTGCAGAAGCCGACGATTAGTTGGAGGGATTAAAGGAAAAAAGAGTCAACAGCTTGGAGAATTAAGAATATTTTCGTCATTGTTAAGCTGTCGTAACACTCCAGTACGTACGTATCAGTACATAATGTTGTACTTGATGACTACTGCATCGTACTAGAAAGGTCTGTTTACGCCGCGATGTAGAGGGGGCCCCCCTGGCGAGTGGCCTGCCTCCTGCGGATGCCCTCTTACTGCGGTGGAAAGGCATAGGCCGTAATGTCGTACCACGGCAATGATCCCTTTGAGCCGCATCGGGTATGAGCTCACTTGTCGCATCCGACACATGCAGATGCATTGTTATGCTGTTTCGTTTTTGAATATGCAAATTCAGCCTAGCACGATTTACATGTAAAGAGGTTAAAACCCATCCTGAATGAATGAAAGAACATTTTTCACGTAAGACACAACTTCCAGCATTCCCAAGCAAGGAAGTTCGTCCCAAACAAGTACGGCGGAACCCGGGCTCACATCCCAAGTGCCGTCCAGCAGCATCCGCTCCGGAACCTCGCATTCTCCGCAGCAGTCGTACAGGGCCCCCCGATGTATCCGGCCCAGCACTTGCTGCGCCTCCGCCAGGCGGCGCTGCTCCGCGCCGCCCAGCCGCCGAAAGGCCTCATTGTGAGTTATATGGTAGTGCTCGATCATCTAAAAGCACGGCAAGCACGGTGATGGAAGTGAGTGTACGGCACGTGTACGGAGCACGTACGGCATGTTACCGTCACAAAAGCAACTGAACCAAAAACTCCGTTCCAAGCCGAATCGAACACAGCAAAAAGAAACAAAAAGTAGGGGCCAAAAAGGAATGGAAGGAGAACAGAAGGACAGAGGAAGACAGTAACCGGATAGAGCAACGCAGCACACAGCGGCATTGCAGGACAGAGGCACCATAAAACCCGATCAAGATGCATCTGAATCCGTTCCAGACCCGGCGCATCCATTTCGTTGAAGCGAATCACTCTTTCTTTTCCATTGCGGGGAGGTGTGCGCCCAACCGCTTACCGAGAACAGCTCGTCATTGAGTGTCAGGTATTCCTGCAGCAGCAGCAGCAGCAGCAGCAGCAGCAGTAGCAGCAGTAGCAGCAGCAGTAGCAGCAACAGAGCACAATTTGCAATCCTGTCAGAAATGCGTCCTAACTTTATCTCAAGTATCACTTTTTTCCATCACCTCCTTTCCGCAAACCAAATTTCCCGGAACAGTAAAAACCCTTCCTCCTGTTTCTCTCCTCTATCCCCTCCTCCTCCTCCTCCTCCACCTCGTTATCCTGCCTTAGGAGCACCAGCTGCCCCCTGAAGGCGCACTGACTGACTGGGATGCTAATACAGCTCTGGCTGGCTGGAGGCGGTCGGGTCAAGGTTGCCAAGTCACCTTCGGCGATGCGATCCTGTTAGAGAAGTGCAGCGCCTGATTCGCCATCATGAGCGCATCCACCGCCATCAGCTCAGCTGCCTTGGTCCGCCTGGGGTGGGTGCGTCGGCGAACAGGAACCCGGGGGGGAGGGGGGGAGAGGGGGGGAAGGGGGGAGGGGGGGAGGCAAACCAGTGGCGGTGGGTGGGACAAGTGATGAGAAAGGGCCGGGTGCAGAACTGGGTCCTGGGGACAAGGCAGCAACAGCAGTAGCAGACGACAGCAGCAGTAGCACTACAGCAACTCCATATCAACAACAGTAATGGAAGGCAACGACAGCGCCCCTGCACAGTTGTAGCAGTAGCAATAGTAGCAATCGCAGCTGGCGGCGGCAGATACCTGACAGCTACAGTCGTAACGGCAACTGTTGCATCATCATCATCATTATCATCACCACCATCATCACCATCCTCATATCATCACCATCACCATCATCGTGAGCTGTACCTGTGGGTGTAGACTTCTCGGAACATCCGCACCCGCTCGCTGTACACGAACCACACGTTGTGCAGCTGCCAAGTCGGGTAGCAGATTTGGTCATCAACCACCTGAACCCGCATGAAAAAACAATTAATACAAATGTTGCGGAAAGTCGTGTTCAACCTCTTCACCTGCGAGGTGCGAAACAACTAAACAATAAAAATGACTTAGTCAGGAAGCGCGCCAGCACGAGCTAGCGGGGAAAACAGTGTTACGGAGGGGGGAGGGGGAGGGGAAAACGAACCGCGAGCGTGTGAAGCTGCTGCCAAGGAAAGAGTGTACAAGAAGCAGGGGAGGGGAGGGGAGGGACGTCGTGGAGGCTGCAACAGCGCCAACAGCGCCTCAGGGATCAGGCAAGGTGCATCAACGAGCGCATGTAGGGGTGAGAGACGAACCGCTGGCGAATGAAGCAGATGCCAGAAATAGACGGATAGCCCAGGAGAAGATGAATGCTGCATCAGGAATATTTACTGATCAGCATGTTGGGTTGAAAAAATGTTTCACAGGACGCCGGATGGGCATCGGGTTCCCAAAACCCCAGGAGCAAACTCCCGGCCGTGTTTACTCAAATTCCGTACGTTCGTACGTGACTTACCCTGGCATACGACAGTAGGTCCTGGAAATTGCAGTTCAGCCGAAACCTGCCGCACATCAAGGCGTCACGCTGAAGGTAGTCCGCCCTGTCCATATCGACCCTGGTAACATGGAATGTGGGGATTGGATGTGGACAGGAATCGTAAAGGCGGGCAAAGGACCGGCGTGTGCATGTGTGTGGGGGAAGCCCGTGTGTGTGCGGGGGAGGGATTCTTCAGTGGAAAGGGCAACAGAACAGCATTACGGAGACCAAGTGAACGAACGGAAAGAGCAACTTGCCAGAATCAGAATCGGGATGTGGCATCACAAGTACCTGAATCGAAATCCATGTTGCAATGTAAAGGCAAGCAAACAAAAAATGAACAAAAAGTAAAAAACAAAAGAGGCAAAGCAAGCTCGGCGGTTTAACGCTAAAACTTTCGGCGCTTTCCTCTAAGAGAAGAGGTCGTTTCGATGTGGTCGTACGCGTGTTGGACAAGAATGGATCTCATTAGCGGCGCAGCTGGTGGTTGATAGTCAACCTAATTGTCCGCGCAAAGCCAGTGCACGAAATGACTGGAAATTTTCCTAGCTTCTGGCTACACGCACATTTTTCATTACACTCATTTTCGTGTGTACGAAACGCCGTACAAAACCCCCAAACCCCCGAACAACATACCCCGTGTAATCGTTGGACACGATATCGAACAGGAACCGCTTTCCGGCCGGCCATTTCGCTCTCATTTCAGGCTTGACACCCTTGATCATGTTCTCAATGAAGCGAAAATCCTCCCTGTCGTAACCACAGCGTATAAGGAGCGTGGCCATGTATGGAATGGAAGGTTCGCATCGGAAAGTACATCACGGAAGTCAGCAGGTGAAAGCCGCAAGAGCTGTCGCTCCAATACAACTCAAAAACATCAGCAGATATAAAAAATTCATTTAGAACACACGTGTCCAATTTTCGTACTTATTTGTTATTAGGCTAGCTTCTAGAAAAGTTTCCATCCTCCCGTCCTAAGGCCGCCCGCGCGGACCAAACTCCAAGACCCGCAAATCAGCGAGAGCCTCACTGGTCCACTCCCTCGATCCCGTTGCTATCCACCATATCCTTGAACATCTCCAGCGACATGTCCTCGTGCTCCCTGCAGCGAAACCACGACCAACATGCATGTAGACAGAAATGAAGACACATTGATATACATGGATAGATGTATTGTTATAATAAAGTAATAAAGTAAATAATAAAGTATATTGTTATATATTTATAAACATCACAGACATCACGGACGTGTGCAGCGGGCACATCGAGAGGAAACTGAAATCGCGCGATAGCACCCGGGAGAAGCACCTGATCGGACCGCACACAGCCCCGCCAGGTTCCAACGCGCAAAGAAACATCTCGCCCCGGTCTTGCCGCGGCCCGATAGGACACACAATCAGAAATACTTGGGCACCCTGCCCGCGTTGACTCACGCGCAGGCAGGCCTTAAGGGACCTAGAGCGCGAAGTACAGAGCAGCAGAACTTTCATACTTTGAAAATTTGAATTCTGGCGCCGAAAAGCAGCAAAGGCAGGCAATCAGGGCCGTGCGCTGCGATGGCGGAAGAGCGTGGTTGGCCACAAAAGCCGCAACAGCGGCTTTACGAGGCCATCGGCATAACCATAGCCACGGCAACGCTTAAGTCCTCAGGCCCGGCCCGTCGACTGGTCAGAGGGCTGCAGACACCCCCGCATAGTTTAATGAAAATGCAAGTGTGTAAAAAGTATAGGAGTAAAAAGAGTGACCAACCCACCAGTTACTGATACCGCTTCGCCGCAGAAACTCCCGTTCGAAGACGTGGCTGAGGGGCCCATGACCCAAATCGTGGCATAGACCTGGCGGGGCGGTGAAGCGGTCGTATACAGTGTACGGTTGTACGGCAAGAGATCCATTCGTATCGGAGAAAACAGCGCAGCTGAGCCCGGAAACGGAGAGATTAATCAATTTGGCGTTCGAGTATGATTATGATACAAGGGGGGACTGCAGGGCATGTACGACAAGTACGATAAAGCCCTTCCCTGGCGTCAGCTACAGGACATGCAGCTTCCCAATCCTTACATGTCCTGAAACTCCTCCTTTTCGTGTCTCAAATCAATCCACGTACGCTTCAGAAACAGTAATCCTTCTTTTAACAGATCATATGTCGTAGGATCTCGACATTATGTCTCGACCTTTAAAAATTCACCAATATCCCGCTATCCGGCCCCTTCCCTACCTGCCAATGCGACATTGCGAATGTCGCGCTCCTCCAGCTCCAGCTGGCCTCGCTGGCTGTCTCGAAGCTTCCGCAGCAGCTCGAAGCACTGCGGAGGTGTGGGGGTCCGGTCTGGTCGAGGGCGTGACGCGAGCGAGGCCCCGGCCCCGGGGGATCATAGGGGCTATAGCTATCGATCACGCACAAGAACACGCGGCGCGTTGCGCGACTTTTGTGCGTGCAGGGATGGGCGGACGTGATTCCAGGGGGGCTATCTAGCTGACAGGAGTAAGCATGGGGTTTTGTTATCAGGGGGGTTAAAACGAACAGAGCGAGTACCCAGCTGCACCTCGGAAAGTTGGTAATGGCGGTGAGGAAGGAAAAGCAGCTGCCTGAGGCCGAAGCCATAGTTTCAAGCGGCACCATTCACGGCGATTGAGGGGTCCTGGGTGGGAGAACAACCTGGGAGACAGGTCCTGCTCAGATTGGAAGTTGGTGACCCGCCTCAGACGGGCTTGACAGGGGAAGTGATTGGTGCAAGGGGCGAGCTGGTTAGGGAGCGAGCCACAAAGGGTTGAGGTGAAAGACGGCCGGTTATGACGATGATTTGTTCACTACAGGGGAGGAAGGCCCCAAAGGCCTTCAAGCCGAACCCCTTATATGGAAGGTCGCAAAAATCACTCCCATGTATGTTGGGGATCGTCTTTTTATTACAAAACCCAATAACAGACAATCACGTGGTGCCGATGGACGTGTGTTCAAAACTCACCAGATGCGAAACTCCCAGGGAATGAGTAAGGCGAGTGTGTGTTGCACTCGGAAAGACGCTGTACGCGACCCCCAGCTGCCGAAGGCGGTCGAGGCGCTGGAAGTGCGGTGTGAAACGCACTACGTTGCATAGTGGGTGTAGGCTGCGGGGCAGGGATTATGACCGGTGAGGTGTGTGGGTGTGTGTGTGTGTATTTATAATGCGGAAATGGCGGAAAGCCGCGGACGGGCGGGAGGAGGGGAGTACGTTGGCGGGGATGTACAATCAGGGTGTTGTCTCCCTGATGAGCAAAATACGTCTGTCTGTAAAGGGAAATGTGCAGGTGGTTGATCAAAGATCGCAGGGCTTGACGCAAGTGCGAGAATTTGCGGCATCGCTACCTGCCGCTAGGTCCGAGGCTAGTTGAGGTAAGTAAACAAACACAACCACGACTCAAAGCGATCCCAAACAGAAACAAGGACTAGTATGGGGACAACAAACAAATTTATCCAACAAATAGTCTACCGGAGCGTTCCATGGACTACATCCGCGATAGTGGCGGCGCCAGGCCATTCGCCATCGTGCTCAATCAGTACTCTGGTATCCTCGTTGTCGGAGGATTCCAGTTGCTGAGCTAAATTGTTCGCTTCTTGAGACGTGAACACATCCAGCTCGTCGAGTGTATCCACATTCTCCACTCGCTGCGCCATGGCCATGTAGTTACACCAAAATGCGCAGTTTATGTTGAAATTCAAAGCTTACGAGCTGAGGGCTAAGCGGGCTACCACCCCAATTGGGTCACGCCTGTACTCCCGTGAAGATTGAACGAGCTAAAGTTTTGCTTTCAAAGGAAGACACCCCTAGGACCTAATGGGGGTCCTAAAACCAAGCCTTCACGTTTCCGAGCGGTCATTTCTGGTAAGAGATGATAGCGTTGTACAATTCCGTTGGTAGGGTAGCCAGCAACGAATTTCCGCACAGTTTCACATCCCCAACTTTCAAATCTTCACGACGCACTGGCATAATCATTACCTATGGGCTAATGCTTCTGCAATACATAGCCTGGACTTCCAGAGGTATTACATTAAAAATAGGGTTTGAGTAACGAAATGAAATCCTGAGTGCGTGTCTCCGCGAGGAGCAAGACTGTTCATTTGCGACGGCACAGCGCCAACGTCGCATTCAAAAAGTATCGTTTAGGTGGATTTTGCTGTGTCAAAGGAACTCACCGCGCGCCGCTTCCTGGTTCGTGGCAGCCAAAGGCTGCCATTCACACTGCTTCACTTCCCCTTGCCTAGATCCCACGACTGCCCACGCATCGCCCATCCGGCGCCAGCACCGCGGTGTACACCTAGTGGTCTAGAGCAGAGCTGGACACGGAAAATAGAGCTGCGCCGCTCTTGGTTCTTGTGTGTCGGTATCAGGGGCACTCATGCTCTACACGGCGGTGGGATACAGGCTCGCCTACAGGTCCTGTGTCAGAAGCGGGCTCCCGGCGCTGGCAAGACTCCCAAAATTTGGGCCCCGTACAGCAAAAACGGGCTGCCTCCCTTTGTAATCTTATGCTGCTCCGAAGGTCCTCCGAGACGGGCAGTTGTTGAAAGAGCCTCATCGTATCCACTCACTCTTACACGGTCCTGTTACAACTGTTATCCCGGTACTTGCAGCGGTTCCAGGGAACCTAAGGCGGTGCCTGGATTACGATGGCGAGATGCAATGTTACTTGACGCTGCAGGGTTCTAAAGAGCGCCGGCGAAGATATAGAAGCCTGCGCTGGCCTACACAGGCATACAGATAATTCACAGGCATACAGATAATACACAGGCATACAGATAACTCCGTTCACGAGCGCGCGGACAGAAGGAAAATGCCTGCTGTGTTACTTTGAGTCATCGCCCCCGAGAAGAGAGTTACTGCGAAGGCAAGGGTCTCCGAAACCGCCGTCGTCGTACGCATAAGGACATTGCGGTTCACACCTCCATTACCGTGTGCACGGCATAATGTTGATAGAATTTACGTGTAGGTACAACTTTCGTATCTTGTACTTGATGTAATGATTGAAAGCTTCGAGACATGCCAGGAACGCTTATCCGAGCCCCTAGAAGAAGTTATCGCAGTGCTGAGCATGTATTCTCTTGGGTGTGCTTACAAGGCTTTTGAAGCCTGTACCGAGTTGTCGTCCGTTTTTCCGTACGCGGACTCCTCTACCTCAGATGCTTATGCTATTCTTCTTAGCGGGTTATATAATGTCGATTGCTTGAGAAGTTGACCAAGCCACTTAGGGTCAGCTGCGCTTCCTGGACGGAACTGACCAGCTATTTGCGGACAACACCAATTTATCCTGGGTTTGCTCGACACCTGAGGATTAGGAGCGCCATGGCTCAATGGTCAGCACATGAAGATGAGCAGCTGCGGAAGCTTGTCAAGGAGTATGGGCCAAAAAGGTGGAGCGTTATTGCCTCCAAGTTAAAAACGAAAGGCAGCAAACAGGTATTATAAGCTTTCGCGCTTTGGCTAGCTTTTGCCTTGCCTCAGTAGGAAGGGCCTAAAACTTGCGAATCGCCTCCTTTCCCAGTGCCGGCGCCGATGGAAAAATCACCTAAATGCTGACCTCAAATCAGGAGGATGGACAGCTGACGTAAGTAAGGGAAATGGGACAACTTGTACCTCGAAGGCGTCGAATGACTAGCATGGTCGAAGACTTTCATATCTAAGTCCAACAGCTTTCTCAATAACCTGACACCCCATTCCTGCATGGATGTCTGTTCCCTACTGTCAGCATGGAGTCCCCTTATGTGCTAGATGGAAGCCTTTTATGTTTTACACTTGCCCATGCTTGCAGGAGGACCGCATTCTCTTGGAAGGCCATAGATTATATGGTAATAAATGGACGGAAATAGCAAAGATGGTCGGAGGGCGCACCGATAACGCTGTTAAAAACAGGCAAGGGCGGGGGGAAATGGAACACTGCGCACGCGACGGACTGAATCCCATCAGTCTACTTTCATCATGAAGGGGCCTGCAACCATGACCTCCCTGTCCCTAGGGGCGCTGAAGGAAAAAGCCGTATGGTCACGCGCTGAACGTCCGAATGGACCTCGGTGTGCAGTAGATCCGAAAGGCTCACCGGTGCATACCGCACCCGAGCGTGTATTTTGCACATAGAAGGTTTGCAAGCACCAAACACCCGCACGACGTATGAGAAACCCCAAACCATCCTGCATGGCTGGGCCGCCCCGAGGAAACGACGGCCTAAATCATGCACTTCTCGCGGCCGTTTCATTGTGGATCGCAATCTAAAGAGACGCAGGGAGCCGGATGCAGTTTCCGGGAAACTGTTGGAAACACTGTCTGTAAGTCAGGGCAGGCGCTCTGTGGACCTTGCAGCCTGCCTAGGTTCCTCCCGGACTGGTTGCGTTTCCTGTCTTTACTGCAGGTATGCGGCCCTCTGCAAGCGTGACGCTAAAGGCACGCAGCGGGGAGGTGGAGCCGCCCGGGGGGGCAGAGGCGGCCGGAAGCCGCGTCCCTCAGATTCGGACGGCGGCGCCAGCGACGTGGAGATGGACGACGACTCTGATGACAACGAGGAGGCGAAGCGGACGTCGTCCTCCTCCGCCAGCTGGGAAGCCAGCCCCGTGCGTCATACCCGTGGTCACGCGTCGAGCGCTGCAGCCGCAGAGAAAGCAGGCGTGAATTCCACGCCTCCGCGCAGCGGCCCTCAAGCTGCTCCCAGTCCGCCGCAGGCTAAAGCTGAAGCCCCTGCGGCCGCTGACACCGATGCCGTAGTATCAACCGGTGTACGCAGCTCATTCCTGGGCCGGCGGCGACAGGCTGGAGGAGGCGGCGGCGGCAGCCCGCCGCTGCTGCCGGAGCCAGAGGCAGGGGGTGGGCCGGCGAAACGGCGGGCGCTGCTGCAGAGCAGCGGCGTGGTATCGGCTGCTGCAGCTGCTGGCGGCAGCGCCGGCGGCAGCGGTGCGAGTGGAACGGTTATCAGACAGCCAATTACAACACCACAAACACCCTTGGTGCAAGTACCACAGCAGATGCAGCAGCAGCCGCAGGAGTCGTTGATCACCGCCTATCAGCACCCGCAACAGCCGGTTTCGGAGCGCATGGGGCTTGGCGCGCGATCTGGGTCAGCGGCCGCGGGCGCGGGCGCGGGGCGGCCTCCTGGAGCGGCTTCCTTTGGTGTCCAGGGCTTGGCGTTGGAGAGGTCTCCCCCCCTGCAGCAGCAACATCAGCAATACCAGCACTACCAGCAGCAGCAGCAACAACCGTACCAGCGCGACAAGCACCTGGATTCCATGCACCACCCCTGCAGTAGCACCGGCGGTGGTAGGGAAACGGTAGAAGTAGTAGCAGCCTGCGGTCAGCCCAAGAAGCTGCCATTGACCATCAACATTCCCAACGCGGCCAGCGCGGAGCCGCAAGCTGTGCAGCAGCCCAACGTCGGGGCCGCGGTGCACGGCATTGAAATTCGCGTTTTAAAGGTGGGCTGGCAATCTGAAATAAATGCCTGCATTGAGCGCTCGAGGGTTTCCCTCGTTCGAGCTATTAGGAACACGGCCGGCAGCATGGGCCAACGGACAGCGAAGACCTGTTCATAAATCCTTCTGCTGCGTGCTCCATTCCCTGCGGCTTTCTCTCCCTATCTCTCTCTATCCCCATCTCTATCTTCCCCCCTGATAGGATCTTCTGACGCCGTGCGAAATTCAGTACGCGCGCGAGCTCAACGATATGCAGCTGCCGCTGCACATCAACGTTGACGAGGACTCCACCGTGCTTGCGGTCAGCCATGGCGGAGGCTGCTCGCTGCTCGGAGCTGCCAGCAGCGAACCGCCGCTCACCACCAGCCGCCAGGCCGCGCACAACGCACTGACAGCGCTTTTCTCCCCCAACAGCGTCGCCGGCGGCAGCTCGGGCGATTTCAACGACGTGCTCAAGTGGTTCCAGTCGGGCTTCACGCCGCGCAGCTCCTGCGGCGACGAAATGACGCCGCGGCAGTTGAGTCGAATGGGGCTGACGCCGTGCGGGCTCAGTGGCGGCAGAGGCGGCGGCCTTCACTGCGTCGAGGAGGCGGGCATGCTGGGCACGGGCTTGACGCCCAAGTGCCTGTTGGACAGCGGCAGCCCGCGGAGCCATGGCGGCATAGGCGGCCTGACGCCACAAATGCCAGAGCTGTCAGCGGCGAAGCGCGCGCGGCGGCAGGTCGAGGTGGCGGCAGCGGTGGCAGCGGCCGCCAATGAGACACCAGGGACCGGACCGCTGGCGTTGGATAGCAGCTGCGGCCTGGGTCGGCATATCATGGGACCTGCTACCGGCGGCAGCGGCGTGGGCGTGTCGCTTGGTGGCGGCGGCCATGGCGGCAGCGGTGCGGTGGCGGCAGCGGCCCTGGGGCTGACGTCGCCGGGAGGCACGGAGCTCCATGCGGGCCATCGGCAGCTGCTGACTAAGCTAATTCAAACAGCCGCGGGGGCGGATGCGAACGGGCAGGGCGCAGTGAGCAGCTGCGCTGGCGGTGCTGCTGGAGACATGAATGGCGGCAGGCTAAGGTGGGTGCGAATGGACGTTAAGGCTGGTTTCCGCTGAGGTGGTAATGCCAAGGCGGTGGTGATGTACCGGTATGTGTGTTGTTACAGGGTGGTTAAGCTTCACCAGCGGCTCCCTTTCCCGAGGCAGTTCCCTGCTCTTCCCTGCGAGAGGGGCACCCTAATCCATTCACCCCATCCGACTTCAGAGTGTATTCGTTGGGTTCAGCAACTCTCCATCAGCATCCTACCAAATCTAGCAAATCAAAGGCGCTTCAACTTAGTTCCTGGTCAGCTCGCAAGCTGCTATTATCACGTCCTACACCGTTTACAAGATGGGGGGCCATGTCCCATTTCAGCACCTTTCAAACACCCGAAAGGTCGGCAGGCGGATTTAAACCGGGTCGGCCGGGAGCAGAAGTCAGGCCTTGACCTCTGCCAGCCGCCTGCCTATATGCAGCGGTATGCATGTATGTATGTATGTCCTAAATTGGTATGGAAAGGACAACGTATGCAACGTGTGCCCTAGCGGCGCCTGCCTGTGATGCAGGGCTGCCGAAGCCTCTGCAGGGCTGCGTGCCCCAGCCAGACCCCATATCGGCTCCTCGTCGAAGCTCTTCTCCTGGTCCCGGTGGATGATCCTCCCTTATCTTTCAACCACACCAGCCTGTGTCCTCTCTTATCTGCTCGCTCTGTCCTCTCTCTCTCTCTCACTCACTCTCTGTTACATTCCGCCAAGGGTACTTGTGCGCCTGCCGGGCTTGAGCTGGTCTTCGGGCCGCACCCAATATTGTGTCAAATACTGGTTCCATCGTCCCCTGAGCATGTCAGCATGCGCCTACCTTGCTATTGTCCGTAGCTGGCTTCGGTTTTCCTCGCCTTGCTTTGCCTTGCCTTGCTTTGTGGAGTTTAAGGGAAAACCCTCTCACCATTGACCCCGGCCCCCACCTACCGTGTGGGCTCAGGCTCGCACCGCTTTCCCCGTCCACTGGTATGGTCACCCCGGAGCCCCTGACGAGGCGCGGCTCCTTGACACGAGACCTCAGTGGCGCGGGGATGATGATGGGGCCGATGGCGGCGGGGGCCGGAGGCGCCGACTACCAGGGCGCGGGCACATCAGGCCAGGTACCCAACGCGACCAGCTCCGGTGGCGTTGTTGTAATGCCGTACTTCACGCCACAGGAGCTCATGCTGCTGCTCGAGGTACTTAACTCCGAGGACCTTCAGGCGCTTCCGCCGCCGCCTCCCCCGCCGTCACAGCAGCAGCAGCAACAACAACAACAACAACAATAACAACCGCAGCCGCCGGTCCTGTAAGAACCGCCGCCCAACCGGCAAAATGGCGTCGGCGTGCCGCCGGTCGCCAGACAGACATACAGACAAACAAACGGAAGGATGCATTGCTCTCCGGCCTGAATAGCGCAGCGAGCTCAGTACAGTACAACTCAGCGCGCTTCGTGGCGGGGCTGAAATCGGCGCAATATGTTACAGTTGCTTGGACGAAAAGTATTCATGTCTTTATTATCCATTCGTGAGCGCTGTGATCGTATCACAACCGCTGCGGTTCACTTTATTGGTTGACATGCAAAAGAAGGGTGGTACATCGCGAGCTGCTCTACCGTTTTAATCGGGTGGACGGTTGGAAACGTAAGGCCACATCCTGTACAGGACCCGTCTCAACAGCAGAGGAGCTCAAACACGGATTGCGTAACGCGGCATCGCTGGACAGCTCGCCATTATTCCGCTGTTCTTCCCGCGGCGCCATGCCTGTCATGCCTGGCTTTGGGCTGCAACTCTCTATTTGGTAGTCAGGCGGGTGCCGGTGCGAGCACGGAACACATCTCTTGGACTTCAGGCTGCATATATGATTGAAGTCGAGGCCATCGGCAAGAGTTGCTTTATCATGTCTGGCCCTAGGCTGGCCCTAGACTCAACCCTCAAGGCTCATATGGGCCCGTTTCACCTTCATAGAGTAACGCAGCTCCAGAAGGTGTAAAAACACACACACTCACACACAGACTTCATCATGGCGTGGTGGTCGGTGCACGGGGCCTGCGGTGAACAAATGCAAAAAGCAAGTCACGGAGCCCTCTTCCCCCGGAAAGCCCTCCCCAGGCATTCTTCGAAATGTCATTGCATTGTGTGCCTTGTGGATTTTGTATACCATGTGGTGGTGCTGGTGGGACTGGTTACACGCCGAGTGGGTAGGGGCCGGCAATGGTGTGTGGTGTGGTGGGGGCCTGTGTGAGGTGTGGAGAAGAAGACGTGAACATGGAGGCAGGGTGGGCGACGCCGGATAGGTGCACACCCTAGGGTCCGCTGCGGTGCGGTTTATGGTGTAGCTCGGATGATTCCCACTGGGGCTCCGCCTCCACTTTTACTTAAGTTATTGATTTTGTGGTCCAAGTGTGTGCGGATGTGTGTATGGAAATGGCAGCGAAGGCTGAGCTGTGTATGTAGATATGTATATACATTTGTGTGTGTGTCTGCCTGTCGTTCTAGTGCCTGTTGCAACCGCCTGAGGGCGGGCCCAGCGTCCCTTGCAGAAAGGCCATGCCTGGGCTCAGGCATGGGGGTTCTCCTCGTCATGTGAAGTGCAACTGTGGGCATGCCACCGGCGGCAAAAAGCCGCAGTTTCCATAAGGCTAGCCAGCTGTGGAAATTGTCAAGACACGTTGTACATCCTTGGCCGTCGGCCGCAAGCTGTGTGATTTGTGGACATTCGCGTGCGTGAGGATTGGCTGTGTGTGGTGGTTCATGCAGCCGTGTGTGGGTGTGATTGGGGAAGGGGAGCATTGTTAGGCTTCCGTGCTGACTGGGAAGCCTCGATAGACTCTTGAAACTACATACACTGGGTGTACTTAGCAACCCTTCACAGACCAAGAAGCCTCTGGTTTATCAACCCTCTTGGTCCATCCTTGCTCCGCTTCATAACCTGTGCATTGGCTGAAGGCCGGTGGGCTCATGGCCTTCCCGTTGTAGTTCACGGCTGAGGCTGAACTCAAGGTGCAGGCCCCATGGCCTTCCACGCTATAAACGTCTCCACAAGTAGCACCGGCGGCCGATGTGCTGGCAGCCACTTATTACAAAACAAATGGCAGCCTATGCGTACAGCTCCTCCCATCCACTTGTTGCGGGCAAATGGCTGCCATATTGCCGTCAGTGGAGGAGGAACGTAGTAAGGGTCAATTTTTCGCATCCTCGGGTAACCCTTGGTCATTGACCGAACGCATCTCCAAGTGTAACTTGAACCCACTGCTCGCACCTCCCAGCCGCGACCCAACCCCGCTGTCCGCATCCCCTGGCCGACCCCCAGGAAATCACGTAACATAATCTGCTTGATTCCTCATTTCCTAATACAGCCAGACTATAAGCTATCAGCCCATAACCTCATAAGAAATTGACCATAGGTTCATTGGAAAAACCGACTGCGTTTTCTATGCCGACGGAAATGGAGAGTGCACTCGCTACCATGCACTAAATACATCATTAATGGAATGCATATATTCAGCATTCTAGTTGTAGAACAGCTTAAATGGCCCCAAGGCAGATGGCTTCCGACAAGGAGTAAAATGCGTATCTTTTGAGTAATATGGTGCAAATTGTCCGGGAAACCGGCTGCAGGGCGCGAAGGCCCTACGGGTCCTCCGGGCCCTGGATTACGACCTTGATAGTGTGATCTGCATCGAAGGCAAGGTGACTTGAACATGTCGGCTATCTTGACCTGGGGTGACCTGCGTTTGCTTGCAAAGGCGCTTCATGCGATGCGCCGGTTGAGAAGTTCGAACAACGATGCACACGTCTAGTTGTTTAACTAATCACGAACAGGAAGTGAGTTGAACAGGATGGTATGCACCGATTTGCGTCTGAGCCGCTGTACGGATTTCGCGTACGGATTTTGCGTACGGAGTTCCACTTATGCACGCCGTTGTGGTGACACGACGCTGTCCAAGATGCTTGCGGCTGTAATACAAAAATATAGACTGGGGATTGATGCAGCTGAACCGGTACTTGTGGGAGCTCGTTGGATGTCATGGATGGTGCTGTTCACGGATGACCGGCCCTATTTGCCTACTACTAGGAGGAGGCGATTTCCATGATGGCGTAGTATTTTGAAAATCTGTTTGCATGATTTTGAAGGGTTTATAATTCTATAATATTGCAGTGCATTCGGTCCTGCAGGCGGGCCGTATTCTTGCAGTTCTGTGACGCGGCCTGTGGTCAAACATGAAGCACCCGAGCATGCCGCATGTAGCAAAACTGCATTGGATTTGAGGTCTACATAATCCTGGGTAATATTAAAATTATTTTGGTGCAACGGCCAACGTCTTTTTATGAGATGCGTTCGGACCGCGGGAAGTTGCGAGGCCCGCAGCTGAACTTTGTGGGTCGCGAGCATGAAAACAAGATATTGTTGTTACAAAGGCACTGCAATTTTGCTCTGTGACCCGACCAACGGTATTCGCACGTGCGTGTGCGTGTGCGTGTGCGTGTGCAGCCGCGTGCCAGAGGGCCCCTCACGTTCGTCCTGCTCCTTACACCCATGACACCTCCCACACAACGTATTGGGGGACGTGGTCACGATCATCACCATACATCCGATACGTCAAAAATCTTACTGCTGGTAGCAAATGCTCAGCGGAAACCCAGCACCGTACATCTGCGGTGACACAGCACCCCAACTCAGATCGAAGCAAGGAAGAACATTGTATTGTGTAACACAGCAAAGCCAAACGCTTTGGACGGCATATTTGTACGGAGATGTTCTCTGGTCCGTTGCATCTACTGTGCAGGAGAGCGCCTGCGAAACGTGCCGCGCATGCGGAGCACACAAGGCAACAACAAAACGGAAAGGGCAAAAGGCTTGAACCTAAATGCTAATTCGTGGAGCAGCACGCAAACAGATAACTAGCACTGTCCTGTCCCACATGGTATGCGCCGCGTATCAACGAGCACTACAACATGGCATGCCTGTGCACCGGGGCTGACCAGTATTCCCATCTGGAATTGGACACACACGTTGTCTCACGCTTCAAACCTCACCCAACCCCTGGAAAACGTCTCCACAGCTACATATGCCACGCCACTTCCCAGCAACATCCCACTCCTGAACATTGCTAGCTGTCAGTACTTCCAGGCCCCCTGCATCCCTTCCCCAGCCGCCTCAGCATGATCACCATCCACCCACGCACCCTCTGCCTCCCTATCCACCTCCTCGTCCCCTTCCTCATCCTCACCCTTCTACACCTCCTCGTCCCCTTCCTCATCCTCGTCCCCTTCCTCAACCTCGTCCCCTTCCTCACCCTCGTCCCCTTCCTCATCCTCATCCCCTTCCTCACCCTCGTCCCCTTCCTCATCCTCATCCTTCTACACCTCCTCGTCCCCTTCCTCATCCTCATCCCCTTCCTCATCCTCGTCCCCTTCCTCATCCTCGTCCCCTTCCTCATCCTCACATACACGGGGCATCGCTACCCTGCTGCTTTTCCACGGCCACGGCCTCTGCCCCTTCCTCTACGAGAACCACCCTCCTTCCTACTGAGACGTACACGCCCCCTTCCACGGCCGTGAGCTGCCTGGGTCATGTTCCTGCATGGAGAGCGCCCTGCTTCGATTGCCGCGGATGCGGAAGGGCAAGCAGGAGCCAATGTCCCTGCTGAACGAGCACGCAAAGATTTGGCATGTGCTCTAGCTATGATTTCCTGATGCATCTCTTCTGTAATCGTGTACACATCCTCCACCTCTTCATGTACCGGAACGTTAGCCATAAGGAGGTCGCTCTTTAGCGCCCCAGACAGCCTTGGGCGTCCATCCTTGAAGAATGATAGGTGGCTACCATCATGGTAAAGCCACCGACCCTTGATGATATCGGCAGGAGGTAAAAATGTCTTGCCATCGCCGTCAGTCCACTCCACATCGTTCAGCTCCATGAATCCCTTGACCACCATGAGGCAGTAGTCGTACCCAGGAAAGTCATCAGGTTCATCATTTTGCAACGCAATCACGGTGTCCACATCAATAACCGTGGAGCTTTCTGGTTCTGCTGTGGCTGCTTCTGTCGACGGCTCAAGTGTAATGCAGCACCAGTCATCAACATGGTCACTGAATGCACAGCGATCAGTTGCACTGGGCACGCCAGCCGCGAAATGGCGGCAAAAATCACAAGAACAGCTGCGCTTCCGAACATGGATTGTCCTTGGTGGTCCTGCTGCGAGTACTGAATGAAATTTCTGCGTGGACTGCACGGTCTTATAGCTGATGCAGGTGAACTGCTCAACCTGCAGCTGATGTGGTGTAACAAGGTGGAAAAACCGCTCATTAATCCTAGCATTGCCTGTGCCTGTCAATGGCTCCTGCGCTGCTGGAACCTTCTGAGTACGGTTGAGGAAGTCCACAACATCCGTAGCCTCCTTGAGCAGGATGCCGTCTGGGCGGCGAAGCTTGATGATGCCCCCCTCAGAGTCATGCAAACCCTTGCCGTGCCCCGCCTCACAGTAGTCGTGTTGCACTCTCATGCCCTTCATGTCAGGCCTGATGGACATTGTTGTGGAGGATTCAATGCAGCAGTGTCTTTGAAATGTGAGCCAATTAATGCACATATGGTGGTTTGCTCGCGACAAAGGTAACACGTTATTTCCAACTGCCATTGCCTTACATGAATGCAAGCTCTACATGCAGGTACCGGCCTGTGAGGTTCTTTCTTACCATTCACTTTGCAGTCCAAAGGAGTCCGCACACTTGAACTGGCTGCAGCAGTTGTCTGACCACCTGAACCACACTTTCAGGTTGCTCCGGACACCTGGGTACCTGTATAGCAACCATTTTATGTACCTTAACTTACGTTCCCAGGCAGCAGTCACTTACTGCAATGCGTGCTAATGTAGTACGAGTATGAGTGAGACGCATGACGTCTTTTCTCACTCGTACTACGTAATACCACTCAGCCTCAGCCGCAGTAACATATCATGCAGCATGCAGTGCCTTCCAGGGACTAGCACACATGTGTACACCTGCATAACTGGTCATTGCAGTGCAAACAAACACACAAGATTCCCGTCCCATTTTCCCCAGTTAGTCCCCAGCGGTACCTGCTTGTAATGTCGTCAAGGAGCATTTTGTACGACAAATTCACGTAGGATGCATCCTGCTTGCAGTCACCGCACCCTATGAAGAAGTGCGACTCCACGTGTTGAGCGCCACCTGTATACACAAGGATAAGAGATTCCATATGTAAAGAAATCCAAACAGGCGCCGTCACTCGAGCTTGCATTCTTCCAGATCATTCGTGGAACTTACTGGGCCTGCTGTTGTCGATCATGTACACCACAACGACGAGGATGCACATGGTAACACCGGCCCAGTGCATCGCCATAGGCTCGTTCTGGTACTTAAGCACAAGCTTCTCAGAGAAGTCGGCTGTGGTCACGAGCTCGTGGGCCAGTTGCCGATCTGGGTCCGACAGCATGTGAAACATGCGACGTTGCCAAACCTTGCTGAAGTGGTGCTGTGCAAAGTCGCCGAAGTCGTTCAGTACCCACCGTTCAACTTGAGAGAGCTTGCAACGCTTTTCTATGTACTCCACACGATCACTGCTTGTATCTTGGCCCTTGCAGATCTGCCTGACCTTGACCGTTGGATCGAAGGTCTCGTGACGAAGCTCGTCTTCAACACCGTCAGGAACCTGTTAAGCAAGGATCCGAATAACACACGAAAATGCGTGAGCAGGACTCCCATTGATCCGGCAGATGCTGGTGGTGGGCGCTGAACCTGGGCGATCCACTGAGAAGTCGGCTAGGGTGACTGGACGAGGGTGCCCCGAAATACCGGGGAAGGCAGGGTTTCGCCGGGTAGCGGCCATGGGTGAAGGTGTGCCCCCCTGTCCCACACATCATGTAATGTCAGATAAAGGATGCAGAAGGCCATAGGCTGCAGCAGTAGGACAGCATTTTACACGACCTACAGATTAGCTTGCAACACTATTTATTGAACAAGGACACACGATCGTGAGTGGGTTGGCGGTTGCAATAATGTGGATACCGGGCACGTACTTTCTCCAGGCAGTACCAGCCTAACTACTCGATGCCACAGCGTGCACACGCGTGAGAGAGGCATGCACTGTGTGGCAGAAGGCCAAGCTCTTCCGGTTCGTGAACTTCTAATTCCCGCTGACAGAATGCTGCAGATAGCAGAGATTGCACTGTGAGCGTCTCCGGAAGTTGCATTTGTGGTCGGACCCGCTTAAGCCTCGTCCCACGAAGCGGCGCCGGTGCTAACTTCCACCGATGCGTAGAGGCAGCTTTAAGGAGGTTCTCGAAATTCACACACCGAATACAAACACAGACTGACCGTTGTACTGCCTGCAAACAATATTTTCATTTTGTGATATTCCAAATATGTCATATGTCGGGATTTTGGGATTGGATAAAATAGAGGCGCGCGCGGAGGAACAGACGGACGTAAAGCCGCGCGCCCATCCCTGCGCTGTGTTTCGGCCCGGTCAGGGCCCCCGGTGCTCGTCCTTTCTCGGGCGAGCCGCCCACAGTGTAACACCCCATCAACAACAACAACATCAACAACAATAAGCTGAAGCAACATTACAATTCCTCTTACCCTAAAAGGTTTGACGTACCCAGGCTTTGCTCCCACGAAGAAGCCAAAGGACACGTGGAAGGCGGTGCTGTGCTGATGCAGGTAATCCAAGTACAGCTGACGATACGTTTTTTGGACTATCCTCCGTGGAAAGTATACGGCAGCAGTGCCCGGAATCTTTACACTGTCCCGCGCGTGTGGACTGAGTACACTGTTGTTGTACCAAAAACACGCAATCTCCTCCACGACCCCCTTAGGAATTTTGTCCGAGCGCTCAATCAGCCTGTATGGGCGAGCAGGTTGGGTGCTAGCTCCGCCAACTACTTCCTTGAAGCGCTCGCCTGCAGCCCTGATGGCACTTTTCTTTAAACCCACGCGCCTGTGCAGTGCGTCTGTGTTCCCCCGGATTTCCCTGATCTGAGGGCCTAGTCCAGGGATACAGAGGAAGGGGTGTTAAGTGTGTAGTGTGTGAGTCTGTGTGACGTCATCAGGGTATGTTATGCCATCAGAACAGTGGTGTACACGGGATGGAGCCGCAAATATGTGCAAGGGTATGCTTCCAGTGTTGGGATTACCTGATACCGCCGTAGAAATAACACTTATGGCTGTCTGAAGATTCTTGATTTGCCCTCCAGGACGTCGGATGGCGTCCAGGAATTGCTTGACTGAGTCCACTATTGCCTTATCAATGCGAGCGCTGTTGTACTGTTCATGTAGTTCCTTAGGAAATCTTTGAACTAGATTACTGAAAAACTCTTTCCTCTGATCGCTTGAAAGTCGAGTTACCTTTTCAACCAAATTTGTCACCTCGGAGTCCATACCATAATCATGCACGCTACAATCACGAACGCACTATCAAACCTGTAGAGTGTATAGTGACTTTGAAACAGCTATTCCACCTGTGGCCTAATTGTGTATTGGCCAGTGCGATGGCTGCTAGGGCAGCGCGTTCGGCGGTAAATCGCAACTATGCTGATCTAAGTACCTGTACGCACACAAAGTGTTGAACGAGATTTTTGGACTGTTACGACGGGACGTGTGTTTCGACTAAGGCACGATGCCAGAAACAGACACCCACCCCATATGGCCAGCCAGTTTTATGTTTCGTAGTCAGCGCTTCGCAGCTTTCCTAAGATTATCTCATGAAAATTTCCGCTTAATGACAGCAATTAGATCGAGTGCGAAGGTACGTGTCATGAGAACGGACTAACGCCAATAAAAACGGGTCAGGTACCGCATCCCGCTGCTCATGGCCACCAGTTCTATGTGTCGCAATCAGCGCTTCGCAGCTTTCCTAAGATGATGTTATGAAACATTATGCTTAATGACAGCATTTAGATCGAGCGCGAAGGGACGTATCATGAGAAAGGAATAAAGCCAATAAACGTGACAGATATCGCATCCCTGTGCTCATGGCCACCAGTTCTATGTGTCGCAATCAGCGCTTCGCAGCTTTCCTAAAATGATGTTATGAAAAATTCTGCTTAATGACAGCAATTAGATCGAGTGCGAAGGTACGTGTCATGAGAACGGACTAACGCCAATAAAAACGGGTCAGGTACCGCATCCCGCTGCTCATGGCCACCAGTTCTATGTGTCGCAATCAGCGCTTCGCAGCTTTCCTAAGATGATGTTATGAAACATTATGCTTAATGACAGCATTTAGATCGAGCGCGAAGGGACGTATCATGAGAAAGGAATAAAGCCAATAAACGTGACAGATATCGCATCCCTGTGCTCATGGCCACCAGTTCTATGTGTCGCAATCAGCGCTTCGCAGCTTTCCTAAAATGATGTTATGAAAAATTCTGCTTAATGACAGCAATTAGATCGAGTGCGAAGGTACGTGTCACGGAAAAAGGCATGACGACAGAATCCTGGGGCAGTTGCTGTCACCGCATCCGCCAACTCCGTGTACAACGCACACAACTTCAACCTAACATGTATTTAACCTGCTAGACTACTAAATATTTCAAAGGGCAGTTCGGAGGTCTTAAGTGTGGCAGTTTTGGCAACTCCATCTCCACCTGCCGCTGGCGCTGCTGCTGCTGCTGCATGCACGGACAGAAGTTATGAGCTATAGACAAAAGAAAGCAGAAGCTAATCCTGATAGGGATCGTAATGCCACTGCAAACCGTGGCGATGTAGCAGGACCCTCCAGACAAGCCTACCCTGCAATATCTCAGCAGACGACCTCGGCTGGGCGGCCCCTGGCAGGCTTGCCAAGTAAGATTTACACAACAGTGGCATTGCGAATTTAATGTATTTATGGACTCCTACGCACGAACCCGTTGTCTGACGCATGCATCGCAGAACAAGTGCGCTGGCAAGATGGCGGTGTTGTCGCATGCAGTGAACCAGGTTGCGAGGGTTTGGGCTTTGCGAACCAACATGCTGCTGCAGCCCATCACATATTGAGGCACAACAAGACGCGTGCGGACGTCTTCGATGCAACGTTCGGCGCAAGAGACAGCGCCGTTTCTGTCAGAGTTCAGGACATGGAGATACCCATCCATGACTTCCTGCAGGGTTCCGACCTCGGTGAGGAAATGTTCCTTGATAATGTTACCAGATTATCATCATCCTTTCTGCGGGCTGGGTACACTGTTATTGCAATGCATCCCTTCCTTGTCTTGGAATTATCGGGCGAATTTCAGCTGCTGACATTATCCTGTGTGTGTATTGTCCAGAAGCTACTGCACACCCTTGATTAAGGCAGCAAGCTGGGCCTTGTGTTGTGCTTTCATACCGTCAGTATGCGGGTAATGGAAACGTTACTAGCCACTACAGGAAATCTTGCTTAGTTTTTCATGTACCGTAATGCAGGTAACTTCGGTGAACTAACGGTTTGCTTGAAATGTTACGAGGACGGCATCTCGTCAGGGCGCATGCACCTGCGCATGATTGTGCACAGGACGGCACAGCGCCAGCACTACAAGACAGGTCGTATAGGCAATCGCAGGTAAGCCAGGTATCGATGTTATGATGCGTGTATTTCCATTCGATACCTGCTTGCGTTTCACCGCTGCTAACATAAATGCCAGAGCTATGTAGTGCTGCTTACTTAACCCAAATCCAAATGAAGTCCTGATTGACCACCGTTGTAAGTTGTTGGGTTGCTATCTTATATAAATAGTATACACCCAAGAAGTAATGATAGATCCGGATTTGGGATTTGGAAAAAGGAATGGATGCGTCGAGTCGTTCATTTTCATGTCTTTGGGGTTGGGATGTGCGTGTTTTGTGTGCACATGACTTCTTACAGTATTACATGGTGCAACAGATCCTCCGTATCTAGAACCACCTTCAAAAGCAAGCAACTGCGCCATTTGCTCTTGGTTTTCTAGATGTTTTGAAACCTGTCGGTGGTTCTTGGGGGCCGGGAGCCCCTCTAGCGCCTCACAGCGAAGTAAAAAACTATCACATAAATTCGGAAAGTGTAATATTTCATAAATAATAAAAGGAGACCTCGCTCCTAATGAGAAGAATTAGCACTGGTGGTAAAATGGCGTGCCCTTGCTTCTTACATGTGAATTCCCAAGGCATGTTGTTCAGACCATGTCGTACGTGCACATACCATATGTGAAATTTTCGCAGGCTGTCCGATCACACAGCTGTCATCACACTGCGGGACCTTCGAGACCGCCTGGCAGCCCAAGGTGACAGCTGGATTGCGCGGTGCCCATCACACCTTCATGTTTGGGACAAAGCGGAGGTCAACAGCAACATTACCACTGCGGGCCATGATACAGGGACTTCACCGCCTGGTAGGCAACCACTTCCGGAGGTGGTGGCGGCAAGGGCAGCAACGGTGGCAGCGGCGGCGGCACCAGATGGTGGTGAAGGGCGTCCACGTCCAGCGGCACCCACTTTTCGAGGGCGGAGCCAACCTCAGGCAGCGGCAGCAGCTGTGGCGGCAGCGACAGAAGCAGTGCCAGGGGCTACGGGGCGTGTACTGCTGCCGACATCAGCTAGTGGAAGGCGAGGCAGACCTCCGGCTGCAGCAGCAGCGCCAGGGGTTGCAGGGCATGCGATGCTAGCTGTACCTGTGCCTCCACGGCAAATCAGTTCCCCTGCGGCGGCAGCACCTGGGCCTGTGCCGATTCAACCGGCAGTGGCACATATTGCTGGGGCCCCGAGCAAACCTCCGATGGCGGCGGCGACTGCGTCGCCAGCAGTGCCTGAACAGGCTCTTCGGCGTTCTGCTCGCCAAGCAGCAGCAGCAGCAGCGGCAGCAGCGGCAGCAGCGACAGAAGCGGCAGCAGCAGCGGGAGTGGCAACGGCAGCGGCGCCTATCACACAACCCAGCCCCCACTCAGGAGACACAACAGATATTATGGGCCCCACAGCAGCTCGCAAGAGGCGTCAGGCCAGAGCTGGGGAGGGAAACCCTAAGCGTCGTCTGTGCATCATTGAAGAAGAACAAGAAGCGGAAGAAGAAGAAGGAGAAGATGATGACGATGTGGCGCGCGTGGACGGAAACGGAGGTCACGGTGGTAACGAACGACGTGAAGCCGATATGCCTTCCGTTCGGGAAAGGAGCGATGATGACGGCCACAGGGTTGAGAGGCACGCTCGCCTTCACGATGAGCATCCTGACCACAGCGAGGCGTCGGGATCTGCTGCCCTGCCCCGAGATTCTGACACCCAAGTTGCATGTTCGCCTTTGGAGGACTTGTTAGAAGGTTAGTTTCACGCTGAAAATAGTTGCCCACGATGGATTGGAAACAGCAGTTTTCCAGGCAGCTGCCTTTGCTGTAATCCGAAAGCTGCTGTGCATGTTCAATCTTCTCCTCTCACCAACCCCTAACCTTCCTGACAGGGCCTTACTTGAAATGCCTTTGTCAAACATTGACATGTTTCTCCCGTTACTGGACAGGTGTACGAGGTTCAGCACCGCACGCAACCACGGAGCACTACCTCAGCATGCTCACGAGGGCTGCGAAAGATGGCCTGTTCGACCCATCAAACATACCCACAGAGCTCAACCACCACCTTATGCACCTTGGAGCGGTATACAACATGATGGTGTCATTGGACGCGACTCAGGAGGATGGCCTGTACTCGGCCTTTGTATGCACGCTGTCCAAGATTAGGGACACCTTGAGCACCACCGACCATGTAAAGTAAGCATATGACAAGAACGTGAAGTCTTTCCCTTGCAAGCACAGCGACAACCCGGATGCATGTGTGGTGCCGGTGACCTATGTCGTACAGTATCCTACTTGGGGTACCCTACTAGGAGAAGGCTAGGAGCTTAACTTTACACCTTCATTCGCAATGCCATATGTATTGAGCCATGCTTTTCTTCAGCATTTCACACCCCGTGTGTGCAGGATGGCCGACGCCGAGGCAACATACAAGGCGAGCAAGGCCACCATTGCCGGGCATCGTGAAACCGCTGGAAGACTGAGGGCCACCAATGAGAAGGTGGTGAAGCCACTGCTTGATGCGTCCGAGAGGCTTGCGCGGGAGGCGAAGGAGCTCTATGCTGCAATCGCCAAACAGGAGGCGGCATGCTTGGAATCTGCGGAGCACGAGGAAGCGAAGTCAGCTTATAGCTACTATAAGCAGATGGAGACCGACGTCGTTGTGAACGACATCTTGGTCTTGGCGGCAGATGCCATGCCAAACCGCTTTATGAACGACACGATGAAGGAACTTCTGCAGTTTCCCAAGCAGCGGCAGGCAAGCCTTCCCAAGCGTGTGAACGACCCTGGAAGACCACCAGAGCTCGGCAACGACAGGGATCTGGAGGAACCCCAGGTCATCAAGAAGCTTGGTAGCCGGCTCGACGGTGTTTTGCAGGTTGCCAAGTGCTGTGGGTTTCCAGTCAACGTCACAGGGCCACAAATGCCAAGGCCCCTAACGACGCCGAAGGACACCAGCGCACCAGGTGGGCCTCGCTCTGGACAGGGGCTCAAGGCGGTTACCATGCAAAGCGTGTCTGGTGAGGAACCAGGGTCAGATGAGAGGGAGGTTAGAAACGCTGAGAAAGCTGCAGAGGAGGCGCGCGTGTATTATCGTGGGCTACGTTGTGGCACTGGTGCAGCAGACTCTCCAGACGAGCAGGGGCTTGCAACTCTTGCTGAAGCAGCAGCCACTCAAAAAAACCATGTTAGTGTGCTGCCGTCACAGCTTCCACCTCCGTTATGCAGCCAATCCGGCTCCGAGGGTGGTGTCCACGAGGACCTGCCATCACAGCCTTTTGCCAGGGGTCCTGGGACTCAAGTCGTCCCAGAAACATGCCTGGACGACTGCCTGGCGGAGATGCCTGATGCACGGCAACTGGGAGCGCAAGTCCGTGGATCTGGTGCGCCCAAGTTAGCAATGCAGCTTGTTGGGCCTCATGGCAATGGTGGGCAGGAGGTGGAGACTGGCGAGGATGAGGAAGGGGACGAGGATGAGGAAGGGGACAAGGATGAGGAAGGGGACGAGGATGAGGAAGGGGACGAGGATGAGGAAGGGGACGAGGAGGTGTAGAAGGGCGAGGATGAGGAAGGGGATGAGGATGAGGAAGGGGATGAGGATGAGGAAGGGGACGAGGATGAGGAAGGGGACGAGGATGAGGAAGGGGACGAGGGTGAGGAAGGGGACGAGGATGAGGAAGGGGATGAGGATGAGGAAGGGGACGAGGAGGTGTAGAAGGATGAGGATGAGGAAGGGGACGAGGGTGAGGAAGGGGATGAGGATGAGGAAGGGGACGAGGGTGAGGAAGGGGACGAGGGTGAGGAAGGGGACGAGGGTGAGGAAGGGGACGAGGATGAGGAAGGGGACGAGGAGGTGTAGAAGGGTGAGGATGAGGAAGGGGACGAGGAGGTGGATAGGGAGGCAGAGGGTGCGTGGGTGGATGGTGATCATGCTGAGGCGGCTGGGGAAGGGATGCAGGGGGCCTGGAAGTACTGACAGCTAGCAATGTTCAGGAGTGGGATGTTGCTGGGAAGTGGCGTGGCATATGTAGCTGTGGAGACGTTTTCCAGGGGTTGGGTGAGGTTTGAAGCGTGAGACAACGTGTGTGTCCAATTCCAGATGGGAATACTGGTCAGCCCCGGTGCACAGGCATGCCATGTTGTAGTGCTCGTTGATACGCGGCGCATACCATGTGGGACAGGACAGTGCTAGTTATCTGTTTGCGTGTTGCTCCACGAATTAGCATTTAGGTTCAAGCCTTTTGCCCTTTCCGTTTTGTTGTTGCCTTGTGTGCTCCGCATGCGCGGCATGTTTCGCAGGCGCTCTCCTGCACAGTAGATGCAACGGACCAGAGAACATCTCCGTACAAATATGCCGTCCAAAGCGTTTGGCTTTGCTGTGTTACACAATACAATGTTCTTCCTTGCTTCGATCTGAGTTGGGGTGCTGTGTCACCGCAGATGTACGGTGCTGGGTTTCCGCTGAGCATTTGCTACCAGCAGTAAGATTTTTGACGTATCGGATGTATGGTGATGATCGTGACCACGTCCCCCAATACGTTGTGTGGGAGGTGTCATGGGTGTAAGGAGCAGGACGAACGTGAGGGGCCCTCTGGCACGCGGCTGCACACGCACACGCACACGCACACGCACGTGCGAATACCGTTGGTCGGGTCACAGAGCAAAATTGCAGTGCCTTTGTAACAACAATATCTTGTTTTCATGCTCGCGACCCACAAAGTTCAGCTGCGGGCCTCGCAACTTCCCGCGGTCCGAACGCATCTCATAAAAAGACGTTGGCCGTTGCACCAAAATAATTTTAATATTACCCAGGATTATGTAGACCTCAAATCCAATGCAGTTTTGCTACATGCGGCATGCTCGGGTGCTTCATGTTTGACCACAGGCCGCGTCACAGAACTGCAAGAATACGGCCCGCCTGCAGGACCGAATGCACTGCAATATTATAGAATTATAAACCCTTCAAAATCATGCAAACAGATTTTCAAAATACTACGCCATCATGGAAATCGCCTCCTCCTAGTAGTAGGCAAATAGGGCCGGTCATCCGTGAATCGCATCCGATGCGATAGAAGCGAAAATCCTGAAAGTGGAGATTGAAATAGGGGCTGTTGAGACGCGGCTGTTGACATGCAAGGACGATTAGAAGGATTACTTACGGAACAAGGAAATCCACCTCCGCAAGGAGAAGGAACAGCTTCGCGAGAAGGAGAACATTTTGCTTCGCAATGGTGAGTTGTGTCAGCGCATGTTTGAGGCCGTGGCGAGGGCCTCGCGCAGACCCGGACGTCGCATTTTTGCACTCCTGGATGCATCTGACTTAACAAGTCCACATGTATCGAGCATGGGGTGTTCAGCTGTTCCACAACGGTTTGCCAAAGAGCCTTGTTAAGGTAGATCCATGTCTCCATCCCTCTATGGCGCTTTCAAGGCCCCTAGCCACGTTTGTATGATTTTCGGAAAACCGTTAGCAAGCTCTGTGTTTCCTTTTTTAGCCGGTATCTTAACAATCAACATGCAAAAGAGGTCTTGCATTGATTGATGATCTTCCTCAGCACCGAGCAAGCACAGTGTCACCCCTGTAAGCAACGCCAAATCTCGTCAGCCTTGAGGTTAGGTTATTACTGTAGTTGGGGGGCTTCCTGTGGCACACCTGTAAAGCCCCCTTCTTTCTCTCGACCGGGAACGATTATTAAAGTATCGTTCACAGCAGTATTAAAGTATCGTTCACAGTATCGTTCACAGCAGCTGCAGCACAAACTCGTGCAGCTCCGCACCTGAAGCACCCTCCAGCTGTTCGGCCGCCAGCCGCAGCCCCACGGTGGTGGGGAATTCATGGAGGTCGTGAACCCCCACATGCTCCAGCAACGTCACCGCCAGCAGGAAGAAGTCCGCAGCCGTGCATGTCATGTGGATGTCGACCAGCCAGTGTGTTGTGGTGGATTCCCTCGGGACCACACCCAGGCGGCATGCGGAGCCGAAGTCACCAAGGATGCAGTCACCTGCAAGGAAGCAACAATGAGAAAGGCAGGTCAGGCGAATTAAGCATACCAACATGCACCGAACATGGCACAGCATTCATCCAGCTGTGATCCAGCCGCGTACCTTGACTGTTCAGGAACACTTTTGCAGCCTTGATGTCATTGTGCCCGTTGCCAGCCTGGTGCACAAGACCAAGCGTGGTGTGGATCTGCTGGCCGCACCGCAGGAGGCAGGCTGCATTCATGGGGCGGGGCACATGCTGCAACATGGCAGGGTACAGGGGCATCAGCATCGGAGATGACATCCCTGGGGCTGCACCGGACTCACAATGCCAGTGACTGCGGCTTCCAGCAGGTCTCTGATCACTTTGTGCTTGTGCTCCACGTCTGCAGGGTCCAGTGTGAACTTGGCCAGCAGTGGTTTGACGTGGTCCTGAAACGCCATGAGCAGCACCACCCTGCAGCATGGGTGTGCAAGCAACAACACGACTTGTCAAACACATGCCATGACACCTGCTTGCACCCAGCGGCAGCCTTCACATGTTGCATCACGTGATTGCACCTTGCAGGCATACCGCTGCTGTATGGACTGTTGAACACTAGGCTGTTGTGCTCCTTAAACAGCACCTTTGTGATGCTGTGAGGTGATGCCGTGATGGAATGGTACAACTGCTGCAGCAGCTTGTTGTCGGTGAATGGCAGCTGTGGTGTGAAGAACTCAACAAGATCCAGGTGGTCAGCATGTGGGACCCCAGAGCTTGCCCGACCTACAATCATGGCTTGAGCACCTAGTGGAGAGGCTGGAACTGCGCTTGGTGCAGGATCTTGTTGAGTCCTTCGCGCCACAGCTGCCATTCGCCGATGACGAGCTGCTGCAGTGGTGGTACCATTCTGTCGTGGCATCACCTCACAGCATCACAAAGGTGCTGTTTAAGGAGTGCAATGGCCTAGTGTTCAATGGTCCGTACAGCAGCAGTATGCCTGCAAGGTGATCGCACCTTGCAGCAGCAGTATGCCTGCAAGGTGCGATCACGTGATGCAACATGCAAGGGCTGCCACTGGGTGCAAACAGATGTCATGGCATGTGTTTGACGAGTCGTGTTGTTGCTGGCACACCCATGCTGCAGGGCGGTGCTGCTCATGGTGTTTCAGGACCACGTCAAACCACTGCTGGCCAAGTTCACACTGGACCCTGCGGACGTGGAGCATGAGCACAAAGTGATCAGAGACCTGCTGGAAGCCGCAGTCACTAGCATTGTGAGTCCGGTGCAGCTGGCCAGGTGCAGCCCCAGGGACGTCATCTCCTTCAGTCAGTCCAGCGTGCGTGTCAAGTGCGCGATGCTGATGCCCCTGTACCCCGCCATGTTGCAGCATGTGCCCCGCCCCATGGATGCAGCCTGCCTCCTGCGGTGTGGCCAGCAGATCCACGCCATGCTTGGTCTTGTGCACTAGGCTGGCTACTGGCACAATGACATCAAGGCTGCAAAAGTGTTCCTGAACAGTCAAGGTACATGGCTGGATCACGGCTGGATGAATGCTGTGCCATGTTCGGTGCATGTTGGTATGCTTAATTCGCCTGACCTGCCTTTCTCATTGTTGCTTCCTTGCAGGTGACTGCATCCTTGGTGACTTCGGCTCCGCATGCCGCCTGGGTGTGGTCCCGAGGGAATCCACCAACACACTGGCTGGTCGACATCCATGTGACATGCATGGCCGCGGACTTCTTCCTCACTCGGGGAACGACTTGGTCATGGATGTGGTCATGCGGGGGGTTTCCTGTCATAGATCTGGTCATGTTGCCTCATGACCACTCATGAGGCCTCATGACCGGTCATGTTACCGGTCATGAGGCAGAGTCATGGTCATGACAGTTGTCATGCTCCTTGCGCAGCATGACGGATCATGAATTGCCACTCATATATGTAAATTCAGTCATGTTCCCAATGGTCATATGCTGGCTATGTGTTCATGTTTTGTTCCTTTCTAAAAAGTGACAATTATATGCCATATGGACTCCCGAATCCCCTCTGAAATGCTGCATAGTATATTACCTCCATAACAATGTGCACAATGTACTATACAGCATCCCTGCCGGGATTCTGGAGTGCACTTGAATTACCTTCGTTTCAGCCACTTGCAGTGACTTGATATGCATTCAGGCGCGGCCGTAAACAAAGCCCTTAGGCTTAGCTGCACTTATCCAACGCAAAAGATCAGTATATGCCAGCTAGCAGGGCAACTTCCTTTTGGCCTGTTGCCAAGCCTTACTCGGTCAGCTCCCTTACACCCTGTTGTTAATTTGAAAGCCATATGTTACATACTTAAGGCATGTATTTAAGGTTTAATTAGCAAAGATTCTCTCCTGCTGTGTTCAAGCATGACAAGTTAAGTCACCAGCTCGCACCGTCCCACAGGCACAGCATTGTTGATGTAACTAGCTAAAACATGTGGGAGGTGCATTAGTCTCAACCGCAGGCGCGGCGGCGGCCATACTCCACCCCCTGTCTTTGCACTGGTGCCGATATGCATGTGACCGACTACCAAACCAGTTGGCACAGTTGGTGCAGTAAAAAGGCTGGGAGGAGTCCGGAGCTACTTCCGGTCTGTAAATGGTCTTTCGTGGTTTGGATGCCACCTCCAGCGCATTCAATGACATGGCAAACTGGCTAATGTGACCAGTAAGGCCTGCTGGCAGTGACGTGGCTGGAGTGTGTGGGGGTTCACGACCTCCATGAAGGCCCCACCACCGCGGGGCTGCAGCTGGCAGCCGAACGGCTGGAGGGTGCTTCAGGCGCGGAGCTGCACAAGTTTGTGCCGCAGCTGCTGTGAACGATACTTTAATAATCGTTCCCGGTCGAGAGAAAGAAGGGGGCTTTACAGGTGTGCCACGGGAAGCCCCCCAACTACAGTAATAACCTCAAGGCTGACGAGATTTGGCGTTGCTTACAGGGGTGGGGTGATGAGGTGTTCAGCTTGTACACTCATCACTGCCATGGATATAGAAGAAGTGTTTGCTTACCACACCTAGCTGCCTGGGACTCAAGATGCGGCGCCTCTTGACTATGGCATTGGCGTGGTTGGGAAGGGTGGTTCAGCATGCTTTAATATACCCCTAGGCGGTTCAGTAAGTGTAGCAAGCTACATTTCCCTTAGAATATTTTAACGATTACTTTTAACAATAACTGTTAATTTGTTAAACGATTTGACTCAAGTTTCGTACATGTTCCGAGTTTCGTCACATGTCGCGAACTGGGCAGCTGTTCGTAAGCGAATCTAACGGGATGGGGCCCCGGGCCCCACCAACATTATCCTAGTACGGCAAAGTCCGTAGTAGGGATTATCCAGCAGGTAGGCCGAGATATAAGCTACCCGGGCGGGGTGTTCTGGCCAGACACTGACGTATCACATTACTAGGTGTTCGGAGTTCAAGACTCCGCTGCCGCCGTCTCTAATCGTTATGTACACGTCTATGTACGCTAGTGCTTGCCGCCTGGTTGGACTTCTTCCTACATCGGTGAGGACTAACAACTCCACGCTTCCACGCTGTCAGTCGTCCCGTCAGGTGAGCGACTGCTACAGTAAGCCTGGCAGGTCTTACCTGATAGTGCTGCTAGTTGCCTTCTGCTTTGCAGGATGTAGATTCAGGGCATTTGCAAGTGTTGCATGTATGTTGTCAGCCTTTCCAGCATTATAGAATTATGGTGTACATTCATGTCAGGATAGCCAGTTGCAGCTGTGTGCACATTGCAGTTGCTTTGGCATTCGCAAGCCTGCCTGCAGGTTTCGTGTTTGGTTGAGGTGTGGATAAGCAGGTCGTGGGGTGCATTTGCCCAAACACGCCAGCTGATATGGGCTCTGCCGCGGATGATGTGCATTCCACCATGTGGAATGGCTATCGTGGCTTGTCAGATGCGTGATGAGGACATTAAGACACTGTCAACGACGCGGTGGCGTTGACTTGTACAGGTTTTTATGGTTGTTGGCACAGGACTAGGGAGTGGGAATGTGGGTTGGATGGGTGGGCAGGTGTGTGCTGGTCGCACTGGCTGCATGTGAAGAAGTGGCGAGACTAGCAAAGTAACCGTTGCCTGTGTTGAGATTGTGCAAATGGTTGCTTACCAAATAGATACAAGGACCGCGGCAAGCGTGCATACCAATGTAACCTTTTATGTGTACGCACGCTAGAATTGGAAAGGCTCTCACCAGTCCTGCCCTCCTAGGGCACATCTGGGGGTGGGGCAGTAAAGCTGATTCGTACTGCAAAAAAACCGTTTTGCTTTCGGCTGCAAAATGTCCGAGACTTAATTGCCTTTTGCTGATATTAGCCTCCCAGTTCCCCCATCAGCCCCGGCAGCTCAAGCAGCACTTGACAGCACCTCGCAGCGACATCCTTCGGCGCCGCCATAGCCCCCCTGCCCTCATCACTGCATGCAAGGTGCTTACTGACCAGTGTGCAACGATGACAAAGCTGCCACAATTGCAACTGCCAATTGTCTTAACATGTCCAAGTGGCGGGAGGTGAAAAGGGAGGCCCACATGGCCGTGTTCATGGCGGGGCCCACCTGCAGATGTTGGGAGTTGGGAGTTTTGGTGGTTTGGATCGTTGAGGGCTTTGGTGTTGAGGGCAATGGTAAGCGCAACGGAGGAGGGGACCGGGACCTATGACACGGGATTAGGGCTTATGGGACCAATCTGGGTCGAGCCTTCTACCCCTACAAAACTACTAAACGGAGCTGGGGTCGATGATGATGAGGTCCATGTGTGTGTGTGTGTTACATGGTTGGGGGTGCGTGACCCCATACCTGTAAGACTACCCATACGAGCCGAAGGCCCAAGGGCAATACTACAACGCCTAAAAGCCACGGAGAAAAGAAAAAAAACACCGCACATCAGCCCAGACTAGCGTCCAAAGGGGGTAATTGAGTTTCGGTGAGCCCACATACGTTCCAACATCCTCGCCAGGCGTGCGGGTTCCCATTGCATGGCCTCCAACATACTCTGTTGATGATCGAATCCCTCTTCAGCACGAATATCATTATAGGCTGGGCATTCCAATAACACGTGTTTTTCATCCTCAATTCGGCTATTAGGACCACAACAGTGGCAAAACCGCTGCCCCCTGGGGACATGGTACTTGCCCCTTCGTGCTCTGTTCGCCTCCAAAGCCCAGCAACATAAACGAAACTGCATTAGCTTACGATGTGCTAAACGAGGAATGAAAACATTAGCATGTGTTGGCCACATGACGGCTGTGGCTCCCGAAAAGGGCAGCCCCATCCAGTGCTTATACTTCGCCATTTGCACTCCCGGTTGCTTCCCATCTGATGGGTACTCCTCCTTTTTTTTTCCTTTTTCTCCGTGGCTTTTAGGCGTTGTAGTATTGCCCTTGGGCCCTCGGCTCGTATGGGTAGTCTTACAGGTATGGGGTCACGCACCCCCAACCATGTAACACACACACACAGTCAGACGCGTATGGTCCCAGCCGCTCATCAAACGCTCTCTTAGTGCCGTTATTATCGCTCCTTCTGGTAGAGGTCTACTCAACAACCAGTCAACACGCTCCTTTACCCCCACGACTTCTTGCGGTATTCCGCTCCAAATGTTGCACTCCAAGAAGGAAAACAGTCGTAACATTGAGATTCCCCAACCCTCCCATTCCGGGTTGGTCAGGGCATCGGTTATCTCCTGCCGTAAAACTGCATGAGCAATGGATCCCACTTGCTTTTGAAGGCGGTTCCAGAAACGGAGAATCTGCTTCACCATGTAATATTGTAAGGGGAGTTCAGCCAGCTCCGCGTACAACAGCCTGTGGGATGGCCGTGCCGTCCCATGTGTGGTGAGGAGGTCCATGTGTGGTGATAACCATATACATTCGCTATGATACCTCTCTTTCCAGCCTCTTAACCTCGTACCACCACGCCGATGCCTTACCCCGGCTCTCTTCGCACCCTCCCATATACCTCAGGCATCTCACTGCCCTGCATGCACCTAGCATCAGCGACTTGGCATGCCCCCCTGGAGAGCTAAAGGAGTTGCCACACACAGGCCGTCCTCCTCCTCCTCTCCATCCGTCATGCATGAGGTAGGCGGGCCGGTTTCGCAGCTAATCGTAGTAGAGATGAATATACAAACGATATAATGTAATGTAATGAAATGTAATGTAATGTTACAGAGTGGGAGGCTTCTGGGCCGCTTTATCACATTGTCAGTTCTACGACTTTATCACCTTATAGCACCATCCACCACTACCACACTGTACTTCGCCATACGAACTGTAAGTCCAAGGCGGCGGATCCAGCCTTCAGGGACCCCTCCTCATCCATTCACCCGAACACCCGAAGAGACGGAGAGTTCGGCAATCGCCACCAATCTAGCGTGCAAATCTGGTCCATCAACTGTGACCTCAACTTCACGTCTCAGCAGCTAGCCATATCCCGACTAATTCGGGGATCTCCCGGGGAATTGAACCCAGGACCTTAATCCGCTAATTACAGTAGTGCCACCCCAGACCAACGCTATGTATAACATGCATCGTGATCTTTTGCACGTATTTGGAGATTTGCAAACGGTTCGAAGGCCTCCGGTTCTGTACTGGTGAATTTCCCCTCACCTCGTCCCCTCACCATCACCGAAGACAAAAACCGTCCCATCAGCATAGAAACACCACCATCGTCGGAAACCATATCATCGTCGCCACCACCAAAACACCGCCTGCAACGCACATAACAGCTCCACCATGGCTTGGCAGCAGAGACCTTCCTGCAGACATCAGCCGGATTGTGGGAGCACTGGGTCACTTGCCGCCACTGCAGGACATTGGCAGAACCCCTCTGGGAGAGAGTCGGGCCACAGCACCCCATCCTGGCGGTCGTGGAGGAGCGGGTGTGGTGTGCAGCACCGGTGGAAATCATGGCCTAAATAGCCGTGCTAGTGTAGGGTCAGGGGCGTTTATTGTAGGGAAGCAGAGAGAGCAAGGGAGAGGGCAGGAGTAGGGATAGGTGGGAAACGTAGGTGATATGGATGTGGTGTGGTGTGGTGTGATGAGCTCCGCCCACTGAGCTCCAGGGGGTAGTGGTGGAGGGGCGACTAGGAACGGGGAGCTAGGGAGGGCAACTGGCTTGGTGGGGGGATAGGGGGCCTTTGCGTGTGGGTGGGGGGAAGCGTGCTGCCGCTTCCGCTTCCGCTGCCATTACCCCCGCTGTAGTTGGTGCTGCTGCTGCGGCGGCTGGTTTCTACTCGACCTGGAGACATGTGATCTAACGGACAATGTGCCGCCTGCCGGGTTCTCCCCTGCGGGTTGGCGCACTGACTCTACACTGGTGGAGGGCTGCTACACGTTCGCATCAGATCTCCTCCAGCTGGGTCCCCTCCTGCGTGACGTGTGCGGTCGCCTGGTATTGTCTGCAGAGGGCAGGGTGTTCATTGAGGCACTCAGCACGCCCGCCAAAGACCATGCAAGCAGCGCTAAGCTGCTGCTGGACCATAAATGGTTGTGCTGCAAGGGAGCAGGTGCTTAACCTGGCGACTGTTAGGTAGGGTTGAAGGAGACGAGCTGCGTAGCTAATTGCAGGTTTTGTGTCTTATTGGTGTCCCCCCAGCAGGTGCCATAATGGTGCCATGATGGCGGTGGCGCGTTGCATGGCGGTTACTGGAGCACCTGGTGAGGAACAGACACCGGTGCCAGGTTCCATCCTGTGGGCTGCCAGCCCGGCTAGTCCGGCGGCCCTCTTGTGAACAGGCTGAACACAGCCATGTCGGACCTGTTCCAACTTGGGTGCATGCATGGCCGGTTAATGTGTCTTTAACGATTGTTAATTGGTCGGTTTGGTTAATGAACTTCAGTAGTGTTAAAAACGGTCGGTAACCGACATGTTTATGCCATAGGGATGGCGTTCAAGCAGCGCGGCATTGGTCTAGTGCTCTCTGTTAGGGCAGCGACGCCATCCTGATGGCTCCGAAGGCCCAGCTCTGAACAGCTGCTGGCCCAAGAGTGGTTGCAGTAGCAGGGTGAAACTTGCAAGAGCTGTGAGCGTGCAGCCAGAAGCTTGTTGTGTTTACCGAAGTGGTGCACAGGGCCAGCTGTGCAGCCGCTAGCAAGCTGATCTTGTGCAGGTTCTTGCAGGCAGCAGCAGCAGCAGAGCAGAGAAGGGTCTGAAAGTGCTGGCGTGGGCGTGAGCTATGCTGCTGTGGAGGCTTCTTGGGTTCTAGTAGCAGCTAGTGATGCTTGGACGCGGGGAGAAGCACTGGTAGCGGTGCTCTGCTTTGGGGGGCTTTTAAATCTTTTAGAATATCATCAATAGGCAGCCCCAGAAAGCATGCTTTGAGGAGAGTACGCTTTGTGATGGCGTGCTACAAGAGCAGTTACGGAAAACGAGCATGCTTTCCACCCGTACCCTCGGGGCGGTAAGCGGAAACGGCAGCTTGTTTAGTTCTTGTTAGTCCGCCGACAACTTTACAGCGCTCTTATAACCGCGCCCCAGTGAAGCCACCTTGTAAGACATCGTCAAGACCTCAAAACTTCGAGGGCAGTAGATAAAAGATAGATGTGTCACTTCTTCCAATCTTCGATCACGTATCTTCGTGCAATAATGCCTACTGGACAGCTGTCATCGCTGCATTTCTGCCTAGTAACTAGCCACACGTGAGGATGCGGTACAAGATGCCTGACAAAGGTGGCAGTTTTTGTGTTACTAACACGGTTTACTGCTGGACCGTTACTTAGGGTTCTACGACTGCCGACTTCCTATCTCCTAGCTGCCCTCATCTCCACAAGTTATGTGAACGCAGGGTGTGCAACCCGCCACATGCTTAGGTTATATGCCTCTGCTGACGGAAATGCGAGAAGTTACGGTACAACAGCCATCGCACACCAACGGCAATGGTTGCAGCATTTACTGACTGCCACGAGGAGGGAGAAGATAAAGTTTGCAGGCCTGAATTCACAGATATCCGTGTCGGGGATACAAGGAAAAAGTAAGATAAACTATAAGTATATTTGCTACGCGACAGTGCTGCACCAGGGCTTGGATTGATGAAACGCAGGGAAACATAGGCCAACAAAACACTGAACAAGCGTAAGAAGCTCCTCAACGCTGCTAGCGGGAAGTGGATTGAACAGGATGGCATGCACCGACTTGCGCCTGAGCGATGTGTACGGATTTCCACTGGTAACTAAAACTTGTTGACGGAAAGCTAACCGTGTCCTATAGATCTTTCTGCATTCAGGTTACCTAGTTGCTCAGGCTGCGTGTGTCCCAATTAAACTGCGAACTGCGTTCATTCTTAAAACTTTATTTGCTGCAGCGCGGGGTGGGAGCGATCCAAATTATTTGCCTTACAATGTTTTCTTTACTTCAAAAGCCAGTATCCTCATATTGTTATCATGGCAGTCGCGCAACTCTAACCCCCGATTGGCAAACAAGAACGGCGAAGGTTGGCTTCCTAAGAGTTTCGTCTTCAACTTCGGTTAGGATACCGTGGAAATTATCAAACAGCAACTGCGCCCCGCTTGTTCTCTGCCGGGCAGAGCCAGGGCGTCAGCTATCTGTGACCGACCTCATATCGTTGTTGACGAGAGCATCCAGGGCATGGGACAAGTATGACAAAGACCGTAATGGCTCACTGTCGCTGAAGGTGAGTTGTTACGTCCGGTTGGAAACAGTTTTGCACTGCCACGTGACAGAAGCTGCACGCTCGTAAGGAAGGCGGATGAAGGGCAATACATCCTTGCAGGCGGGCTTCCAGCCACCGCTCTTGAGTGGGGTACTACGAAATCCACGCCGCAGCTGCTACGCAGCCTTATAGACGCTCTCCGTAATGCCGTCGGCCAACCTCCACAGCTCCTGCAATTGGCACGCCCGAGACAAACTCCTGACGCTGCACAACGTTCCCCTTTCTTTCCGCCATACTTGCGACCTGCCTGGACGCGCGACAGGAGTGTGAGGAAATCTTTAACTCCGCAGAGATCACCCAGGCGTTCGAGAGCTTGACCAACATGTCCCATCGCGCTTACACCAGTCGTGACCTGGAGCCCTACTTCAAGCACGCTGACAAGGACTCGAGCGGCACGCTGTCACGGACCGAGTTTCTGGCCTTGTACCTGGCGATCATGGGTGACAGGGTCAAGCGGAATCCACTGGTGAGGGCGCCATGGGTCGAAACTGCTGAATTTGAATGTGGCCTGTGGCATTAAGCGCGGTCGGCATGGGTAATCCCCTTGATGTTACGGCCAAGCAAAGTTATATCTAGGATGGCCACTAATCTCGGATCCTAAGGAGGCATGAATGTGGGTCGGCTCACTTATCGGGGGAAAACGGTAGAACAGGGCTACGAAAGGCACCATCAGGGGAGTCGGTTTGCACGCGGCCGCCCCTGCCATTGTCCTTAAAGACGAAGAGGGCGGTACTGTGGTTCGCGATGTGGGTCGTGGGTATTGAGCTGACCCACATGGCTGCAAGGCAGCTGCGGAAGGAGCGCGGGCGTCTGATTGCTGCTCAGGACCTGACAAGCCGCCCTGCGACAGCCAAATAGATGTGCGCACGGGCTTCTTATATCATCTGCTTGTGGTTATATTGTAACCGTTAAATGCTACAAAATTTTAGGTCCCGCCTCCTTCAGCACTTCCTTATAACCATGCCGCCCGACCGCGCTCTCCACCCCAGCTCCTGGCGGAGGCGTTACTGGGCTTCATTGACAAGGACAAGAACGGCGTGCTTGAGGGCAAGGAGCTCAAGGGCTTGCTGCTCATCCTGGGATTTGCGCCGGCGCTGCTTCTGCCCATCCCGGACTTTGTTCGCCTGGAACACAGGCCCATCCTCAAACGACTCGGCAGGGTGCTGGAGGGCAGCGGCGACCGTGGCAGCGACGGCAAGGCTAAAAAGGGCTAGGTAAAGGCCCTAGCGACCAGGACCAATGGCCACGGGACCAAGGTCCGTAACAAACCAGGTGGGACGGGCAATGGCGGCGGCGTTGATGGGTCAGCTCGCATCGGATACGTTATATTTATTTACAACGAAGATCTACGTTTCATGGCCGCATTTGATCCTCGTGTCTGATAACGCCAAGCTTACACACAGGCAGTGGCTTGGCGCCTTCCCGTGCTGTAGCTTGCACAGTACTTCTGCGTAGTGTACCTGCTTTGTGGTCTTCGAAGCGTCAATGTTTCGTAATGCATGCAGCTACAAACCCCTGATCCACTCCAGGTAGTCGTACAGCAACCATTTTTGCTTTTCTTCAAGTATGAAGGAGGCGGATATTACTTGTTGTCCGGAGCTCCCTTGCACTATATTAGGTAACCTGTGTCAGACAATGGGGCTTAGCCCCTACGTTCCCATGACCGTTCCCCTTTGAACCCTTGTTTAAGATTACCACGGTGATTTTGCTGAGGCGGGGTGTTGTGACACGGAGTACAGTGTCATAACGCCAGTACATAAGAGAAGACATCCGCAGCGAAATCGTTTTTGTAAACGAGGTATGTCTGGTCATAAACCTGATGATAATGTGAGCGCTGTTCCCCAAGTCTGTACTGTGTACGGTATTCGAGCAGGGCAGTAAAGGAGTGGGCCGTGCCGTTAGGAGAGCCGATAGGAGACAAGGCCAGGGTCCGTCGTTACCTGGAAGCCTTTCATAAGTCTGCGAGGAATGGGCTGACACATGGACAGTTTCGTTTATGTTGCTGGGCTTTGGAGGCAAACAGAACACGAAGGGGAAAGTACCATGTCCCCAGGGAGCAGCGGTTTTGCCGCTGTTGTAGTACTAATAGCCGAATCGATGATGAAAAACACGTGTTATTGAAATGCCCAGCCTATAATGATACTCGTGATGAAGAGTTTTTCAATCATCAACAGAGCATGTTGGAGGCCATGAAATGGGAACCAGTACGTCTGACGAGGATGTTGGAACGTATGTGGGCTCAGTTATCCCCTTTGGACGCTAGTCTGGGCTGATGTGCGGTGTTTCCTGTTCTCAATGGCATTTAGGCGTATAGATATTGCCCTTGGGCCCTCGGCTCGTATGGGTAATTTTACAGGTATGGGGTCACGGACCCCTAACCATTTAACACACACACACATGGACATATTACTCTTCAGAGCCGAATCCTCGGACTGGATCTCAATTTTAAGTGAGCCAAAACGGGGCTGCGGGATCCAGGCACCTTGGGAATGGTGAGGTCCAAAAAGGACCTTCAAATGGCATGGAAGAACATTAGTCAGAGGGACCGGAAGGGCTTTCCCAAGGTCGCGGTCCTCCTGGCCCGCCCGCACCCATGCTTGTAACACTGGGCCCGCACCTTTTCATCGGATCGGGTAAGTGGCGCAGCACACTGGGGACAGATGCCCGGCAGCCGCGCTTTCTGAAAAGCATATGCCGTGTCAAATCTTCTTTATGACCCATCGCCTGACACTCATCGTAGATATGAATGCTTAAATTGAGCAACATTACCGCACCAATGGTCAAACAACGTTCGACATCCACCGCAACCACCAACGTCAGTGCCACGACCCATGACACTGGACCAGCAACCACCAGGAAAGCAACAGTCAACCAACCGCACAACCCAGTTGGGACTTCACCATGAACCCAAAAGATTATTGGTAGTTTCATAAACCTAGCTCTTTCTTAACATTTTAAGCGACTTCGAGCTTTAAGAACCTGACAGCTCTGCTGTTGACCAACCCGCAATCTCTTATTGCATGTGCTCCCCCCCACTCCTGTACCTTTCCTTGGCATACAATATCAGAACTACTCCTGCCGCATGGTTGCAAATGTAGGTTATGCCTCGGGTGTCAACTTTGATTTGCTATACGGGAAGTGGCTCCGCTTATTTGGGACTAACCAGACCGTGGTGTGGGGCTTGCCTTGGTTCCCCTTTGGCCTTTTTCCCAGCTCCACTGCGTTTGTCTGCAGCCAGCACCAGAGATCCGGTCGGAGCCACTGTATTGTCGTTCGTTAACATGACCCTTGTCAAGGGGCTGTCAAGGGGCTACTCCCAACTATGCAACTCAAGAGGAACGGACAAGTGCACACGCACGACCTTTATTTGCTACAAAAGCAGGCTGTACACCGTCGCTGTTAACGCCGCACCAAAAGACAAGCATCGTAACCTCCTGCCCTCCTCAATCGCCACCAGCAAGTGGTGACATCTGCAGCCCACTTAACATCAAGCGGATTTAGCTCAGTTGGGAAAGCTCTAATCTGAAGTTTTAGAGGTTGCTGATTCGATCCTAGCAACTGACAATTTACTCAAACTTTGACACAAACGGAGAAGCGGTAATCAATTTCCTCTGATCGTTTTGAATTGGTGCGTCGTTAGCGCACTGACATTCGCCCTATGCCTTTGCAAGGTAGACGCACACAATTTTACTCATTCACCGGACAGCACCACCACCTTATCCCCAGGCTGGAGCTCCGTTGCAGCTCCAGATGGGTGTAGCGGCACTCCCAGCTGCAGCCGCGGTTGTGCCGCCATACCGGCGGTGGAGGTGGAGGCGTGCAGCAGACCAATCACCGTCACGCCGTGAGCTCTGCCAGCATCCTGAACCTACGGGCCACGGGAGGGCGGGATGCGTGTGGGGTTGGTAAGACTTGTTCGGCTGGCTAAGTGCGGCTGGCCTCGGAAATTGAACTACAACCGAATCTAGAAGATATAGCTGGAGATGCCGTCTGACGTATGCTACTGAGGATTTCCACCCTGCAACAGGACCACCGCAAGTAGACACCGTTCATGTTTTGAAGCCTGATTACGAAGCCTGTCCGGACGAAAGCACGGGGGAAATGGCACCACCTCACCCACTCCGCCAAACAAAGCCGCTTTAGTGCCAATAGCCACACCTGATCCCACGTGAGCTGTTGATTGTACGGCAGTTTCAGCCCTGGCGGTGTACGGAGATGGATCTCGACGCCTTCCGCATTAGACAGCTCGTGGAACAGCCCCGACAACCGTGGCTCAGCCGCCACCTGCCGTACAGACCAAAAGGCCGGGAGATAGCTGCTATCAACCCTATCAATTAGTTCGTTCCTAGGTGTAAAGCATGGCTTCCGAAGACAAAAGGCCGAGTACCACGCTTCATACTGTACCTAGCGATTGATGTTATGGAGGTTTCAGGGCTGAGGCCCGCTGCAGAGGCCCCGTGCCGCGATTTGATGAACCTTCCAGTTGTCCCCAGAGCAGTCGTGCCGTGGCTTGCAGCCTCGCATTGGCGGCCCTTCCGCCTAGATGCAGGCAATCCTTGCTTCCCACGCTTCGTCCCTTGCCTCACCCTCTGCCCCGGCCCGCCCGAGCACTGCCTCTACCGCACCTGTGTCACCACGCCAGCCAAAAGCTCGTCTGCATTAATGGCCTCTATTGTGATCTGTCGCCGCACTGGCCCGCCTCCACCGCCGCCGCCGGCCCCGATCTGCACGTGCGCCAGGCTGTTCATGATCTCTCTGACACGTGGATCAATGACGCTGCAGACCAGGTTCAATGGCGGCGGCTGCGGCCGTCTTGATGCAGCGACGGAGGCCAAGTTCGACTGCAACTCCGCCACGGTGGCGGCGGCGGCGCTGGCCTGGTGGAGTGGCGGCGGAAGCGACTGCAACTGTATCAGCGTCGCCAGCGCCTGTGCATCCGCATTGTCGGTGCTGACTCCCTCCAAGCCTGTACAGCAGGGACGTGCCACCCAAGCCTCCCAACTCAGGCACACATATATCCAAATTGCACATATATTCTGCAAGGTGGATGCTTCTCGTGACACCTCTGCTTGTCGCGGGACCCTGCTCTCGTACCAGTTGAAGAGTCGTTAAACCTCTTCAATCCCTCATATGGATATGCCCACAATGAACTAGCGCACTCCATTCCACATGGCGCGGCTTGCACGCGCGCGAAAGGACCCAAGACGCTCCGCTGCCGCCTTGGCTGTAGACTGACAAAGCCAACGGCAATCAAGGTATACCCCTCCAAACATTTAGGACATGCCCTTTAAATTGTGTTTTGTGGCTGTGGAATGTGTTTTGCGCACTTCAGTTGTCTCTCAAGCTGCGTCTCTGCCTTTGCAATAAAAGCGCTGCTTCAATCGCGGCCACTTTTTTTCCTTACGACTCATTCATGCAACAAGGATTCAGGCGGACCTGCGAGGATGACGGCGTCAGCTTCATAAGCACCGGCATCCCGAAGCGACCCACGGGTCCTTGGGTCGCCCACAACCGTTGACACCCGCAACCGCCGTCGCTGCCGCTGCGTCATCAGACTGCTGGGCGGACCGCGGCTTGCTGGAGTATCCTTGGCCGCCACCACAACTGCCTGCGGCAGTACATTCGTACATTCGGCATTTCCTTCATCGCGGCTAATCGCGGACAATTAAGACATACACATCCACATGAAGTAGGCATATACAAGGCTCAAATGCCCCTATTTTAACGACACCATTCACCACCGTCTCACAGCATTAAGTGCTAATGCGGCTAAGTATTAGCGGCACACGCACGCATGCACACACAGAGGCCGACTAAATTGCAGCTAGGCAAGCGGCTGAGTTGTCCATTCGGATCCCCGATCTGTCTGTAACCCATGTATGGCCAGTCGTTCAACAAGGCAAGCGATGCGCTGCCTAAATCAGCCCGAAATGTGCGGCCTCATTAAGCCCTGTGGTAAGTACCTGCGACCCAGGTGGGCAGTAATCCGCCACCCCCTCTAAAAGCTCCTCCGGCTGCTGACCGTTGAACACCAGAATCACCACACGCAGTGGTGCAGCACCTCGTTCAGCCCGCGTACCGCCACCGCCGCCGCCGCCCCAAAGCCGGTGTTCAGTCTTACGGACACCACCTCCAAGCGTAGCTAATGACGCTGCCGCTGTCGCAGCAGTTGTTAATCCCGGCGGCCTATTGTTGAGTCCTTTTTGCGTCTTGTTTTCGTCGGTAGGTACCGCTTCGCGCTGTTGACATTTGCCGTGCTGAGAGTGGTCTTGGTCTTGGTGTTGGTGATGGTGGTGCTGTTGCTGTTGAGAGTGATTGAATTGCCGGGCATGTTGCGCTTCCGCCAGCCGCGCGTGGCTGATGCGGCAATCTTCCGTCCGATCTGCTAGAAGGATCAGTGCGTAGCGTTCCTGGAGAGGCATGGAATCTGGTGGGTTGAGTACGACAGCCTTGGCGGCAGCATCCAGTCGCGCCTCGGCGGAGTTAGCGGCGAAGGCGGTAGCGGCGGCAGGATCGTATACGCCGCAGAGTACGGCATGTGGGAAGAGGCGGCGCGCTTGACCATACGTAAGGCCTACGACCTCACGGATGTGCTGCGATGGCGGCGACAGTGGCAATTGCGATACCAGGGGCGATTGTGGCGTGTCGGGGGAAGGATTGGGGAACTTTCAGTATTTCAGCTGATTCTGGTGGCTTCTTCGCTTGACGGCTAACCAACACACTTATCTCGTAAACTGTATTGCTACGCAAAAAAAGGCATTGAAAAGCCCAGATGGAAGCATTAGAGAAACGGGGAGCCAGAACCAGCGAACGGCTACTTCTACTGTTAGCACTAGTACAGCGATCCGTTACATCGCCCAGCCCAAACGCACACCTTCGCACCTGCACGTAGAACTCTGGCATGCCCGGCTTCTGCTGCATGATGCTGCTCATCACAACCGACAGTCCGGGTTGTGACGCGCACTGCGCCTGGATGCGGGAGAAGCTGTTCAAATGCGACACTGGGGTGACCTGGAGCAGACGCGGTTGGGAGGTTTAGGAGGTTTTAGATTTGAGCTTTGGAAATTGCAACAAGTGCGGTCGTTGTTGGTTTGCTCAGCGGTGGAGCGGTTTGTCAGTTGGTCAGCTGTCCCGGTACTCACCAGGTGCCTGCTTGCTGTCGCTCCACCTCCACTGCCTCTGGCACCACCTCCGGCACCTCCTCCGTCGCCCCAGCTCCTGGCGAATATATCCGGATCGAGCAGATCCAGGTCGGCATCATGCTGCACCACCACCGTCTGGGGCTCACTGCCCAGTTCCCTGCCACCCGGCCCCCTCAGGGCCTGATGCCGAAGGTGGTGAAGCGCCGCCAAAGTCACAGCCTGGTCGTATAGGGGCGTGAGAGGGCGTGAAGACAATGCGGGATGGGATGGGGTTATACTCCGGGGTTATACGGTTTTAAGGTTTGGATGCGCGGGGTTGCGCGTGTGCGAGGCAGGCTAGGGAGACATGAATGTAAATCACAAAAGGGGATGAGTAACGAAGGATATAGCTACGGGGATCCTGGGGGTTACTTAACAGATTACCGAAAAAGACAGCGGGAAGGGAGGGAACGGACATTCAGACCGGCGCTCAATGGGGTCGAACGGAGAAGTGGAGAGGACGCGGAACAGGGGGCGGTGAAAATGAAGCATTGGAAAAAGGCACACAAAATGAGTACGGACGCACCTGTCGAGCTTCCAAGGACAGCCCCAGGCACGTGCAGCCCTCCCCACCCTCCCCGCCGTCTGGAGCCGCAGCTCCACCTGCTCCTCCTCCTCTCCATCCATCCGGATCGAGGCCGCTGTCAGCCGCCGCTGCAGCGGCCCTGACGCTTCCGCCGCCGTCTTCCCCGCCATCGCCGCCCCCGGCTGGTTCCGGAGCCAGCATGATGACGGTTCGCGCATGGCCCGCGGAGACGCGCTGAAGGTCCGCCACCTTCCGAGATTGCGGAATGGAAGGGAATAGGGGGTAAGGGAAAGGAAAGCGTACGACACAGGATGCAAAGCAGCATTGGGGGAAATCCCCGATACGGGTGTTGGGATGACAGGACGAAGGACACAAAGGGAGGGAAGCAGAGAAGGAGGGGTTGGAGGGGGAGACAAAGGCAGGTAAGGCCCGGATGGAAGACGCGAACGGTGAGAGAGAGAGAGTGTGTGTGTGTGCCGGGGAGTTGTCGGGCTTGGGTTGAGGCAGGAATACGGAACCAGAAGAGTGTGGTGGTAGTGGTGCTGGTGGTGCTGGTGGCCGTAGTACTCATCCGTTTACGCGTTTGGGCCAGAGACACGGCCATACCCGCGCCAACGGCAAGGTAGAAATGCACACATACAACCATGCACATGGGTATGCTGAGACACACACACACACACACACACACACACACGCGCGCGCGCGCAATCGCGCGCACAAAGAACAACGCGTATGTATACACACATGCACACACGCCCCCCTCTCCCCCCTCGCACCCTCCCCCCAGACGCACCCTTATGGGGCTGCCCTGCCGCGTCACTATCCCCGCTGCAGCTGCCGGGCCGAGCGCCTCCACCAGCAGGTCCTCCATGGAGCCCCTGTCCCGTTCCGACAGCACCACCAACTGTCCGGGAAAGGCGGCGGCGCCGCGGTCCGCTCGTACGAGTGCCACCTGCCGTAACACCTCCACCAGTTGCCTGTTGTGGCCCAACACCACTGTATGATTTCGCTCGACCACCCTGGAGTTACCCCTGTGTTTTGTACGTGCAGACGCAGAAAAACAGACACAGAAAACCTGAAATGAGCTAGCAGTAAAACGATAGACAGACATATAGGTAAACAGGTGGACAGATATATGAAAGTAGCACACTGCATGTATATACTACCGCAACTCACAGCCGCGCCGCCTCCACTGCGTTGCTGATGTCATCTCCGATCACTCCGATCAGAGCGGCGAAGGTGAGCAGGCCCACCGTGTAGACTAGGTTGAGCACTACTGCTGCACGCGGGTCGGTCTCGCTGGCGATGTCGGCACCTGCGGGATGATCGGAGTGGCGGTGTGTGTTGGAGGGCGTGGTAACGATGGACGTGGTACCGAAAGATTATGGTGGTGGACCATCCAAAACCCGCGACCCAGCTTCGTTCATTCGTTCAGTCATCCAAAACCAGCGACCCAGCGACCCAGATACCTGGGACGTTATTCAAGATGAGGTAGCACCGCAACAGCGCCTCCCGGAAGTTCTGGCCTGTCAGGGTACGTAGGGCCCAGCTGCCCATCGCCAGGATGGGTACGGCAACGAACAGTACGGTCAGCAGCTTGCCCCAGGCAGGAAGCGTCATCATCTGCGTTATCATCAGTAACATCATCGTGCCCGTGCGTCGTACACGGCGCGCCGTACAGGGTCGCCATGTATCGTACAGGAAACAACGTCCAGGTCAGCCGTGTGGAGGACGTGTCGGGGTTGGGCGCGTGAAGCTGGACAAAACGTTGAGGACGGACTGTCCAAGTCCTAGGTTCTTGGGCGTGGCGGCAAGGCTTTGAAAGAGAGGGAGAGAGAGAGGCCGCCGACCCAAAGGCGGCTGGAATGGCCGACGGAGACCATAACACGAGCCTCATGAGCTAGGGTAGGGCTCAGTCATTGAGAGGAAGTGTGGATGTGGAAGTGAGCAGTGATATGTAAACCAAAGAGGAGGCCACGCAAAATCTTGTGAGGATGCGAAGGGGGAACCAGCAGCCCTGTTTTTCCGCAGCCTCCCAAAGTAGAGTTATCAAAAGGATACTTGTGATCTGACCCACCTGCAGCACCTTGTAGTTGACCCACGCAAGCAACCCTCTGAGGACCTCAGCCTGCTGCTGGAACGGCTGCGGAGCGGAGATCGACATGGACGCCAGGGGTATGGGCTGGGAAGAGACAGCTCGACTGCGGAAAAGGATTGGCTCCTGGAGCATGACGGAGACGGAACCAGTTAATCGCGACCTCTGAATAAGAGCGGCTGTGCTTTTGGCGGCTGCCAGCATTACAGCTGCGATGGCCATTGCTCCAACTGGAGCAACCGCGCCGGGAAGGCCACCGAGGAACCCTGCTTGATGCTTTGCAAGGTGTCGGTTTGCAGAGTTGCCATATCTGCCTATTAGTTCGTTGGATGGGAGCGTGCCGCGCTGAAAGCAAGCCGTTCCGAAGGCCGTTCCGAAGGCCTGCTCCAGAGGGCCACCCGCAAACTGGCCGCCAGCAGGCAAGGTGCATCTTCGTGAGGTAACCCTAATCCGTGCCCAAGGTACGGAATAATGGTTCCCAGAAGGCGCATGAGACCCAAGTTTGAAGCGCAAGAAGACCGTTGGTGTACAACGTGTCATGGGAAGCTTCTAACCTAACCACAACTGCATCTAAAGTTTTGTTGCCTTCATGTGTAGAAACGTTATGAAAGTCAGGTTCTTGGTGCTATGTATAGCTGTCTGTGCATGCTCCGTGTCCCTTAATAGGTTATCGGGTCGCATTTCCAACAGACCAAAAGCAATATAACCAAAAGCTCATAAACGTGTTCTCAACAAACTCACGTGCCCCCTAGGCATAGCTATGATCGCACTTTTGGCGGTCCGCCCATTAGCTGCTTTCCGGCAGTGTGGCTCGTTGGCTTAAATGTACATGGACTGCGTTTCATTCAGTCATGGGTGCTTCAGGCCCTGATCGTCCCGAATTGAGCCCGTACCTCCAACTCGCCGACATTACCGTATCTCCATGACCCTTTCCATCTTTTCATATGTTCCACTGCACCCCTGTTAGGTTGAAGCATCCATCACCGATATTCAACATGTCCCAAATTGCATTTCGACATCTAGTGGATGCTGCAGCGGAGACAAACACTGGGGTCCTGGTGAAGCAGCTGACCGCGTACGAAAAGAATATAGATAGAATATAGAATACCAGCTTTTCAGTTGTTACAATGTCATGAGATATGCTTCGTTCTTCAGCTAACCAAGATCCAACCCGACAAGCTCCTACAAGCAGCAGTTGGTTGTTGGTATGCCATGTTAAACAATATTGAGTGTTGGAAAGTGCTCTTAGGTACACTCAGGCTTGACACTTCGGTAGTTTGATTAGTTGCCGTTATCCCAATACGACATCGGATCAGGATTGGCTACGGTATGCTTATATACTGCTTGCGTATCCTTTCTCTCTCTCTCCTTGTGTAACGATATGAGCGAGTGATGTGTTCACTGAAGGACTCTTATCTCTAACAGGTTATGAGCCCCGCGCTTTAGCGTGCGGTCATCCGTTTGCCCGGTGGTGCCTTTTTCTGCTGTGTGCGGACTTAGCTGTAGGCAAGGATGAAAATAGATAAGGAGGATCTTTATTTCTCCATTAGCACCTTTCACCTCTTGAAGGAGCACGTCATCGGCGTCCTTCAACGTAAAGGACTAGCGAACGCGATCAGCCCCGTGCAGGCTACGCGGGATGTAGTGACAGACGAGCAAGACCAGCGAGCTTTGGGCGTTATCAAGGAATTCATCCGCGTCCTGGAGAAGCCCCTGTACGCGCGTCACGCGAAGGCGTACGACCTGTGGCTTGCTTTGGCGGCTAAGTATGGGCAGCAGACTCGAGCTGCGAAGAGCTTATTGGTTCAACGGTTGACCCAATTCAAGATGGAATCGAGCGAGACGATCAGCGATTACATCGCGAGGTTCCAAGCGCTTCGACTAGAGTTCGCAGCCATCGATATTAGTTGGCGGATGACGAAAGCGTGGACACGTCTTGAGGGCCTACTGATACGTATGCATGATCGCACAGTTATAGAAATACTACCGACGTGGACGACGTCGAGAATCTGGAGATGCGGCTACTCGTCGAGGAGCAGAAGATTGATACGGAGACCAAGAAGTCGCCCGTGAAGGGAGCCTACAACGTCGCGCGGCAGGCGCCACACAAGAAGAAGGACAACAGAAAGTGCTTCTACTGCAAGGAGCAGGGCCATTTAGTTGCCAAGTGTCCGAAGCTTAGACAGCCATATCCGCCACCACCACCGCCGCCGCCGCCGCCTCCCCCTCCACCACCTCCCCAGCCTTTCATGCGCCAACGACAACAACAACCGCAAGTGCAGCCGCAGGCCCAGGGCGTGCGGCGGCGACTAGTTGGCGTCATAAACACGCTTGGGGGAATGAGACTGGCACCCGGTGAATGGCTTCTCGACACTGGAGCCGAGGATCACCTGACCTTCACGCCTGAGGACGTGGAGGGTCTGAAGCCGGTGCGCGAGGGCGAGGGTGTCGTTTTTGAGGTGGCGGATGGGCGGACGGTTAGCTCGATTGGTGAGGGCAGGGCGGTTTTCGCCTCTTTTCGAGGGCAGACGGAATTGTCGGTACCTGTACACGTAGTTCCGGACCTGCAACACCGCCTGTTCTCAGTCAAGGCCCTGAAGAGATCCTTCCCGGATCAGGTGGTAGAGGTTGTCCTGTCCGCCGATTGCTCGTATATAGCAATAGACGGAATTCCCGCTGTCGATGTGTTCGAGGAGAACGGGATGTACATCGTGCTTGCGCAGCCAGATGCCGAGTGGAATAGGGCATTATCACTGCATCGCTTTCCCAAGGAAAAGTTAGACACCTTGCATCGTCGCATGGGGCATGCTAGCCTCACCCGTTTTGATAGGCCGTTTTTTTACGACCTGGTCCATTCGGAGCCCATATGCCGCGAGGAAAGCCTTCGTCCGGAGAGCAAGGTCTGCGAGCCGTGCGTTATGGGAAAAATGACCCGCAGCCCCCATCATTCATCGACGCACAAGGGCGAACGCGTGCTCGATCTCGTCCATATGGATCTTTGCGGCCCGATGCCGGTCACGTCGCTGGGTGGAGCCAACTACTTCGCTACCTTCTACGACGATTTTAGCAAATACTCCGAGGTTCGTTGCGTTCGCGCAAAGAGCGAAGTCCCCGCTGCTGTTCGTGAGGTTTTGACTAAGTGGGAACGGCAGACTGGTCTAGAAGTTCGTTGCGTCCGAACTGATTGCGGCACGGAGTACGTCAACGATCGCCTTGCCTCCTTCTTTTCTGAGAGGGGTATTGTGCATGAGAAGTCGGCCCCGTATACACCAGAGCAAAACGGAGCAGCGGAGCGCCTGAACAGGACTTTGCTGGAGCGTGTGCGGGCCATGCAATATGATTCGGGCGTACCTCCGGAGCTGTGGGGAGAGGCAATAATGACGGCCAACGCCTTGCGCAACGTGTGTCCTACGAAGGGGACTGTACAGACGCCGTGGGAGCTGTTTACTGGAAAGCCCCCGGACGTTTCTAAGCTACGGGTATTCGGGTGCGTGGCTTATGTACAGGTTCCGAAGGCGCTTAGAAATAAACTTGACCCGGTCTGCGTCAAGGGTATCCTAGTTGGGTATGAACCTAAATTTAGTGCGTGGCGCGTATGGATCCCAGCAGAAGGGCGGATTCGTGTTAGTGTAGATGTGGTTTTCGATGAGGGAATTATGTATAGTGTCGCGTATTTGCTCGATTCGATAGAGGAGTCGCTCTCTTCCGGTACTGATGATGAGGGCCCCAGGAGGGCGCCCTTGGTCGAGATCGAGATGAATCCTGTAGGCGGGCCGGCTGGCGACGAGGGGTCGGATGACGAGCCGGGGCCGTTGATTGATGACGATGAGGCGTCGGATTGGTCCGAGTCTGATAGTGATGATGACGGTGAAGTGGATGAGGAGGTCAGTGAAGGATTGGTTGACGCAGGGCCGTCCAACGCAGGGCCGTCCAACGCAGGGCCGTCCGACGCAGGGCCGTCAAATGCAGGACCGTCCAATGCGAACAATAATTTGCCGTTAGCTCTTGGTAGGGAAAAGCGTTCCAATGCCGGAGTTCCACCCAAACGTTTTGCTTTCCGCGTAGAGATGGAGGAAGAGTCGGATGATGATGTCGATATTCCGGAATCTTACGAGGAAGCAATGGCATCTCCCTATGCTGAAGTTTGGCGTGCTGCAATGCTTGAAGAGCTTGAGTCTTTGCGTGCGAAGGGTACTTGGTCCTTAGTGCCGAAGCCCAAGGACAACAGATCTCTTGACGTTAAGTGGGTTTTCTCATTGAAGCGTGACAAGCATGGTGCCATTGAACGGTTCAAGGCACGCCTAGTAGTGAAAGGTTTTATGCAACGTGAGGGTGTGGATTTCCAGGAGGTCTTTGCGCCGGTAAGTCGCCACACTACCTTGCGTACTTTTTTGTCCATGGTAGCTGGCGCCGATATTGAATTGCACCAACTAGATGTCAAGACGGCGTTTCTGAATGGCGATTTAGAAGAAGAGATTTATGTTAAACAACCCCCCGGTTTTGAAGAGGGAGGCCCGGGGATAGTTTGTCTTCTTCATAAGGCCTTGTATGGCCTTCGCCAAGCGTCGCGTGCATGGTATGACACGTTATGTGAAGAATTAGTGTCGATGGACTTTGTCGCGTCGAGTGCGGACCCTAGTTTATTTGTTCGCCGTAAACAAGGCGAGGTTGTATATCTTTTGGTTTATGTAGACGACGTTTTGATTGCGTCTTGGAGCGAGAGAGCCGTTTCAGAAGTAAAGGCGGCTATCATGCGGCGGTTTGAGTGCCGCGACTTAGGAGAGGCAAGTTTATTTTTGGGTCTTACTCTTAAGCGCGATCGAGCGAACATGGTAATTACCGTTTCTCAGGGGCGTATGGTTAAGGACATTGTGGGTCTTTATGGCATGGCTAATTCACGGCCGAAGTCTGTACCTATGAGTCCTGGAACCGTCTTACCTAATGCTGCAGTGGAAGATCGGCTGGATCGAGAGCGTTTCCCGTATAGCCAGTTAATTGGCAGTTTGTTGTACGTGTCTGGATGTACTCGTCCTGACATTGCACAAGCCGTGGGAGTTTTGGCGCGGCACATGTCGAATCCTAGCAGGTCGGACTGGAAAGCGGCGAAGGAGGTAGTACGCTATTTGGCAGGAACGTCCGATTACGGATTACTTCTAGGTGGTGAACGAGCAGATGAGAGGTTGGTCGGATATAGCGATGCTGACTATGCGGGTTGTGCTGACTCGCGGCGGTCAACGTCTGGTTATGTCTTTACTCTTCATGGTGGTACAGTTAGTTGGGCTAGCAAACTTCAGCGGAGCGTGGCTGCGTCCACTATGGAGGCTGAGTATATGGCTGTTTCGGAAGCTGCTAAGGAGGCTTTATGGTTGCGACAACTACTTGGCGATCTCGGCTACGACCTCAAGCCAACGCAGATCAATTGCGATAGTCAGAGCGCAATTCGGTTGGCGAGCAATCCGGTTGTTTCGAAGCAATCGAAGCACATCTCTGTGCGTTATCATTTTGTACGGGAGCAGGTAGCGCTCGGTACGCTTGTGATGGTAGATTGCAGGTCGGAAGATATGGTAGCTGATTGCTTAACGAAGCCTTTACCAACTGACAAGTTTGAGAAGCATCGTATAGCGATGAACGTGTGCAAGTCCTGAGCGCGTGGGAGTGTTGGAAAGTGCTCTTAGGTACACTCAGGCTTGACACTTCGGTAGTTTGATTAGTTGCCGTTATCCCAATACGACATCGGATCAGGATTGGCTACGGTATGCTTATATACTGCTTGCGTATCCTTTCTCTCTCTCTCCTTGTGTAACGATATGAGCGAGTGATGTGTTCACTGAAGGACTCTTATCTCTAACATTGAGTGGACATAACACGGTATGAAGATAAGACGGTATGAAGATTAGTTTATTTTCATCGCTTCAGGTTCCCGTCGCAGGCGACAGTCGAGACTCGAGAGTGCTGAGATACCATCTACTTAGGTGGGGCGGGTGTCATCACCGCGCTCCCCTTGGGTAGAAGGATTTGTGTAAAAGGACGTTACGGAACAATGATATGTACCAGCAGTAGCTTTTCATTTCTAGGATTGAAGGATGTTTAGTGTTGTACACAATGTGCTGCTGCTGTGTAATGAGAGACTGGATGATGTATCACGACTTCAGAAAAGTACCAATCGGGATCTACATCCGCGATCGGTACTTTTCTGAAGTCGTGGTATAACTGTGGGCCGGCGGTTGGCTTGGTATTATTGCACAATTGCCAACCGTCATGGCCTTTCAGATGACAACCGGTTTTAACGAAACTGCAAGCCTGCGTTGCCTGCGTAAAAGTCGTTCCCTCTTGCCCGGAAGTTGCGAGGGTGGTGTAACTGTAGCCGGCGTTTCGCGCGCCTTGGCTTACAGTGTTGGATAAAGATTACGGATTGACGATAATTTGAGCCTTTGGAATCCGCTGTTACAGCATTCACTCCACATGCTATCCTTCTTACCTTGTAATAAATTTTTTTTGTTCGTCGCTCGTCTTTTTTCTTCGTTTTGGGGGTTGTCCCGTTTTGAGGCATCGAACATGCTGGTGCACCGGTAAAGTACGTCCTCAGCTTGCTCCACCGTGCCCAGGACCCTAATCGGTCCCAAACTTTAAGAAGATATTTACCTACCAATAACGCGTCCTACCAACTTTTTAAACTCAAGAAATTAGTACCCCCGAAATTTAGCACAGAGTTCACCGCGCACCGGTTGTGATCATCCTCCGCTGAGCCCACTGCAGTGGGTGGGCCGTGTGGCCAGCCGACCACGCTGTCCAACTGCGTCCCAGTGCTGCTGCTGGTAATCAAAGGCGCTACCCGGTCTTGTGCTGACCCAGGCTGACCACGGAACAGGGGAGGAACGAGCTGAGCATGCAGCTTGCCGATGCACCAGAAAATTGCATGCTCAGCCTAATTCCACGATGCTCTGCATTGTATTGGGTTTCCCTACCCTAACACCCTCCTGTTGCTGCTCGCGGGAAGCATCACGTCATTTCGAGCTGACCGAGACTAACCACGGAGCATAGGAGGAAGGAACAGTCGGTGGAGTTGGTGAAACACTCATGGCATCTTTACTTTTAGGGTTTAGATACGGAGCTACGGACAAAAGCGACGATTTCCTCAAGCTCCGAACAAACCGGAAACCGGATTGCCTTCGCGTCCGGCGGGGCCGCGCCTTGGCCTGCGCCCGGGGAGCCGCGGCTCGAAAGTGGAAACCTAGCACTTTCTATGACTGTTTCCTGGCTGGGTCCTTACTCCTTACGACAGTGCAGCAATTATAACTTCTAAATTTCTAATTTGAAACCAAAAAATGCACACCCGTGTTCCCTATATATTGCGCCACGAATACCTGCCAGGAAACAGCACCCGCTTCCTCTATGCATTGCGACAGGATTTGAATTTCCAACCTGCTGCAGCAGCGTTCCGCAGCTTAATATACGGAATCACCACACCTTCCACACCTTACCACACGGAATGTACATCATATATGCTTGGATCAGATGTTACGTTTTAAATTTATAGATTGATGTTCTGCTGTAGCATCGTAGAGTGTCAGAGTTATCCGGCGATACGCGATAAGGCAGCACGATAAGGCAGGACAGCAGCAGCTTTAGTGCATCACATCTCAGGTCCAAACGTTCCTGGAACCAAGAACCATTACGGCGGAGAAGTTGTATATCCGTATATTATTTGCTCGTCATTGCTCGTCATGGCTTGTCGTTGCACGTCGCCTATTGAACCCAACACCTTGTTTAATGCTTGTAACTCACAAACACATAAAAATTCTGGTTCTCTTTATAATACACGTGAAAAAAAGTGTCTCCTCTTGCGATACTGTGCAGATTGTGCATGCCATCACCCATTACCATATTGTCTTAGGATAGTCCTATGTGTACCGCCCACTGGAGGCGTGCGGAAGCGATTAGATCAAAGCCGTACTCGGCGAAAGCACACGGGCTAGACTTTATAAGCAAGGAACGCGGAGCAGGCTATTCTAAAAGACGTGTAAAGGTGCTAACGATGAGGCGACCGCCGTGCCGACAGCTTCGGCTGGTGTCGGCTCTGGCCCTTCTACTACTGCTCCCGACAGCCATATTAGCTGACATCTTTGAAACAGTGACCGACCCTCTGAGCGGACGTCGGGGCCATGTTCCCAGTCGGGCACGCAGGTCCAGGCGAGGCCTGAACGCCGTCTCGTCGTGCGGCGGCTTCATTTCATGCCCCAGCGCAAGTGCCGCGGCACAGGTGGGCACCGTGCTGGCTCATCAGATTTTGCATACGAAATCGAATTTTTTTAGTCTTCTCTTTGCTGACCTCGCCCGTTTGAAGCTCATCGAACGTCTGCTTACTTGACGACGGCCTGGTCCTACCTGTATGTACCTGTCCACCGACTCACATCGCGAACATTTCTTTGCCTGCGCGCTTGCAGATGATTTTGGGCAACAACCCAAACCTCACAATCAGTAATGCGGTTTTCTCTAAAGGAACATGCATCGCTGGCGGCTCTGTACAGTGGGGAATTGTGCAGAATACTGGCTGGGCTCCCGGACACGTTATGGCCTCCTGGTTCCCAAAAGGTAGACAATAATTGCTGTACAGCTTTTTACCACAACATACATCCTATTATGTTTTATGCCAGAGGAGTATTAGATTCTTAAAAATGATGTGGTTACGGTACCGCCGGTAGTGCCTGTGGTCCTACCTTTCTACCCGCTTCTACCTACTTCTATGTCCGCCTGTGCGTCTGAAAGTCGGCCTGGCGAAAGGACTGCGAAGGACTGCGAAGATTGGTTGGATGGTTGAGCAGAGTCCCAGTCTGTCTGTTAACCTTATGAACTGTTTCGCGTTTTCTAACTATGGCAAAACTGGCTATACTATACTGGTATTCAGCCGGGAGCTCACATCATTTTGCGCAAAGCCGGCCGGTCCACACTGCCCTTTTGCAAGCAGCAGCCCGGACCTGCCTGCTTTGCAAAATGATGCGAACTTCGCGACGGAGTCATTAACTTTGCCATTTTGCTTACCTAAGTCAGAATATAGCCAAGTCTCGCCCTGCTGGCACGCTTCAAGGCAATCGATGGGAAGCTGCTCGGCATACGGTAGTGCACGCATGACAAACAGAGGGCGCGCGAATGAACTTCATTCCATTGCTTTTTGCCTTAGAGCTAAACATAAAAAACCATATCCGTTAAAATATTTTGCCCGCTGTTAACGCATTTATGAAAAAACATACCGTACGTATCTTCATCTTTTTCGCATCAATACAGGTGCTCTGGTCCTGAGCTCGGGTGATGCCACAGCCGGCAATTGCGCGGTCAACACGCTGGACTATTACACAGGACTAGTAGGTGGTGGCGGAGATGCAAACCTTAACGCGCTCATCCCTGCCTACACTACCTATGACGCAGTGGCGCTTGAATTCACCGTAACAGCCCTCGCAGACGGCCTACTGGTGTTCAAATATGCCTTTGGAAGGTACGAACTCAAATATTGACCTGCATGTGCGTTTGCAAGCCGCAAAACAGCACAAACCAATCCATAATAACAGCGCAGGAAGGTATCTCATATTTTGCATGAGCTCACGAAATGACATGCATGGTATTTATTCGCCAAGTACTCCCAAGCGGGAACCCCCGCCCTGTCGCCAACCCTGGCTATGTGAGCGTGCTCATGAGCATGCGTGTATGTGCATTCCTGACTCACTGAAATCCGCCCGCTGGCCGCTGTGACCATTACGCAGTGACGAGTATACCGAATGGGTGGGCACAGCCTTCAACGACGTGTTCGGTTTCTTCATCGCACCCATCTCCCAGCCCATCACATCCGGGCACAACGTCGCCATCGTTAAGGGCACCATAGACACACAGGTAAATAACCGCCACAGCTAACCTGGCCCGGGTTAACGAGTTGAGTTGCCTGGAGTTGGGCATTTTGCAGTTAAAAGTAAACTTATGTATTATTATTATGTATTATTATTATGTATTATTATATTATATTATTATTACTATAGTATTTTATTTTACCAATATTATTATCTTAGGGTTTATTTATAATAACGTGGGTACCTAAGTCTTCCGGACAGTTCGAGATTAGAGCAAACAGATCGTCAGCAGCGCCGCGCCGACTTGTGCCCCACTACACCCAACGCAAGCAACATCCCTGCCCCCACGCACCGCTGCTGGTCGCACACACGCTTGCAGGTATCTATCAACAACGTTAACGGCAATTCCAACTCCAACCTTTGGAACAACAACCGAGCCTTCGAGGTCTCCCCCACGAAGCCCATTGAGGTACGCATGGGGATCCGTCAAGCATCCCGACCTCCAATGCTGCACTGTTATACCCATACGTCATACCCGCTTCAAGGCATCGCGTGTCAAGGTCTAGCGCAAGTCTCATGTCTCCACAGTTTGTGCCGAGTTGAGCGGTACACAACCCGGCATGCCACCCTCCTAACATAGCAGGTCATGCGGACCATACGCCATTTGAGAAGACGCCCTGGTAGCTAATTTTTTCCCCATATGCATGCCGTGTGTTATCCGTCCGCGTTGTTGCACGACTCCAAATGTGGAGTCTTAAAGCACTAAACGCGCTTCTCCCGGCCTCTACCCCACCTTCTCCCCATATGCAACCCTTCCTGCAGGCTGACGGCTACACCAACCTGCTCAACACCCAGGGCTTCCAAGTCACTGCTAACCAACAATATCGTTTCAAGCTAGCAATTGCGGATGCCGGAGATCAGGTGGGCAGACGGGTCGTCGGTTGCATGAGAGAAAGGGTCTGCTCTCTGCTGTCGTACTGCATTCGCAGTCATTTCTACGTCTTTCGTACTTGTTGTCGCCATTGCTGATAAGCCCTATGGGTATGTATGTATGTATGTAACTCCTCGCAGATTTTGGATTCATGGGTATGGATTGGTGGTGAGACACTGCTAGTGGATCAGAAGCCCGTGGCCAACACAACCAACCCCACCACCAACTGCGCGACGAAGGTGAGAGCGCGGGATATGTACGTGCTGTTGCTCATGCCTGGGGCGGGGTACGTCGTGTAACAATGGACTTCCTTTAGCCGTGCATGATCCCGCGCATTCATCCCGTGTTTTTACCATCCTTTCTCACACGGTCTCCCCCACCATTCTGGACCCGGTTGCAGACCGCGACACTGAATGCCAGCAACTCGTACGACCCGGATAAAGGTAATGGCATATTCCATGTATGGATGGATGGATGTTGCGTTGCATTATAAAGGTGCAGCGAGCACATACGAGCCCGGAGGGGCCGTAAGGGCCCAACCAGGGTTGGAACGATGGAACAGAATCAGGAACAATCTAATTCCACTGCATTTTTGAGCGCAAAATCCTGTGCAGACACTCATTTCCTACCGACCTGACCCAGCGAACCCCGCTCCTGCGGAAATGCGACGCAGGTGACATTCTGTCGTACACCTGGGTGCTAACCGCCAACTGCTACCCTTCCGTAACGCTGACGGGGCAAACTGCCAAGGTAATGTTGGGGGCTATGTGAGGAGTGACGTGACCGTTTGGGGGGTTAAGACGGTATATGACCTGGTGGGGGCTTAGGAGGGTATGACCCGGTCGTTGGTGGGATTAGTTTATCGAAACGTCCACATGCGTGTGCTTAAACAAGAAATGAGACCTCATCCATAACGACTTTACCGTGCTGTTATTGATATAACCACTTCGCTCTTGCCTTAGGCTTAGGGTAGCAGCATTTAGTAACATTACAGGATTATCGCTATTCGACAGCGGTCGACGTCTTCCCGTGCTCGTGTGCTCGTACTGTTACCGGTGTGGTTCTGTGAAGCCGCGTGTCCTCTCGTCCCAACTTCCGTACATCTGCACGGCATCTAGGTGGGCCTTTCCCAGCTAGCGGATGGTGTGACGTACACGGTCACTCTGACGGTAGCCGACAACAATGACGTCGAAGACGTGAAGATCACGACGCTTGCCGTACCGTCGGGATGCGGCGGTGTCGTCACGAAGCTCTGCGACAACAGCGGTAACCCGCTGCCGTCGCCATCGCCGCCGACCAGCCCCATCGGCGGCGGCGGCGGCGGCGGCGGTGGCGGCGGCGGTGGCGGCGGTGGCGGCTACGTCAGCAATAACTATGTGTACGTTGGCGGCGCAGCCGTGGTGACTTGTGGCGGCGACGTCACGATGGATGCCAGCACAGCCGACGACAGTGCCCTCGCTCTGATTGCTAGCAATTATGATCCTGGTGACTTTTACACGGTATTCTACACTTGGCGCGTATTCGACATAACGGACAAGGGGTACGACAACCCGATTATAAGCGTTACAGTACCGCAGGATCCATCGTACCCAGACCCCACCATCACCTTTACCGCAGCAGACCTCCAACAGAGCACCGCCTTGAAGAAGTACAGGGTGAGCGGAGACCATATGTGTGTCTGTGTGTGAGAGAGGGAGAGGAATCTTAAACAATCCATCTATCTGAGGCCGATAGTTAAGCCTAACAATACAGGGTGTAGGGATGTAGCCGTGTTGCGGAGCTGCTGAGCACCAAATGAATTCTAAAACCTGCTCAACTTGATGTTGATGTCCCGACTGCAGGTCGCTCTGGATGTCACGGATGTCGCCACGTGGGATCAGGGGAACGGCGTTATCCTGGGGGTCGAGACTTTCATCCAGCTCCTGGCCTGCCCCATCCAACCCGCCGATCCCCCGACGAACATCATCTTCGACGGCCTGAAGAGTCCGGAGGCCTTCACGCTGGCCTGCTACGCCTCAGTTGTCCTCGACGCCTCCGCGCCCTTGGCCGCCGCCGCCGCCAAGTACGGCAAGCCCATAACCACGCAAATCTTTCGTTGGTCGCTGCTTGACATTAACGATGTGGTGGTATGGACGACTGACTCCAGTACGGCATTGACCCTTTTTGACGGTACGGCGCTCCTGTCCAGCTATGTGATTTTGCCGGACACATTTTATACCCTGTCACTGGCGGTCATCCTTGATGATAAGGATTTTGATGATGATAACTGGGTGACAAAGTTCGCGGTGGAGAACTGCGGCTTCGTTTTGGAGCCCCTACCACCTCAATCTTTTAACCCGCCTCCTCCTCCAAGCCCACCGCCCCCACCGCCTCCAAGCCCACCGCCCCCCAGTCCGCCGCCTCCAAGCCCGCCGCCACCGCCGCCCTCCAAGCCCACCGCCCCCCAAGTCACCGCCGCCTCCAAGCCCGCCGCCACCGCCGCCTCCTCCAAGCCCACCGCCCCCCAAGTCACCGCCTCCTCCAAGCCCGCCGCCACCGCCGCCTCCTCCAAGCCCACCGCCCCCCAAGTCACCGCCTCCTCCAAGCCCGCCGCCACCGCCGCCTCCTCCAAGTCCACCGCCACCCAAGTCACCGCCTCCTCCAAGACCACCGCCGCCCAGGCCACCTACGCCTCCTCCGCCCCCAAACCCGACTCCACCTAGGCCACCGCCGCCGCCTCCTCCTCCGAGGACACCACCGCCAAAGTTATCGCCTCCCCCAAGCCCACCGCCGCCCAGGCCACCTCCGTCTCCTCCCCCACC